TGCCAGCGAACACGGGACCGGAGACGACGACAGCCGCGGTCGCGACAGAGTTGTTTGAATTCTGATATGAGTGAGGAACGGGGGCGAGGACTTGCTGACATAAAGGACGCATTTGATTCGTGGCAACCCCAGGACGATCGGTCTATGGGGCTTGTCTTCCCACCCTCTAGGGAGTCCGTTGGGCATGGCAACTAGCTGCTCCCATCCGCCGCTCACATGGCGCACAAGCAGGCGGCAAATCTGCCCAAATTTCGAATGGTAACTTGCCGCTGTGAGGTCAGAGTGCTGTGTCGCTCGTTGCTCATTCATAGGTGGTACTAGGCTCAAAATAGAGGTTGGTGCGTAGTGCGCGGGGGGCGGAGTCGATGCCGCAACCACGATGCTAAGCCAGCCAGACAGTCCAGGGGGAGAGGGCTTTGCTCCCTTCGTCGTGGCATGATCGCCTATTGTCGATGAATCACCATTCTGAAGTCCGGCCGTTTTGATTCTAGAAGGAAACGAGGGGAAGGGGGAGGGGGAGCTACGCGTTCGCAGAGACGTCGCCAGCCGATCGTCTAGTTGGCGAGGCCACGTATCGCATCCGGGGTATGTTGCGAAGAGCCAGTGAATGAAACCTTGCTCATAGGATTTCCCTGATGACGGATGGAGATGTATCACTCATGAGACATCCCAAGCGTTGTTCGCCTGGGAAGCGCCCGATGAAGAGGCCAGTGGAGCGATGTGCTTTAGGTGCAACACCTTGTCCCTGGGCGACCCACGACTTTAGGCAAGGAGCATCGGGGATTGTCGTGACCGCGGCAAGAAGCCCAAAGAAGACGGGTGTGGCGACCCCTATCTGAAAGCGGAAGTGGTTCCACCCAAAGGGATTCAAGCCGTGCATAGAATGTACCTACCTATAACACGCACCATATTTTATAAACGGGTGCGTTACCGGAACAGTGCATATGCCGGATATTAACGTATGCCGTGTTTATGAGTATTTTTCGGTTGCTCTCGGCCCACTTCGGTGGCCACGTACCCAGGTACCTCTTATCTTAGAGCGAGGTAGCAGGTACCTACCTACGTGGACCCGGGGAGATGACACCATATGCTCCTCCGATACACGGCGACAACGAATGACTCTAGCCTCGCTTAGCTGGCGGGAGTTATATCGTGTGTCGCCTCTTCGCTAGCCAGCCAGGTTTTTTTTGGGTCGACGGTAGACTGGACGGACCTGGATGACGAGGCTGAGACGAGAATAGCCGCAGAGATTCGAGGAACCGGGAAGGGCTGAGGCGGCGGAGACAAACGTCAACCCTACCGTAGCTTTACCCTCGAGTCTCTTACCACCGCTCACCCGACGGGTCACCGGTCCAACTACGTGTAGGGGCGCTATTAGATCGTGGAGGGATACTCTTCGACGCGAGGACTGGCTGGGGAGACCAACTATCGGGAGTGTCATGCGGAACACCGTTGGACAGCGGACTGGGCGAATGGAGTGGCCAGACAATCCGCCCCGGTCGAAGCCTGAGCCCGAGCAGAGTTAGCCCGAGCCTGAACAACTTGGGTCCCGTTTTCAACTTGGCTGGGCCTGACCACCCTAGAAGGGTTGATCCAGAGGCCAACGCTCCGACGAGTCTTGGTGAGGCCGACGTGGTGATACGGCAACCCGCTACCACGAAGACTGCCGTCGTCACGGCGACGAATGACTCAGCCTGCGCCGAGGTAGACCTGGCCGTTTCTCACTTCTCACCGAATGCCCCGACACATGCCGGTACGCGGCGGGTACAGGTAACGTCGACGGCAGTAGATGCAGGTGTCCTTGTGCCTCTCCGGCCTTCCCGTTACCGGTAAGGGAAATGCGAGGAAGCAAGGAGGGACGTTAAGACGTTAACACCAGGGGAATGGTCTGCATCGTGAAGCTACATGGTGCAATTATCTGACGAACTAGAAACGGGTGGAAAGGGAGGAGAAGGAGGAGGAGGATGAGGATGAGGATGAGGAAGAGGTGGCGGCGGGCGGCGGAGGCGATGGGCGGCGGGGGTAGCGGCAGCGGAAAGTCAACCGGGAATTCGAGTCGCACGGGTTGGGTGAAGAGTCGCACGGGTTGGGTTAAGATAGGGAGAGGGGGGTTTGTTTAGGCACGGATGACTCTTCCTTCTCCACGCTCTCGTCATCTTGTATACCTCCGCTATATTGCGTGGCCTAGATACCTCCCTGCCTCCCGTAACCGCCTCCAGGCAGGCAGCGTGCCCAAGTACCCAAGTATCTACATGGGCATTGGTTGACTGAAATAATGACTAGTCCCGATTCTATAATTTAATCTTCGTCTTATTGGCCTTGTTACATCTGCAGGCGCAAAGTGGTGGCGCCGAAACATACCGGTGTACATAGGTAAGTAGATACACCCCTAGATACCTAAGGTACCTAAATACATGCCAGCCTGAATACTTCGCCCACACTGGCTTGTTTGACAGCGGGTGGGATATTACCTACCTCTATACTGCCTTATCTACCACGGTATGTCCATACCTATGTATCCAGGGTAGGGGGTATTATATATTTGCTCAACCCCCCCGCCGCCCCAAAACCCCATCATCTACCCCTGGGCCGTCGACCCTAATATACGTTGTAGGTGCCTACTAGGCTACATGTTATCCTGCATTTAGCGACTGCTATATGCATGTACCCCTCTCATTGATGTATCATGTATCTATAGGTACTCGTTGATTGATTGATGTATGCACGTATGCGGTGTGTTCCCTCTTACGGCTCGGCCTGCACCTTGATGCAGCCGGCGCTCTCGCTGAATTCGTAGTAATTATGATTCAAAAGTAGTCGGTGCCCCGGCTGCCAGGTCGCTCCCTCGTTTCCCTCTCCTCTATCGAACAAGGCCGCCGCAATGTTCGAATCCAAGATCTAGACGACGACAAGGCGACTTTCTCGGAAGTCTGCTCGAGTGCTGTGTAGTTCTTGAGAACGATACTCTTAACAGACCTTCTATATTGACATCCACTCTGCTCCCGCACCTTTGATTGCCTTTATCTCGACCCCCCTTCCCATTGGGTCTTGTTGCCTTATTCCATTCCACCTCTAGCCACTCCTCCCGTCTCCTGTTGCTGCTCCTCTCCCTCCTCTCTCTCTCTCGCTCTCTCTCGATCCGCCTTGTTGGTCCCCGGTGGCATTGACTTGCGCACTCTGGCCACCACCCAGAAAGCCGGAATTTTTATCTGAAGCCACGAATATTGCCATGTCTTATTGACAAGACGACTTACCTGAAGATTTTTTCTTACGTCCCCATGACAGCTAACAGTCCTTCCCAAATTACCACTACTTTTACTATTATTGTTGTTACCACTACTACTATGATTCGTTCTCTCCCTCTTTAAACTGGACAACTTACCATCATCGCCAGCCACCCCTAGTATCATTATCACCATTTTCCAACCCCCCTCACAGCAAACCACTCCTGGACGCCACTGCTAGAAAAGTACGTCTACGAGTTTTTATCGAAGACAAAAAAACGCCAGAAGGAAGAGACGGAAGAGACGAAAGAGCCGTGGTACAGGACTTGTTTGTCGTCCCGTCTTCCCCGCCTCCCCCCGACTTGCCACGGTTTTTTTTTTCCCTTCCATTCAATTAGCCAACTGTGTACTCTGTTTTTATTTACGTACCCATCCACCAGATCTCCGCTCATCCCTTTGTTCTCCCGCTCATCGCCACGCTCCTATTCCACGATCCCATATCGGTTGCTTGGATCAGGTCCCATTCCTAGGCTCCCACGCGTGTGACCGTCTCTTTCTTTCTACCCCTTGCGACGTGCTAGTTCTAGGTGGGGAGTCACTCGGTCCCCCCATCACCCCCCAGTTTCGCCGTCTGTTATTTGCCTACCTGCTTCTTAGTTAGCCCAACCCCTACGGCTGAGCCATCCACCCCTCTGGCTCATTAGGTCCCTAAACCGATCCCGGCAACGCGCACCTCCGGGGACAGTCAGCTCAGCAGAGGCCACCTGGAAGTTCCCTAGAGACCTCGTACCAACAGCCCACGCCACAGCGGTAATGGTCGAGGCTTTCCTTGCCACCTAATCCCAAAGCGAAAGAGAGAGGAGTCATCGACCGATACCTGGAGGCAAATTGAGGTACAAACCTTGGACTAGGGCCTCTCTACGAGAGTTCGTTTACAAGTTTGGAACCCGAAGCCTATTCATACCCGTACCTTACATTTGAAACTACACATAGATTCAGCTTGCCTTACCCGTAGTCAGGCGCGGGTTACGAATACTTCGGCCGGTTTTGTACTCACCCGGCCCTCCGTGGATCTCTATCGGACACGCGACACGGCCCTCGTTACTGTTTTGCCTCAGGTATTCCATACCGAGTCTATAAGACGGGCTCCTTCAGCAACACTTTTCGTCTCCTATGGTCTACTGCGTTATCGACCGTATGCGTTCTTCGACAACGTCTCCTGTCATCAGCAGTGGTTACAGCGCGTACCTTGCATAACCGTCCAGATCTCACCCGCGATACCTGCCTAGCTGCATGTACGCCAGATCCTGAGCCAACCGACCCGAACGCCGCCCGCCTCCTCCATGCACCCCGACTGCTCGCGTTGAGAAGACTGCCGTTATCCAAACGCCGATCCGTATCGATCGCTGCCGGCTATCCCTATAAGTCTGCTTACACCGACCGCCGCGAGCTACAGCAATCTTGAGGCATATTGCAACCCTGGGCCCGGTCGAAACAACCCCCCTCGCAAAAACAAAGGAAGGAAACTCGCACACTCGCATACTCGCACACTCGCATACTCGCACACTAGACTTCCTTATTCATCTCCTCTCCCTATTCTCGCGCCATCTATGGTAAGGCAGGAGTCTGGCTCGATGCAAGTCTAGGTGTGCGACTTCTCCGTCACACAACACCCCCTTCCTTTTGTTTCCCTAGCTGGAACACATTACCACACGATGCAGTTTATGATATCCATACGCTCAGCTCCAGTCGTCCGTCCCGCTCTGCTTTCCGGTTTTTTGGCCGCACGTGAAATCCCCGTGGCTACAGGCGCTTGTGTCTAGAAGTCACTTCTTTCGATCGTTCTGCAGCAGCTTTGCAATAGCCGTATGCCGTTGTGAAGCCACTCCCCATTCGATAAGACGTTTTCGCGATCCGCCTACGGTATAACACGAACCGGTTAACTCTGCTCGACGGGCGACTGGAGGTTTGGTCTCAAGAGATACTGCACCTCCCCCGCCCTTTTTCAAGATGATGTACTGTGAACATGATTCGCTAGACTTCATCAAACCCTCCAAAAATCGACTCTATAACCCCTCGATAGCCTCGTCGGCCTCCTCTTCTTCGGCCTCGGTCTGGTCCGAGACCTCCTCGCAATCCTCCGACGACACTACCATATCCGCCGTCTCCGTGGACTCGTTGGAACCATGTGTTCCGTACGCGTGTTCCCGCCCGCCTCTTTCTTTATTATCAAACTTCCAATGCCGCAAGGCAACCGGTTCGGGAACGTCTCGGTTGCAACAACAGTCCGAAGTACCGCCAGAGCAGCGACAGAACCCGAGACGCACTAGTAGCGGTGCGACCACCAGAACGGGTTGCCCTCCGCCTCTAGTCCGCCAAAGCGATCGCAAACTCAACTTTGTCGATAGCCTCGTCGGTAAGCTTAAACGATGCAGCCCCCTCCCACATACGCGAGCTCAACCCCCTATCTAGATTCGTCGACCCAGATCGTGGAAGCCATCTGGCCTTTGTCATCCGTCTTCCACCGGCAGGAGTTAGGTCCCAAGGCCGTGCTACCGCTGCGTACTTTCATCCAAGAAACGCTGCGCCGGTCTCGTACGAGCTATTCCACCTTACAAGTCGCTCTATATTATCTCATATTGATTAAGCCGCACGTTCCCAAGCATGATTTTACTATGGAACAGCCGGATGACGTGCACACGAGTCGGGTTCTCCAATGCGGCCGCCGGATGTTCCTCGCGGCGTTGATACTGGCTTCTAAGTACCTGCAGGATCGAAACTACTCGGCGCGAGCCTGGAGCAAGATCTCGGGGCTTGCCACGCAAGAAATCAACCAGAACGAGATGGCTTTTCTCCTCGCGGTGAACTGGAAGCTCCATATCACGGACGACGTCTTCAAACGATGGACTGATATCGTTTTGAAGTATACGCCGTCACAACCACCGTCTTCGGGTCCCGTTTGTTCGCAGGCCTCGGAGCAGCAGAATCAGGACTGGAGAAATTTGATTCTTCAGCTCGACCCGGGGCTAGACAATATCGAGGACCTTATCCCGCTGAGTCCATTGGTGTCTCGAACTCGGGACTCTACGCCGGTGTCGCCTCTGTCGTCATTGCCGTCTCTTCCTCTCCCCGAGAGGCCTAGCTACACAAGTGACCCGTCTACCCCCAAGGCTGGGGGTATCCCCTTTCTTATGGAGCCTGCGCCGGCCGCCGTATGTACTCCCGGCCGCCTCGCCCCCGCCATGGGCCTTCTCCCCACCCCACGCCTCACCCCGCAGTCGATCGGATTCAGCACTCCTGCCGCGAGTGCCGCTTCCTATCTACTCAACGGCAAGGGTTCGATGGGGATGGCCATGGCTCAGGCGGCGACCCTGTCGGCTTCTCAGAGCCTAGACCGGTGGCCTGGATGCATCAGCGCGTCTCCCCAGAGCTACGTGTCCACACGTCGTTCTTCTCTCGCCAATTCTATCTCGACGGTGTCCTCACCGGAATCGATGGTCTCCGACTCGTCGCGCACGTCTCGGTCATCCTCCATCTCGTCAGCCTCGTCATTGGTTAGCGCGCCGTCCACCAAATTGGATGTTCAGGCGCGATGCCGATACGCGAAGCTTTGCGGTGAGAGGTACAACCTGAGACCTGCCATCGCGTCGGTGCCGGAAGATTACGAAGAGAGCTGCATCACGTCCTCACCCGAATCCTACACCAGCACGGTGGGTAAGGATTTTGTACAGATGTCATTGGACACTCCATTGGCACGCCGAGGATGCGAGATGGACGACGTTACCAGCGCGGCCCGCGCGCTGCAAGAGCTTCACCGCTACCATCAGCGAACGAATACGCAGTCTTGCGCGCCTCGGCTCAGCGCCAAGCGCAGCCGGCCATCGTCGATGGATATCCCCCTGCAGGAGAATGTGCGCGAGATGTTAAACAATCAATATCGCAGCTTCACCGAGCGCGAATGGATCGACGCCGTGATTGGCTGTTGCACCTCTCCCGACAGCGGAAGCCAACGTACACCCGTCCTGGCCACTCACGGAGGCAGGAAGCGGGTTTGCTGCTCCTCTGACACGCGGTCGTATGTCATTCCCCCTATTCACCCCGCCGTCGGGGGACTCGGCGGCCCGGGCATGTGGGAAGGTATCCTGAATTAGAGGCGCGGTCGTCAGAGGGGCAGCGCGCGCTGCTTACTGCAAGGCCTCCTTTGTGATAATACTCGACCTTATGTTTTTATTTTTTCATTTGTTTCCTACAACCGGAAGGCGGGGAAGGGTGGGCCCGGAAGGTCCCTGATACCACCTCGGAAGATGCAACAGTTTATAGAGCCTCGACAACGGTCAAGGTCCCCGGACGAAAACAGACTTCTTTTTCCTCCTTGCAACATGCATTTTCCAGGATCATCGCATACCGGGACTGGTAGGTGGGTGGTTGTTCGTGTACGAATCAACAGACAAGTAGGTGGAGCTACTTTGTTCTTGTCACTTATAATGGTGTTCCGGGAAGGAAGGGAGAGGGAGAAGGAGGGCATAATCACACGGTGTGGTTACGTGCGCGCGGTGTGTGAAGAGCAAGCAATAATGACTAAGGCAGTGGTGACGGCAACAGAGATAGCGACTCGAGAGCGAGGAGACAAGCGAGCACGGGTACGTGACAGAATTATCATCAGTGCCACGCCTCGAGCCGGCGGCATCAGAAACACCTTGGGAGTCATTTTTTCTTTTCTCGTCCTGGGTTTGGTTCCGTTTTCGAGAACCAACGACAATTCGTACCTCGCGAACGCGCCGAACGATATGTGGCAACCGTCGAAACGCGGCTGCCGTCAGTCTTCGACCTAGTAGCTACGAGAAAGCTCGCGCAAGAAGAAAAAGGGCCCTATCGTATCATTTCTACCTATCTGGCCTGAAAAGGAGTTGCGCAATCGAGGATCAAAAAGCTTCGCGTACAGTCAGTCAGTCAGTCAGTCAGTCTTAGTGAGCTTCGAGAGGAGACAACCTCGCAGATAGCATGAAATTCTGAACAAGCTTTCCAGCTGAGAAGAGAAACGATGAACGTGGTTCCTCGTGCTGAGTGCAAATTCGGTGCATCTGGGTCTCCCGAAAGCGTGTGAGACAAGCAGCATCTCCCGAAACCGTACTACGCGCATCAAATGCTGACGAGAACTCTCGAGGGGAAGCACAGAAGAGAGAACGATCCATTCGACAGGGCGGAGAGGAAAGAGGGGGTTTTCCTCCTTCAGTTGCCGGACTACGGCAGCCCGAAGAAAGGTGTGGCCTCGACGCACCCTGCTCGGTCACTCGACGGCCGGCGAACGCATATGCATCGCGGCGTCAGATTCGATAAAGCCGGCTGGGGAACCAGGCCTTCAACCAGGCTCTTCCGGGAATCTCGTCGGTGCTAAGATGAGGTGAGGTGAGGCGAGGGCAGGGTGAGGCAGGCATGTTGACCATGTGAGGGCATGCGTGGGTCGCGGTGTTGGGTGGTTGTGTGAGTCATGGCGGGGAAGAGATGACAGGTAGGTACTTGCGGCAGGTACTGTGGTAGGTACTGTGGTAAGCACTGTGGTAGGTTACCTCAGCCTGCCCCGGCCGAGGAGCGTCGATCAAGAAGCCGCCGGCCGGCAGCCAATCAACCGCCATTGCCACCCCCGCCCTTCTGCGACCGGCTGCCCTGGATTTCGGGGCGTCGGGATGGTGTCCAACCAGCCGACCCCCGTCCGCCAGCCAACCGCCAGCTGGCCTGCCCGAAGCCGAGGCATCCTCGTTCCCAGGCAGCCTCTGGGCGCCAAGGCCTGCCCCTTTTCCGCCCCTGTCACGCGACGCCCAGTCTGACGCGTGCCTATTCCGATTCCCAGCCGTCAACGAACCCTTCACACAGGTACGTGCCAGCCTGACACGCCTGCTCTCGGGCCGGCCGCGGCCTGCGGGAGCCGGGTACCACGACCGCTACCAAGACCACTGCCACGACCACTACCACGACGATGAACAACACGCCCAGCTCGGTTACTACGTACGTGTAAGTCGGTGGCTCATAGGTAGGTCGGCCGGATTCTCGCTGTTACTACGGTTGCTAGGCAGGACGCCAGCCAGCTAGCCAGCCAGCCGCTCGGTCCGTCTCACTCCCTTCCCTTCATCGCCCCCAACCCCCCCCCCCCCCCCCCCAGCAGCGGGACATGAGAGAAACGACTCGCACCCGAGGTAAGCGAAGGGCGAAATAGGGAACAAAGGTCCTACAGTGTTACGGTTTTTTTCCACCGCAGCTCGAAGCTCCGTCTCACTGGTCGCGACACTCGTGTTCTATCCCACCCATCCGTCCGTTCACGTTTTCCCATCGAGATGGATAGCAACGGGCTATCTGGGCGCGCCCGGAGGTAGGTAAGATCCCTCCCTATCTAGATAACCTACGCAGATGAGCGCAAATGTTTCGCGAGAAAAGCCTGCCGACTCAAGGTTTTCCCCCACTCCCCCCCCCCGCTTTCGCGTCCCAAACATCGACGAGGCTTCTCGCGCAGCAGCAGCCGGCGACCTACCTAGGCAGATATTCGTATGGCCTGCCCCTCTCTGTGATAACGCCATAGCGACAGCAGATAGCTAAGTATTCCCAAGGCTTACTCCTCTAGTGCAGTAAGGTTATTTCGTTACGTGCTGATAATAGCAGGTCACGATAGCAGGTGGCTCAGATATCTGCAGAGCTTGCTCCTGTACTGCCGCAAGCATGTTTCGTTATGTGTGAGCAGCAGGGGGTGACCTACCCAGATGCTCGTAGAGCTAGCTAGCTCCTGTCTGCGGAGCTTTGCTCCGAAATACACCCTCATCCCCTCCACCCCTCCCTTTCGGTGTATAAGCAGGCGCGTACAGGCGCATACGTAGCACGGCTAGCCGAGGGTGGGGAGAGGAGCCCGTAAAGCGAGGCGAGCCAGAGGCTAGGGTGAGGTGATACGAGTGCGAACCTAATCGCTCCCCGGCGGTTTACCCACGAGGGCCTGCCTACCACCGGTGTTCTATTGCCCTGCGGCCTTTGCGGGGGAACTTTTTGGCAGGGGCTAAAGTAAGCAAAGTAGATAAGCGCGGCAGCTGGTTTAGCCGCTCGTTGTTGTCCTGGCGAGAGCGCCGCCGCACGGGAGGAGGGGAGGGGGAGAGGGGTGGGCGGACCAAGGCGGCGCGGCTGCGTACGGACGCCCTCGAGATCGCCAGCCTAGCTTCGTGCTATGTACACTCCCACACGCCACGGGGTCAGATCCCCCAAGGCAAGCTGCCGAGGCGCGCCGAGCAGCGAGGGCTGGAAAGAGGGGCCAGGTAGCCTCTGGGGCTGGGTCTGCCTGCCTCTTCTGCGCGCCGGGCCGGCACCACGACCCAACAGCAAGGTGTATACGCGGTCTGGGCCGTTGCTTAGGATGTGCAGACGGCTCGGTCACCGAGCACGGCGCGCGGACGAAGCAGGCAAGCGGACATACTGCGCGCTGCTGCGGAGGCAGCGAGCCGGCGGTGCCGCCAGAGAGAAGACAGATAACCGAGGGCTAAATCGAGCGAGGCTGTGAGTCACGAGCAGCTTTAATAAGCCAGTGGTAGATAACGATACCGCGTCATGTCACCCTGCTGTTGTGCTTCGAGCCGTAACCATTGCGGCCTAGGTACTGGGTCAACTTCAGGAGTAGACCATGAAAATTTCTACTCCCCCTATTAGTTACCACAGCAAAATATACGCATATACGCCCTATAGACACTTCGCTATGCAACGTTGAGTACTGATATGTTGCCAACATGTTACACGAACTATGTAAGCATGTCGTCTATAGATAGACAAGACGTGGCATCTTCTCTTCTCTCGCTCTTTATACCTCGTTGTATAGTCGTCGCCTCCTACTTAGGCTTCAACAGACCGCGACCTAGGGTTTACGGGGAGGAGGGAGGTGTGATAGGAGAAATTATATCACCCTAGGAGGTTTCGAAAAGATTCCAAGTTACCATTACGTGTAGAGAGCTGCCTGGCAGAGCCGAGAACTCTATATACCAACCCCTAAAACATTTATAGAGCCGCCGCGACGCAATAGGCCACCGCCTGCTGCCTTGCGTCGAAGGAGTTTCTACTAGGTTCACCTGAAGGCTAGGCAACTTGCCGCACGTGTCTCTGCTCCGACCCTCGGAGGGACCCATCCCCAAGTGTTTCTTTCCATCCTCCGCCCGCCGTATGCATTTCGAGTCGCCCCGATTAGCATTTGGTATTAGTCCTCTGTCTTACGAGAACCTTGTAGTTGACAGCTGCTGATTATCTCCACGACCCTACCGAAGGACAGACAGACTAGCGTTCGCCCTCTCCCAATATACTTACGTCAAAACGGCACGGAGACGCCGAACACTCCCAAAAGGGGGACCCTCCGGCATCGATTCGGTTCTCCCTCGGACTTCGGCATAACATCCGGGCATAACATCCGGGCAGCCGACGGGCAGCGCGGACGCCCCGGGGACCGAGGCGTCTCAGACGACAACAGTGAGTCATGGGACAATTAGGGTTCTCTCTCTCTCTCTCTCTCTCTCTCTCTCTCTCTCTCTCTCTCTCTCTCTCTCTCTCTCTCTCTCGCCCAAGTTACGGTACCGAGCACCGCGAGCTTATACCATCTTCGAGACGGCGTAGCGGGATTAGATTCGGGGAAAACATCGAGGCCAGACGATATAGAAGCCCAGGATACGACTAGTGACGACGACTAGCCTTAGTAAGATCATCATAGCCGGGGTAGAAGCACGAGCCTTCGATGACGAAACGATAGAGAATAAACTTTCCGAGAGCGAGGGAACTATCTTCGAGAGCTAGTTGAATTAGAAAAGTTCCCCCGACATTCGACTACAAATTAAGCTTAACCTTAGAGAAGCTGAGGAGAGCAAGTGGAAGCCCAAACCAAGTCGCGATGGGATATGCGAGAATCCTTCGTACCAGTCTATTCTTAGAGGAGAACTCGAGACTACGAACCCTGACCCTATGTGAAGTCGCGAATCAAGAGCATGACTTAACAGTTAACTCTGCAACTGCAACATCCGAAGCACGTAGCCGCCTTACCGGCTCTTAAAGCTGCACCAGTCGTCCCATGCCAACCCGAAAGAGTATAATGTACAGAAAGCCTCGTTTTGCTAGATCACTCCCCCGTATTTTAGAAGCAAATCCCATTTTCCGGATTTGTGGGTGTACGCATAACGTTTCCTCCAAGGCGACCCGAAAGAGCAAGACGGCCAGAGACAAGTTGAGAGACGAAACCATTCGGTCTAGGATGCCATGTAGGTGCTGGCGTCGATGCCTTCTTTCGGGAATTCTCTGTCCAACAAATTAGCAATGGGTCTCGGTCACACCGGAAATGGCCAAACTCACGGAAGAGCGACTTCAAATCGCTTCTCGACAGACTTGAGTACCTCCTGGTCCGCGTCGGTGCTGACGAACGAGATGGCAAGACCTTTGGTGCCGAATCGGCCAGCACGGCCAACGCGGTGCAAGTACGAGTCTGCATCAGCCGGCAGATCGTAGTTGATGGCTAAATTAATACGCTCGATGTCGATGCCACGACCGAACACGTCGGTGGCCACGCAGATCCTCTTGTTGAACTCCTTGAACTCCTTGTATCGCTTAATGCTATAGAGGAATTAGAAATTGGCGGTCCGAGTGAACGACACCTCTCGACACATACCGTTCTTCCTGGCTGATACCCGAGTGAACGGCAATAGACGGGAAGTTGCACTCGCGGAGCAACTTGTCAAGCTCGGTCGCACGAATTGTGCTCTTGACGAAGATGATGACCTGGTTGAATTGGAGGTCGTCCAGGAGCTCGTTGAGCTTGCGATTCTTCTCGCGCTCCTGGAGCTTGATGTAGTACTGTTGCAATCCGTGGAGCGTCAACTTGGTGTCTTCGTCGACGTAGTGCTCGGTCGGGTTCTGCATGAACTTCTTGCAAATCGGCTTCACTTCGTCGGATAGCGTGGCAGAGAACATCATGACCTGCTTCTGTTGCGGAGTGGATCGGAAAATATCCTGCACGTCACGCCGCATGTCTGGCACCATCAGTCAGGATCGAGGCGATAGCGAAGGGCCGGAGGCGGAGGCCTTACCGATAGCGTCAAGCATCTTGTCACACTCATCGAGCACGAAGATTCGGACGCTGGATAGCCGGAGATACTTGTCCCTAACGAGCGCATTCAGACGACCAGGAGTGCCGACGATGATGTGCGGATGCGTCTCCTTGTTCTTTAGAATCTCGGCGTCTTTCTGAATCGGAGTACCGCCGTAAAAGACGCCGGTCTTGATATCCGGCATGTACTTGCTGAAACGGTTATACTCGTTGCGAATCTGGAAGGCCAACTCGCGAGTATGGCACATGACCAAGACAGAGCATTCACCGGCCACGGGCTCGACCTGCTGAAGGGTGGTAAGGACGAACACAGCCGTCTTGCCGAGACCCGACTTGGCCTGGCAAATGATATCACCTCCAAGCAGGGCCTGGGGAATACAGGTCTGTTGGACTATAGGAATCGATCGAACGTTAGATGGCTTTTCCAAGGAGGGAGGGCAAAACGCGAGGGTGCAAATTCGACAAGGTCCGTTCCATCATCGCAGCATCGCTGATCTAGAATATAAATCCCACCCGTCCATCCACGCAGCATGCCCGACGGACCCGTACTCGGATGGGGAGAAGCGACGGCACGCTCGCCGCGGCGCCAAGTTCTCGTGACGTCTTCGTTGGCTCGTAGCCAAAGCTATTCCGTCCGCCGCCGTCGCAATCCGACTTTCGAGATTGATCGCTTCCACGGATACGCCCAACTCTCCATGCCGTAAACGGCTACACACCAGGCTGCCGAGACAGGTGTGAGAAGCACGAGTCTCCAAAGCCCGTGAGATGTGCCAAGACTGGCTGCTCCTCTCGAACTGCTCCAGCACGCAGCCCGAGCGAACACGAGGATGAAAACGCGGGTTTCACGCGCGTTGACCTTGTTTTTCTTTTTTCCTCTGCTCCTCTGACGACCATTGCATGTATATTTTCTTGCGATATGCTTGCGAGATGGGACGGACGCTTGAAGAAGGAGGGATATATAACGATACGTTTTGATGAGAAGCTGGAACGTGTAAGATGTAGACTAACCCTCCGAAGGATGTTCGAAACCGCAATCGGCGATGGCGCGAAGAAGCTCCGGCTTCAGTAGAAAGTCTCGGAATCCAGTGGAATGGATGCCGACATAGGATCCCTTCTTGTCGACATTGTTACGAGAGGCGGCCGCATCGGCCTTCTTGCCGTTGCTGGTGGCAGCCTCGTTGGTGGCCAGCTCCTCATCGGAGTAGTCGATCAGATCCTCCTCGGCAGACATATTGATGATTGATTAACGGAGAGAGAAAAAGCAGAGAGAGAGAGTGTGTGGTTTTGTGCAGGGCACAGAGCCTGGCAGGTGGCGGAGAGATTGGTGGACGAGAACACGTAAGCCGTACGAAGAATGAGAAGGGCAAAGAGGGGCGAGATAGCGGGAGGCCAACAGCAGACGCGACGGCGATGGTTTGAGATGGTGTTCGCAGGCAAAGAGTCGCGTGATGGAAGACGGTCAAGGTTGAGATGGGAATGGAAGAGGAGGAAAAAGGTAGCGGTAGTCAGCCAGGAAAGGCTGGAGACGGACGGGTCAGAAAAATAGGGAAGCAACGTGCAGCAAGCTGGTGGAATGCGCGACCCATTGATGGGGCTAGTCCCGGTTCGGCCTAGCGCGGATGGGCAGAGGCAACAAAATAGGCATCGACGGGGCAGTGCACTGTGCCAATTGGCTGATCGGATGTACCCATGTAGGCAGTACATTGGTGGCCGACGCCCTACGTGTATAGTGCCGGGCCGTGCCTGTAGAGGTGAGGCCCTGAGGACCAGGTTAGCTAGGAGGTACATTGGGTGCCGGTCTGAGCTAGGTACCTGAGGCTAGGAGGTACCTACCTTATCCGCCTGAGCTACTTTAGGTACCTCCTACCCTATACGTACGTGCCTTGCGAGTTTCCATTGGGGTTATGTAATCGCACTCGGCATTCCTGTCCTTACCTAAGAGTCACCTCCAGAGCTTAACGTCGGAGCCTTACCCCAGACTCTGAGACGGCCTCTCTCTGTGTTTTTTTATTTGCCAGGGCCCTTTTTCACCTACTCATAGGTATATAAAACATGGCCCAGCCGTCGTCAGAGATGCTGACAATTCGCCACCTGCCCGCGTAGGCCTCTTCTGCCCAACATCTGGACTATCCAGGCAGGCAAACTGATCCCCACTGCCCCAACCAAGAACTGCCGAGACCCTCCCCCTGAGCATAGGACGTTGCCAGGCCGATCCTCCCCGTTAGACTAGACGCGGCACCTCGCAGCGGCAGCAGCAGCAGCGGCAGCAGCGGCAGCAGCGTACCCTGACCTTTACCGCCGAGGACCATGGCGAAATCCAAATCGCAGGGGAGCGTGCCGAACCGGCCGATTTATTCTCGAATATCCTATCTGTACCAAGCAGCCGCGTGTATGGCCACCCGTTCGGGACAGGAAGCGTCCCGCGATGTCGCCCGCGGCCCTGAAGGCTCCGGGGATCCTGCTGCCGCGGCATCGCGAGGCGGCCGAGCGTTTTCGCGGCAACTGCTTGCCGACATGCGAGCCACGTCTCTGAAGAGCCAAATCCGCCTGTCCCCGGACCTGAAGCGGACGGTCTGCAAATTCTGCGACAGCTTTCTCGTCGAAGGGAAGACGAGCAGCTCCGTGGTCGAGAACAACAGCAGGGGTGGCAAGAAGCCTTGGGCCGACGTGTTCGTCATCAAATGCCACACCTGCGGCGGGGTAAAGCGCTTCCCCCTTCATGCGCCCCGGCAGAAGCGGCGGCCACTCCGTCAAGATCGACAACCCACGGAGGGGTTGGGGACGACAGAGAACCCAGATAGAAACGAAGTGACAGAAACAGACAGAACGACAACGCATGCGTATCAACCGACGCTTCCCATGTACCTAAACCCAAGACCGATCCCATAATCTCTTGATGCCGAACGATGTTTTGTCTTCCCATCTTTATCACCATGCGTCGCCCACAGGTTCTCTACGTAACGCTACCCGGAATAGTCACTATAATGAACTCTTCCCTCGGGCTAAGCATAAGGTCGGCTACTATATGGGCAAGATAATCACTCTCAAATAAGCGATGCTAGTAATGTAGCTGATGGAAACCCCAGGTAATTCCCTATAATAGGGTATTAAAATGTAGTCCATGATATAAGCGCTATGTCCCGAAGAGAGCCCAAACCACCTGTTCTTCAAGTTGTTGGTAACATTTTCAAAAGTAACGGGTGTGGACTGACTATTAGGATATGTAACCCCTTTGCTGCCCTGTACTACGGTAGGCTGCCGGGCCGGAATTCAACCGGCTACAATGGATGATGCTAGAACAGGTCGACAACGCGATGATGCCAGTCATTACCTAGACATACTCCTACGTGAGAAAATACCCCTAGTCGAGCCAAACACCCAGAGCTCACTGGCGCGATCCCGACGAAACGAAGTGACGCAGGGGCAGGCGAGAATCCATCGTACTTACGACGACACGATCCAGATTTTCAAGTTTGTCCGACAGCAGCCGCATCTCCGACCCCTACTACCGTCACGATCGTAAGCACGCGATGCCCTATGATGCAATTCGCATTCCCACGTGTTGGCACGTGAGCCTGCGAGGGAGACAGATCTGACGATACGGGGCAGGCTAGGTGCAGAAACTCACCCTGGACCGGTCCCGGGGTCTAAAAATCGCCTCGCCGCGAAACCCGCCGAACTTGGCCCTGCACTCGAGCCTCGGCTTACGTAGGGTGCGGCCAGCGAAACAGACGCTAGACACGGTATATTAGATCGCTGTGAGATTCCGACACCACCTCATATCCTCGCCCCGCCACGCGCCCCTTTTCCATCAGCAATTCGAAGACGGCCCGCGAAACCGCTCTTTCCTCAACGCCGGCCTGTTATACGAGATGCCAACTTCCGATAGGGGGCCGTATACCCCAAAAGGCAGGAAATAAGCTGGAAACGGGAGCAGGCCTGGTTTAAAGAGATCAAATCCGGGTCCGCCCCCGTCTTCCCCCTCTTTCCTCCCGGGCGGGCTTTGCGATACACGTACGTCAGCCTAGCGCCGGGGCAGAACAAGAGCGGCGACGCCGACGCCGCCTACAACGCCCAAGGCGGCGGCGTCGGTGCTGGACACCCCCCGTGGAAGCTAGCTGAGACGGCTTTACCGACACAAACGCCTCTTCGCTTCCCTCTTCCGAGACATTGGCATTTTGCTGGAAACCGAGCTGCGCGGCGCACAGCATCCCTGCGCGCAGCTCGATACACCGAGCGCGAAGCAGGCGTGCCCAGCGGCCGGGACCGCCCCGAGCACCGGCCAGATTCGCCAGCGAGAGAAAACGCGGCGTCTGGTGCATCCGCTACCTTTCCAGACTCTATCCAGGCTCGCGCGAGTTTGGCTCTCTACGTGGCCGCGCCTCCGCACCTGCTCGTACCCGTGTCGAAGAGAGCTATGCATGGTTGTATTGAGTACCCGTTCGTGCTCTGTAACGGCACAGACAGCTCTGTGTCGCGCTGTCTCGCCCTTGGGTCGACTAGGGGAGGGGGGAGGGGGAGGGTATTTTTAAGAAAAAAATCAGGCGACTACAGCCCCGGTGGACGCACGTACTTCCGCCCACGCCGTTCTCGTGTCTTCCTCTGCATTTATATAGCTTCTACCACGGGTATGTGCTTTCCTCCGGCTTCAGCCCATGCACGCGAGCTGACGCTCGAGTCATAATCCAAATATATTAATGCTATTGTCGGGAAAGCAACAAGAAAAAAATGTAGCCACGCTCAGCCGCAGTACTATCGTCCACCCCGAGCGGTCTAGCCGGTTAACTAGATCTATCAAGGGCGAGGGCGTAGTAACTTTCCCATCCCTTTCCCTATCCGCAATCCAATCATGGAAGGGGAACCAGGGCAGGTCTGGGAAGGAGGTCGGAGCGAACGCCTAGGCGACAGGACCGGGCCCTAAAGAAACAACATAGTCGATTATACCATAGTAATAGTAGCACTAGAAGCGGATCTATACCAGGCGTGATCGCTGCGGCAAGGGGGGGATAGAAAAGGAGCCGAGCATTTTGGTCAAGTGCATTGTACACACCGGCCGAGCTCAATGTTCAGTAAACAGAGTGATGGCAGATAGGGTAGAGGGGAATTTATCGTCGACACGGGAGGCACCCGGGGGGTGTTGTTGACATAGGATGACATTGTCACCGGACCGAGCCACCTGGTGTTTTTAGTCGAGGGCGTATTCGTCGCCGGGAGGGCATGTGCAGGTTTTCCAGGGCAGACCACATAACTAGCAGAACTCATTGCCGCAGAGACACCTAGGCTGCCCGTTAGCACCGCGCCGCCGCAGGGGCGAAAAAGGGAGGCGAGGGGGAGCTTACCTTATACGATTACAGCCTTCTTCTCGGGTAAGAATCCACCCACACATCTCGCAGGCCTGCCAGTTGTCGCCTATGGCCTCCCTCAGATCCTCGTCTATGCTGGACGCCCTGCAAGCTAGCTCGTTTGGGTGGTGTTCCCTGCCGCAGTTGGTGCAGGTGAGGGCGCCGCATTCGTAACAAACTATCGCGTTGCTGCCCTCGATCCCGGCGTCCTCGGCAAGCTCGGCGTGGCAGGACGGCTTCCAGCAGTGGCGGGTGTCGTCAGGCCTCCCCCTCATGGTGCTCATCTCGTCTCGTACAGTGCTATACCGGTCGAGAAGCTTGTCGTCGTCGAGCTCGGCGATGGACGCCTCGTCCAGCTCAATCTTGCAGCATGATGGCGGCCACAGGAACCGGTCGAGCGCTGAAATCTCGACTAGCCGGCGCAGGCAGTCCCTGCAGTACCAGCACCCGCACGGGACTTGCCACAATACCTCTTTTGGCTCACGGCACGCGGTACATTCGCCAAGACACTCGTCGCTGTTAGGTGAACGGGGCATGGTGCCGACCCACTTGCTGGTGGACGCCGAGTCTCTTCCCTTTAACACCTTCGTGAGTTGACTCTAGGTAGTTTCCTTGATCCTTTGGTCTTCCGAGCTAAAAGAGATTTCGACAACGCTTAGCACAAAATGTTTCTTAACACTGCTCTATACCAACGGTCTCAAGGGGTGCCTCATACTTCTTCAGACGGTAGGTAGGTAGATCATAAGCTTGCTTCTTCGGGATCTGATATCTTCTCTAACCGCATCGGTGCTGACGACGCTGCTCCTGTGTAGACTGGCAGAGAAGTAAACGGCGGCTAGAGATAGGATGCAAGGAGTAGATATATCTGGTTCTTCCTAGGTAGGTATTAATTGTTGTGTGACAGTGGGCATGCCGTGAGGGTTGCCATGGCATGAGGGCGTAGGTGAATGGAAGAAAGGGTTCGAGGCAAGTGGAAGAAATTGATCTCGAGGTGAATATATTCCAGTGTTACCTCTGTACATTAGGTGGAAGTTGTGGATCCTAGACATCCCATTAATCAGCGCTGGTAACTCATAGTTATTACCTAATTCACCTTATAACGCTTACCTATTCACTACCTAGTATAAGCTCTTAAAAAAATTTAAACCAATATTTTTTTAAAAGAAAGGCTATATAAAAGCTTGTTATTTCATAGTTACAAACTCTAATTATCCTCTTAATTAAATAGCAGTTCAGATTCAGCTTCTTACGTTTCGTGCTTTAATTAACTAAGTACTTACAAAGCAACAAGAATCGATCCTAGCTAAGATACACAAAGATGTCTCCGTACCATCCTTGGTACATAGCGCTATGAGACGAGCAACTAAGAGAGTACCTGATCCTCCTACCGGTTCCACTTTCCCTAAGCAGCAGCAACTCAGCATCTCGTCCTTATTCGTTTGCTGCCGCAAACCCGCGCCACTCACGCCCGCTCCCTCTCTCCGACGTTACACGAGGCGGGTACCTACGGACATCCGAAGTAGTGGCGCGTATATATACGCACGGCCACGAGGCACCGGCTTTACGTTATGGGACCGAGCATACAGTATAGGTACGCCTGGGTACCTGAGATCAGCTGCTTATACAAGCCTGCTTCTAGGTACTTCCTGTAGATAGGTACCTCTCAAGGTCGGTACCGGAGTAGGACGTTATTAGTCGGATATGAATAACAACCTTACCTATGTGAGTATGTAATACGTGTGCCCTTTGGAGTGACGAATGATTTGTAGAGGAAGACATTTGCCCCCCTCTCGCTATCAAGGATCCAGGTGCTAACGGGAGGCAGCCAATATTTCTTACACATCTAACCCCCCCTCTCCCGCCCTTCGTCCGTTTCCCGCCTTCTTCTTTTCCATCCTCCGTTCTGCTGCCCCAAATTTCCCACGGACTACAGGTGAGGCCCAGAGACATCAACGCCAGGGTCTAGTGTGTATTCATACAACGCGCGAGAGGGCTCAGAGCCATGCCTGCCTCGTACATCGGAGCTGCTCTTTCGACGAGGTCCTCTGTCGCAATGAACATCCGGCGGCTCCTGTCTCCCGCCGGCCGTACGCAAGGCGTCACCTCCGCGATGAGGTTATCCCCGTTCCCAGCTGTCGATACCTTCTCCGCCCACGCGCCATAGGCGTTTCTTTATCCCTCGACGCGATGCGAGCCCAGTCAGATAGTCTGCTTTTGCTTCGACTACCCGCGACATTGCCCTCCCCCGGGAGTGGCAGAACTACACACATATAACATCGCATACTACCTTGTTTCCAACAGAGAGAGTGGAGAGGAGAGGGTGCCCCCTGAGAATGGGCCAGCCAACTTAAGGTTGGATAACCCGCACTGCTGTTAACCTACGTTGTGTAAACTCCTAGCCCGCTTGGAGTAGTGGTATAACTCGCCGGTGTCCGATGTCCGTGCATTGGACAGCCGGAAACCCAGGTTCGAATCCTGGAGCGAGCAGTCTTTTTTTTTTCTTCTTAGCTGCCCCCTTTTCACCCTACACATATGCTTTATTAGGCACTTGGTGCGTATCCATACCTATTGCTTACTTCTCCTTGAAGATCCTACACTAGCTGACTGTTTACTATGAGACAGATATGGTGTTAAGTAGCTGTCAACAAGTGTCGAAGACCTGGCCGCATATTATCGAAGCCGTGATTTACCCTGGCGCTGATATTGATCTCTCAGGGCAGATACCTAGCTTGAATAGATATGGCAACTGAACACATTGTGCCAAGGGCATCATAACTTGGATAGATCAAGTAGTAGTTACGGGATGATTACATACGAGTTATAGGGAAGTCCTCTGCTTCTCCCTTTGCGTAGCCGGGCGGAATTTCCTAAACCATATCTGCTGCGTAAAACGTAAGAGCCTACACTCGACAACTTGTAGATAGGTATAGGCTTCTAAGGGCGGATTTCCTACGTTACGATATGTTGACAGTCGCTACGAAGCACCGCTTATGGCGCAATCGAAGATTAATATATCAGGGTGAATTCGTAGCAATAAGGGAGCCTCTGATAAGTGGCTATTCCAACATATCCCCGTTGTCACATCTCAACTTCATCTGTACACGCAATCACACCAACCGCTAACAGGGATATGCCGTGAGCATAGCTGTCTTGGGTCTACTACTCGGTAGCGTCCCCAGCGGCGGACGCGCGTTAGGTAATACCTATTACTTACCTCCTGCCTCGTTCCTGCCAGCGCTAGTCCGCGTCGGGACGTCGGCATGGCCGAGGCTCCGACGCCGGCGGACCCCACGATGGGCTTCCTCGAGGCGGCCTCGACCTCTCTGAGCGCCGCCCGGGGGTGGGGCGAGGGGGTTCGCAGAACCGCCGAGCAGTTCGATGACGCAATGCAAGGTCCGATGTCGATTTTCCTTTTTTTAATGCTCAAAAAGTACCATAAGGCGTGATAATCCGGTAACGAGCAAGGGCTAGGGAGCGGCGCTCTAGGCTGCCGACAAGCCCGTGTCCCCTCCCCCTCACACCTAGGCAGGTCGCCGGCGTGAGCGCGTTATTAACCACGCCTATCCCACAACTCGACGCTCGCTCCAGATCTCACTTACACACCCCTCGGCTGCAGCACTCATTCTCGCGATATAGGTATGTGTTTCCCACGATACGCCTAGGTATGTGATCCCTAGATGATATGGCTATCGTCTCAACTCCTTATCTAATCCCTTGGGGTTTTCGATGGCAAAGCCTTCGCGGATTGCTTGTTCATAATTAATTTACCTGTGCGTCAGCGCGGTTTCGCAAGCTTCCCCTTTCCATTTGTCACCTACGTAGGTAGTTTCTGCTTCTATCCATTTGCCTTCTCACTTCCTATAGCGAGTTCATCCGACGTGGAACTGATGCAACAAAAGAGATGTATGTCATGGCTGCAAAATATTGCAACGGACGGATCAATTTATTAACAGTCGGAACCGCGATGGATGTACAATAGACTGTCTTTCTTGCCGCCAACGTCGTGCTGCTGAAGTCAGGACTCTTCTTCTCTCTAATATTATACGTGCTCCTTCGCTCATTACCAATAGTCTTTACGCTCTAGGCGTGCGTTTGCGACGTTTCATTCCACCTACCGGGTCCTAACTTCTTCCCTATACATGTGCTCCCACGCTAATTATAGACAGAACTCTCTAGGTATCCAATCCTGCACTTCGCCCTACGTTGGAACCCTCGGCAGACCAATCGGCGATCCCGCCTCCGCAACCGGCCGTTACTACTACGCATCGTCGAATACTTCCCGCTCCTGTCCGGCCTCGAGAAAACCATCACCCTCTTGCCCCTTCCCTCCGCCCCGAGGAGCGCAGGCTAGCATCCCCCGCCGCCACCTCTAACATCGCAGCGCGAACCTTCATGGCCGCTCCGACGAGCCCGCCGCTCCGCTTCGCCGTGGCGCTGTTCCCGGGGTTCCAGGCGCTCGACGCCTTCGGCCCGCTCGACGTGCTGAACGTGCTGTCGCGGCGGTACCCGATCTCTATCCGCGTGCTGGCCGCGACGCGGGAGCCGGTGTCGACGCGGACGCCACTCTCGGGCCACGCGGCGGGCGAGGCCGTCGCGCCGACCCACACCTTCGCCGAGACGCTCGCCTCGCTGCCCCCCGCCGACGACGGCACCAGCCCCGACGGCATCGACGTCCTCATCGTCCCCGGTGGCGCCGGCGTCCGCGAGCCCCTCGTCGCCCGCCCCGTCGAGGACTTCGTCCGCGCTGTCTACCCCCGCCTCCGCTTCCTCTTGACCGTCTGCACCGGCAGCGTCATCGCCGCGCGCGCCGGCGTGCTCGAGGGTCTCCGCGCTACTACTAACAAGCGGTCGTGGGAATGGGTGCGTCTTCTTCCTCTCTGATCCCGTCCCCCTTCCCCCCCCTCGTCTCCCACCACCCTCTTTACCCGGCCACCCCCGCAACCCCCGGACCGCGAGCAACTAACCAACACCCCCATCCGGCGCCGACAGGCTACCTCCCAGGGCCCCGACGTCCGCTGGGTGGCGCGTGCGCGCTGGGTCGTGGACGGGCGGGCGTGGACGTCGTCGGGGATCTCGGCGGGGATCGACATGGCGTTCGCCTTCGTCGCGAACCAGTTCGGCGAGGATGTCGCGCGCGACATCGCGGACGCCGCCGAGCACTCGCGCCGCACCGACCCCAACGACGACCCGTTCGCCGAGCGCTGGGGCGCCAAGGAGAAGGAGTAAAGGTGCTGACGCAGGCCGAGCCGGAGAGGGCGCTCTCAGCTTCGGCTATGGTTCGGCGGCTGGTGTGGTATGGGGAGGAGCGGGGCGGAGAGGAGGTGTGGATGTGACGGGATGGGATGGGACAAGAAGGGGGGTTGGGTGGAAAGGGGTACTCACGTGGCCCGGGGCGCGGCAGAGCACGCCCACACACATACGGGAACGAGCAGCGAGCTGGTTAGCCGAGCTTTCTCGTACCAATAGGCCTCGGCCGCGTCGAACGGCTGAATACCTAACCTAGTTCTATTCTTAGTAGTAGTCGGCCGGTCGCAGCTGTGGCTGTTTCACGCACACGCCGGGACGCAGGACCTTACCGCCTACGGCTGCGTCCCTGCTCGATCGTAGAGGATGCTCCTACGGCAGCCAACACTCTTTGCCTCCTTAACGCCTCCGCACCTCCTCTCTCTGGGACCCATCGGAAAGGGAAGACGGCCAGATCGTAGCCCCCTGCGCCCTGCATCCGGAGTGGAGCTGTGCGTCCTCCAGCAGCGGTCCGAAGTCCTCGCGACTTCTTCGGGTACAGGGCGTGTCGGCTCACGCGCCGCAACCCGGGGTCTGGATATGGGGTTGCCGGGAGCGGGGGGCCGCTGGCCGGCTGAAGAAGCCTCGATATCTCCCCGCGGAGAAGCCGACGCCGCCCGGTGTACGTAAGATTTGCATAAATCGCGCTGGCGACTCCGTCACTGGGTAAATATGTAAGCCGCTGCTGCCATCCTCCAGAGAGAGGGGGGCGAGGGAAGGGAAAGGGTGAGTTTACGGCCAACCCGTTTCGTGACAACATAGGTGGGCAGTAAGTAATGCAGTGCCACGGGGCGAGAAGACGTGTGCGGATAACCACGGTAGGCAGACTGATTTTCAGTGCGCCAGTTCCCTACCTTCTCCCTCCCCTCCCTCTTTCACGCTCGAAATCCGGCGGCGATGGATGGTGTGTGCACCATAGCCCAAGGCTATGTGGACGCGTCCTGCGTGCAGCATCGTGCCGACGCCTGCGTCACACACACACGCACGCACACACGCACACACGCAGCTGCGCCGCGTCGTTTCCGCTCTGTCTATATGCACGTATGCGTGCGTCCGAAGCCAAGTTGAGCCCCGTTCCCCCCCTTACATGCCCACCATGTATGCTGTAGGACGCGCAGCGCAGCGCATGATCACCCACCAACTGACGATGTCTCTCGTCTGCGCTTGGCTAGGGCACAACACGAATCTCGCTGCGGGCAGACACTCGATATCCGTATGTATGCAACGCCGCCATGCTGTGCGATGGCACCGGGCAGGAAAGAAAAAAAAGGGAGAGGGAGGGACCGGGCTAGCTACGTACATGTATGTGTCTGCAGCATTCCTCTCTCTCTCCGACAAACCACACTCGCGGCCCTCCCCCACTACGAGGTCCACGTTGTCCTTTGTCCGCGAATTTATGCCTTGGGAGGGGTCGGACCCAGAGCGGGATTTCGTGGCATGTGGCGGCGAGTGGCAGCTACTTACGTGTTACTTGGTCCCGATTTCATGCCGTAGCTCCGGATACCCATACCGGCCGAGACAATGAGTAGGTAAATAAATAGGCATAGCCAACTAATATCGTCGGCTTAGCCAACACGGGTAGCGCCCCGTTGGCATTTCCCTTCCAGCGGGAGCTTGCAGGTGCGCGATGAGCCACAAGAGGGCATACATGGGATGACAAGACAGCCAAGCATACCTTCTAGTCAGCACTACGTCGTCCTTTTCGGGGAGCCCTGTCCCTATTTCATGCATTGTAGCTCTATGTATGTGACTGCCCTCACCGCTGCTCAGCGTCTTCTGTCGCGTATAGGAATGTATAGGAATGGGAGTCGAATAGCACCCAGAGTCGGACGGCTGCTCGTTGTCTCCCAGCATGTAGAGCAATTGGGCGACTCGCATGCTGCAGGGGTCCAGCGGCTCGCCACCTCGGTTCTCGGAGGGTAAGCGCCATAACCCGAACACGAAATCTCTCCTGGACTCCAACGTGTTGACGTCTTCTTAAACTTGGCGCGGAGGGGCGCTCGCAAGGGAGGCTCGTGGCGGATGAGTAGATTAGAGATGCTCGCCCACGAATCGTAATCGGCGGGTATGGTGCTAAAAATTGTTGATCCGGTCAAGCTCGGATTTCTAGACAAGACAGGAAAAAAAAAGTCTCGGCCTCAAAAAGCAGGTTTGGCAACCCCTGCAAATTCTCGAAATCCAGGTGGGAAACGGCCGGTTTCCCCAAGGGCGACGTATCCGCTACGCCTAAGCCGGAAACGATCGGTAGGAGAGTGAGCACATGGATTGGCCGTTAGACATACTCATATGTACGCGACATGTCGTCTAGACGATAGGCTACTGGCCGTCACATCCATATTTTCGTGGGCTTGAGTGGGCATAGGGGCTCCGATGAGGCCTACGCTGGCCTGGGCCTGAAAAGCCACAAGCGGCATCTTCCGATTCTGCGAAGAAACAAGTGCATACGTACCTCGCCTGCGGAGGTCGGGGTATTGCCCACGGAAGGCCTGAGGGCGGACGGGATGATATGATCCCTCCCCACTAGGAAGAGACTCGGGTATCTCGATTTCGCGATCCCGCCTGATGCTCCAGGCAGTCGGGGTGGCTTCACGGGGTCTTGGCACACTCAACAGCGGAGGAGAATCCCGAAAGTATGCGATATCTACCGGGTGGATCATCGAGGCCGCATCTCTCGCCCATCCTTGGGTATCCGGCCGTTCTACGCAGCCAATTGCTTGAAGACTGGGGCCGGGCCGCGGTGCCACGATGCGGAGGATGTATGTACAAGTACACAGGGACGGTCCCCTGCCTTGGTAAGCCGATAAGGCTCCGTGAGGTGGCCCCTCGTTGAGCCCTGGCGGACCTTATTGGCGCGGAGTATTTCTCCTGCGTATTCGTTATATTGGCTGCCTAATCAACCCGCCCGGGGAGGTGTGTGAGACGAAGCCGAATATCGACAGCGGTTACCGTGCCGCTTCTTCTAGTTATCCGTTGGTTTGCCAGGCTGACCGCAAGCGGCTGGAACTGGCGGAGGTAGGGCGAGGTGGGATTGGCCAATTCATTCCGAGGCGCGATGGAGCACGAGAGGCGTTAGCAAGGCCAAGGAAGTCTCAAGTCTGCCATAGCAGAGGTGGTCTAGCCCGTCCTAACGTGCTGGAAGCGGTGCGGTGGGCTAGAGAGCATAGCTCTCTCAAATTCCATCGCGGGTTGGTGGTAGGCCGAGTCATCCGCCGTGGTAACGACGTGGCTTGGTGGCTTCGGGATTGGTCGCGCTGTTATGGCAAAGCCAGAGAAGCCGACAGGCAGGATCCAGGGCGTAGGTACGCACAATATTTGACACTGGGAATATCTGACGCCGAGAATATGTAAACGACTATTAAGACTACGGAGTGGATGCGTTGATAGACGAGATTGCCCGCGCGGGCTCTTGTTGGATTCATGCGGGTGATTTGACCGTATGTATTCGGTAATTTTTACAGAACTCGAGACAAAAATGAGAAGCCCAACACATAACCCCGTAAAGAGGTAGCTGCTTATGTAGGTACTTAGGTAACTACCGGAAGTTGGGAAGAGGTACCTGAGTAGATACCTCCTTACCTGAGGTAAACAGGGGATATCTACCTAGGTACCTAGGTACCAGTTAACTGGCACATCGAGAACAGGTACCCAGGTACCTAGAGGTAGGTTGGCAAAATTCTCACACAAATCCACTCTTACTAGGATACTAGGAATCTTCCCGCCCGACCCGGAACCATGGTGGATCTCCGCTGCCCGAGCGCCGAACACACTGTTGGGTTAGGCCTAATAATACGACGCCTGTCCCTCTTTTTTTCTTGCTCGGAACGATCGCCCTCTAAGATAAGATACCTAGCTAATATTGTGCACGCGTATATATTACAGGTCAGTATGTTGATGTACATACGTGCTGCGGGCGGATCGTGTGCAATATATGTGTATATATAGACCGACGGGATTGTATGTTTACCTCCGTTCGCGTAAGATAGATCCTTTGACGCGTCCGTTTGTTAAAATTTGCGAGGACGAAAGTTCTGGCCATGGGTCCCGTTGATTCATACGTCATCGCTGCACCGATAGCTTGATACTACCATTAGGGGGGATTACAAGTATGAGTATACTGCATAGGTGTGCATGCCCCCTCTACCCACATACCTACCTCCTAACCCTCCTAACCATACCTACCATATCTTTCCTACGTGTCGCGTACTGGCGCCTGGGCAACTTTAGCCGTCCCGAGTTCTTCATAGAATAGGTACCTAACACCAAACGAAGGAACAGCATCATGGTACCGGTGTCAGATAAGCTGAACGGATGTGGACAGCTTAATATGCCTCTTTACTTTCGTGCAGAGGAAGAGCTGCCGGAGATGAAGGCCACCGGCTATTTTTACCGATCGGATCAGGTTAGCTGAGCATGGGTTACATCAGGTTACTACCTATGAGAGGTAGGTAGGCATGTCTGCTCTCTACAGTACGCAAGGTATCCAGCGGCAGGTAACAGATCGCTATAGATCGCTATAGGTACATGTATACGTAGGTATATCACATACCTGACATATGGAAAGGCGCTAGGACGGCATTACGAAGGGAGGGGAGAAGGCTGGCGACAACGCATTCCGAGAGCCTGTATCTTGTCTGGTCGGACTCGAGACCGAAGCTGCCGGGTGTCGAGGCGAGGGGGAAAAAAAGATACCGACGATCCCGTGGTCTCGATGAGCCCCTTTCGGGATGTTCAACGTATATACATGTACATATGTAGAGGTTATCTCGTTGTTAGCCCAATCCCTGCCCCAAAGGTACAGGGGCTGCGCCTCTTCCGGGACCTCTGTATAGAGGTGCCTACAGGTACCTGCGTATTGTGTACGCAGGTAATTTATCATCTGACTGGCAGCGTCGTCTTCTCCTTCGCGTATACGTGTGTAGGTACCTCTCTACGGTATTTCTCCCCTACAGACATTCTTCGACCTCGATTGTGACCTGTCCAGTTTGGCGCAGGCACCTACCTCCCTAAGGTATGGGATCTCGGAATTTCCAAGTCCTTCTTACTTCCTGGACATGGTGGCTTGGGCTCAAGGGAAATGTGCTGGACACGTCTGAATGTACAAGTGTCCGAGACATGGCCTGTTTCCCTGGCCTGTTGCTGCCAAATGACAAGCCACTGTTCTCGTGTAAGTTGGCAGTATAAGTAAGCAATTTGTCGAGATTGAGATGGCAAGATGCTATCTGCCCAGATGGGCGCATTAGAGAGTACCGTCTTCAGGCCAAAAGGAGCTCTTGAGCAGGTAATTCATACGTGTTCGTACAGGTATGTCCTTTTGTAATGGCAATGCCTGCGGTGGCTGGATCCTGAAAAGTCGTGTTCATCCCCTTTAGTACTCACCATCTTCACCTCCTGCAGGGATTCTATTGTTCCTTTCCACGTCGACATCTAAAAGCATCGAGTCGTCACCTTCCCCTGTCTGTTTATTCAGGGAAGCCAAACGGAATCATGCTTATGCATACATATGTACATACATGATCTACCCTAGTATGCCCCTTCTAGAATCTCATATATTTTCCGTACATGCCCTAGGTACCTACGAATGTACATACATATATAGAATGCACGGGCCCCGATATGTAAGGATCATAAGTGAGCAACAACTTACAGCTGCCCTACATGCGGGTCTGCTGATAGATACGTGGACCATCAAAGCGGGTCTGGTATGCTTTTCTCTGAGTATATACGTAGGCTCAACTCCCTGCAGTTTCGAAGACGATGCACGTTAGGCAGTATTAGGACTACGAGGACTGAATGCCTCTACGTGTAGTGTTACGTTTGAAGAAGCCGCGCTTTTGACATACCTCCTCGCTGAGGCTTAACTTCGCCTGCCTGGCTTTCAGCGCCATGCAGCTGTGCGTAAGGGGACGCCTGCGGTAGGTCAGTGGCCAGGTATATAGGGGCATATTTAGTCCCGCCATATTTGAAGAATACGAGCACCAAGCCGACAATCCATCTGCAGTCAATAGGAGACAGAGAAAGGGCACTGGCGGTTAAACCGTCCATGTGTGCCGCTTCGTACGGAGAGTCCGGAGATAGGGAGGACCGACATGTGGATGTAGGTCAGATCCACTGTCCAATGATATTCCCGTCACTCTACGAGAAGACTTTATCTATCTTCACAACATACACGCGTTTCGTTTTGTAACACAGTGCGCACGCATTCTGGGCCGATGGGCTTACATGGATATCTCGAGCCTAACCTGTATAGCACGCAGTACACATGTAATGTATGTAATCAAGGTGCACAGCCTCGTCGCCCCGTGCGAGCGTCGATCTTTGCTGTATGTATTGCGGATCGGATACCACCAACGTTCAATATACGGACGAGCACCTTTGGGACCTACGTGTAGGTAGGTACCTAAGGTAGGCATGTACGTAGAGCCGAATGCATCCTCATTCTAGAATGACGGCACCCGCAAGGATTTGCAATGCCCTCTACCTCATTCGAAAGGGTCGAGGTATGTGCGTCTACACACCCATACGCAGAACTCCATGCACATATACCATCTGCGTCTGGGTACATGGATGTACATATGCATCTGCCAGCGTTGGCACCATGCAAACCTCTGCCTGGGCAAGACTTTTTCAGATTGTCGATTGAGAGAGAGAGATATATATATAGCCCTGCGGTGTCGTGGTGAAGATTGCGGGCGGGAGCGTGTCCGTAGGACCTACGGAGGATCGCGGTGTTGGAAAACTCAGTTGGCCCCTTGGCCGGTAAGGGCCTAAAGACGCAATAAACGCAATCCTCCCCGTAGAGAAGTTGTGGTACGTAAGAGAAGGTTGTTGATCTGCCCTAGAGGTACCGCCTATGGGCAGAATGATGATACGCACCCGTCAATCTGTATGTCTTACTACCAGGCCTACCTCTCTACATTCGTAAAACCCTACCGTCCCGTAAAATGTACGCCACCCCATCTGAAGACCTCTTTCAAACCTAGCTATCTATCAACCTTAGACATTTAGGACCGACTTGAACCCAACCTCTGCTTACGATAGTGTGCTACACATGCGCTGGAATAGGTAGGTAGCTGTGTCTGTATATACCTCGGTGCCTGTCTGTGGACTGAGTGAGGTGTAGAGGTAGTTATACTGCAGGTACCTTAGGTGCTTAACAGCCTTAGTTAGGTACCTCCTAAGCCGACCTAGGTCCCTGTATACCTAGGTGCTACTAAGGGCCCCGGAGTTTACCTAGGCACTAACTTACGCTTGGAGAACCTGTGTAGTATGGAGGTAGGTAGGTAACTATTCGAGGCGGTTCAATTGAGGTTAGGCACTTTAACCCATCTTCCTCCCGGAATGTGAGCCCGTCCATGAGGGTTGCTAGCGCATAAGGACATCAGGTAACAACCTTGCCTAAGGTGCACATATGATAGATTGTTTTACATAGATATGTAAGTAGAGCACCACCAAATTATCAATGGATGCACCTGGCTAGCCTTGAAGATGTGATAGGACCAGCCCCTCGCTCCTGGCCCACTCCACCGTAGAGTGCGCGCCGCTGTTCGCATGTTTCTCGTCGTTCGTACATGATCAATCGAGAGTGGAGGTTTGAAACATTCATTCTTTGAACGTGCCGAATGTATGTGACATTTCTTTTCTTTATGTACATAAGTTTTGCGGGCCACCTCCAACCGTCGGTGGTGTGTCTTCGGGAAATAAAGGTATTGACTGAATTTTCGTTGACACTCTGGGTGCTGGCCCGGCTTATTTATGAAATTGGCCAGAGAGATCTGACCTTGTCACCTACCTGCCTGCCTCCTATACACAGGTGGATATCCCCATCCCTAGCTCTCTTCTTCCGCACCTTGGTCGCAACGTGGATAAGTTGTTTCCCACCAACCCGGCAGTATTGTTACTCTCGGAAGAACCAAGCAGACAGAGGGGGTAACAAAAATAAGGCCAGCGTAAACCCAGCGTCAGCAGTCTAGCCCACATCTCTGGCTGGTTAGACGGGAAGTGCCGTAGTTCGTACTTTTGAGACTTGCGTACCTAGGTACTTCTACTTACCTTAGACACCTAGAGGTACCTAAGGTAGGTAGCGCGTACCGAACGAATTCTCTGCAACGCTACATCTAGGTAGCCACGCGCGCTCGCTACGCATGCTTGTCCCAGTCCCCAAGTCATGGATACCTAGGCTAGGTAGGTATGTGTTTAGCACGCTGCGTGCCCCGTAAACGCCAATCCGCTACCAGGTAGGTAGAGGTAGGTAGGTAGGTAGGTACATGCTTTGGGGGGGCACTTGCGTGATAGGTGGGTACCTGGTATTCTATCTGGTGGGGCTACCGGTAGGTACTTCGGGCGCCTTGAGGTTCTGAGGGGCAGGCACCTGACTAAGGCGGGTGCGTGAGGCGTGTAGGTCGTGGTAGGTGATGTAGGAGGTACCAAAGGCCAGGTCCTACAGGAGGTATTAGAAAGTACCCATATATTCAATGTACCTACACCTACCTACCTAGGTACCTACCCGGTAGGTGCCTCCTATATTAGGTGCCTGCGAACCTGGGTTAAGTACCTAAGATACCTACACATGTCATACGTGCATACATCCTCATCATACCGCCAGCAAGTCAATGACAAACGGCAGGAACAGCGACGGGCAGAAGAACATCCATAGCACCTACCTGCCTAAGGGAGCCCCGCCAGCGGGTCGGGGTGACGCTGGGAGGTAGAGGTACCTCCACCTGGTCCAGTTTTGACGTCGCCTCCGTCACCCACTCGAGGTAGGTCTCTTGTCCCTCTCCCTCCCTCCCTCCCTCCCTCTCTCCCTCTCCCTGTCTTGCGCCCCTCTCGCATCGCACCGCTTCCCATCCCTCTCCCTGGCCTGTCCTGTCCCTTGTATGGACGGGTGGATGTGAGCGTGTACGCATGTATGCGTGTGCGCATCTTAGCCACTGTACCTCATACTGGGCAGCCCAGCTTTTCTCCGATCCAAGTAGTTTCCCGTTTCTTCCTTCATCACCTCTTCTGCCTCGCTCCTCTCCTCCAGAAGGTTGTCTCCGCGATACCAGACTGTCCCGTCTATCCCGTCTGTCTGTGTATTCTTGCCGGGCACTCCCTCGCATCGCCCGCCGCCCTTGGCCCAACCGTCGTTCGGCTACCCAACACTCCCACTGCCCGTATCCGAGTTGTTGCGTCCACTCATTAATCATTTCATTTTTTTTTCCTTCCCACCCTTCGCTTTCTCCTTACACCTGTCGAGGATCTCTCGCCACGATAATCCCTCCAACCGTCGCCGCCAGTCCTACGTTTGACCGTCTCTTTCGGAGCGCACCTCGCTTATTCCCGCTGTCCCCACGACCTGGTCTCAGGCCGTCACGCTCGTTACCATTCCGATATCCGTTGTAGCTTTGGGGCATTTCGGCGCAAGTGGACCGGGTTCTCCGGAAAATACAGAGTATAGTCCTGCAAGCCGTCTGCCAGGAGGACTGGGGTTGAGTTAGACACTATCGAATTGTTGTTCCATTCTAGCGGCCGCCGCGAATGGGTCGCTGAAGTTGACTGCCAACCGACAAGCCTAGTCTGCGCCAATCTCTCAGCTTGTTACGGAAGAGGCAAAGATCGTACCTCCTGAGGTGGCGTTCTTGGAAATTGGACGGTTTAAGGAGAGAAGCGAGGAAAGAGGAAAAAAAAGAAGAGCCGAGCGTTAGGGGCGTAATACGAGCCATCGCGAGTCATTGCGTCCACGTCGTGTCTGGGTTCCGTCGTGGCTGTGATACAGGGCTACCTTAGCTCGTCCCGACGCCGTCGCGAGTGCGCCTGCACGATACACAGAGGCAACCGAATCCAGGAGCGGTCTAACCCGCTAGCCCTCGACTGGTCTCTATCATGGCGCCGGTAGCGCCGCGTCTGAAGATCCTTTCAGGTCCGTTGATTTCCCGTCCCATCACCTACATCCCAACCTCGATTCCCATACCATCTGAGTTCGAGAGCGGGAGGCCTCTGTTCGCGTCGGGACTGCTGGGAGAGACGGGAATTCTCTCACTCTCACTCTCGACTCTTTTGGGCAGTTCGAGAGGCCCGGCAGGTTGACTCATGCCTCGAGTCCATCCCATCGCCTCATCATGGATGAAGATATACTAATGCGGGTGTGCACAGTGGGCGGTAATGCTGTGTCCGCGTTCCTGTCCTGGAGGCTCCAGGCCACCAATGCTTGCGACGTAACCCTCGTTTGGAAGTCGGGTTTCGAAGCTGTCAACCAGTTTGGTATCTCTTTCAAGTCCGGGTCGTTTGGAAATGAGCGCTTCAAACCTCGACGTGGTACGTCTAATCTGTGACCGTTCTTGTTCTGCATACGAAGTAAGTAAGCCTTTTGCTGACGCATCTTGTGGGTAGTTGTTCGGACACCGGATGAGGCCTCGAATATCAAAGAGGGTCCCTTCGACTATATCATCCTCTGTATCAAAGCATTACCGGATGTCTATGATCTCGCATCCGTAATCGACGCCGTCGTCACCCCGCAGCACACCTGCATTCTGGTCAACACAACGCATACTTTGGGAGTCGAGGCGGCTATCGAGGAGAGGTTTCCAACGAACGTCGTGCTGTCGCTCGTCTCCAACGCTGAGCTCACGCAGATAGGCGCCAGCGAGTTTGAGCATACTGGCTCGACCGAGGTGTGGGTTGGACCGGCAAATAAAAGTAGCAGTATTCCCCTTGCCATACAAGAGGATATGGCTCAAGCCCTTGCCATGACCCTGAGCAGCGGCCGCGTTGATTGTAAGGTCTCAAATAACATCAGACAGCAGCAGTTTGAGCGCGTTATCGGGTAAGTTTACTTCGGCACGAGCAGTCTTGCTAGCGATCTACTAACAGATGTAGCCCTATTGCCTTCCATCCTGCCAGCGTCATCTTCGATACACCCTCTCACGCTGCTCTTCTAGAGAAGCCCGGGGTCAAGCAGCTAATTTCGGATGTGATCGATGAGCTCATACAGCTGGCGAACGCGCAAGGATGCACACTGAGCACCGACTTCAAGCAGAGGACGTTGAAGGAGCAGTGCGAGCCTTCGGATCCAAGTATCATGTGGCAGGATTATGTGGCAAGGCGGCCAATGGAAGTGGAAACTTTTCTCGGGTCGCCGATCAAATTGGCTCAGAGTTCAGGTATAAAATTGCCCCGGATCGAGACGCTTTACGCCATCTTCCACAACATAAATGTTGTGAACCAATCTCGGCCTAAAGAGATGAACGGACTGCCGACAGCTTCTGGCTCGCCTGTATCCCCAATGCCCCGCATGTCAGCGTCCGGTCCGCCGCCCCGTCCTCCCGTCAATGGATTCCCGAACGGAAATGGGATGCCCATGCCCCGGGCGCGACCCAGGAACTCGTCGAACTTCAGTGGGCCTCCTCCGGGCATGCGTCGCCCTCCTCCTATGAATGGTGGCCCGCCTAATGGACATCGGCCTCCTATGAACGGCGCCCCGAACGGGCACCCCTCATCACGGCAACCGTCAAGACGCGGCTCCTTGGAGGATACCGATCTGGGAGAGTTTAGCCACCTGGTTCTTTACGAGGACACGGCGGACGTTGGAGATGGCGTGTACAATGCTGACAATTCAGATATCGCTCTCCGCGAAAGAGAACTCCAGTTACGGCAGCGCGAGCTGGCGCTGAAAGAGCAAGAAATGCGCATGCGACGCCCGGGTCCTCCGCCAGTTAATAGGAGGCGCGGCCCCCCACCGCGCATTGGAGGCGCCATGTTCGACGACGACGACGAAGAGGACGACTACTTCGACCCGAACTCGGGCCCAGTTCTCCCCATGATCGATCCCGACAATTTTGATATGATGAGCGTTACTTCTAGGAAGAACCGCACCAAGCCTCCGAGCCAAAGCGAAATCAGAATGAATCCCGAAGGCCCTGGTGGTGGACCAACGCATCGTGGTAACCGATGGCGGCCGTCATTCGGCAGAAATCGGTCCAGTCAGGTCTCGAACGCCACGGCTGGTCTCCACGATAACATCCTCGACGATCCGCTGATGAGTTTCACCTCGAATCGGTATGGCAATGTTGATCGGGGCCAGATGCAAGCCGGCTCACGGGCGAATTCTTTGACAGCCTCACATCTCCACGACCTGCAAAATGGACCCGGGGGGATGAGTGGGCCTTATCCTAGGCGGGCCAGCCAGTCACCGGCCAGCCCGTATAGTCCGTCAATGCGAGGTGGCAATGGGCGTCCGTCGCCTCCAGACGGCGTGCGACAACCTGTTCCCCGGCATCCGCCCGGGCAAGGGAACATGGTGGCACCGCATCAAGTTGAACAACATGTCGGGGTGAGCTCCCTCCTACCACCAAATGCCAAGACCGCAGACAGTCTGACCGGCAGTGCGAGCGCTAGCGCGGCGAGTGGTGATTCCATGCACTCGGGCTCTGGGCCCTCAGCCCATAGCAGCATAAGTAGTCTCGGGCCCCGTCCCCCGACCGGAGTTCGTTGATAGGTGTCGGGGGCACGAAGCGCCACCGACATCGGCGTGGGGATTTGGGCTCCTTGTCGACACGCCACGCCTTATGTCCTCAGCTTGGGGTGGCTCGATCTTGCGTATTCTCACGGCTGGTATTTTCTTATAAGTATGAGGGGGCGCCTCTATGTGGGTGGTGCCGAAATTATCGAGTTCGTCTTAATTCGGATCAACGGCGCATTTGATACGGGATAGAAGGAATCGGGTTGGATTACAGCCTCACGACGCACACATCTTTTTCGTCTCGGCAAGAGGGGCGGGAAGGGGAAAGCCAAGTACATCAGCATTTTTGGGTCGAAGCAGTGGCTATTTACATTTGGTAATATTGCATTGGGATGCGGAGTCTGTCGCCTTTTGGGATGCATACATTCTCCTTTTCGTACACGAGAACGAGCACTACGCCTGCTGCCGCATATGCAGAAAGCTATCGTCATTCTCAGCCCCCCCCGGCACCGACCCTTCGCTGCAGTTTCGTCCATTGGGCGACCTTTCATCGCAAGCCGGCGCGCGTATACCCTCTCTCGCCAGAATTTATGCCTGTTAGCTGCCTGGAAGGAGTGCCGGCGAGTATATGTGTACTGCTGTCATTGTCATGATTGGGTATATATGCCTTTTCCCAGCTCTGCTTGGGGCGGACCAACACGGCCTAAGAAGCAGCAGCGGCAGCTTACCGAGCACGCGGAGTGGATCTGCGGGCGGTGAAGGGCTGCGGAATTTGCAAGTGTCGGTACAACACAACCAAGATGTACACACCACACGCACAGAAGACCTCGATTCTCTCTTGTTTCATTTGTCACTGCAGCTGGATTGTAATATTGTGAAGACTGGCATACGACGTCGTTCTAGGGGCCGGGGGCCAGAAAGGAAGGAAGGGGGGCCCCGGGATATATCACGGCCTGCGGAAGAGGGTTCTGAAAAGAAGGGAGAAAAAAGGTGCTCGGGGTCAGGGTAATCTACACATACATCTTAGGGCAACGCCTTTTTTCTCTTTTGGAGAGCTACTGCTAGTGCTTAATTCACCACCAGCAAAACTGGTCATTATCGAGGGCGAATCTGGGTTGAGGCCCACGTGATTGACACCTCCTAAGTTTGATGATTCCCGAACATGAATAGGGGAAGGCTACGTAAGGTAGTAAAAGCTTAGGTAAGGATTGCTCGGCCACGTGCACGCGCGTGCGACGTTACTTTAAGACGCAAGGCGGAAATGGATACTTAGGTACCAGGAAGAGGGCTTATCTTATCAGGAGGTACATGGGTACACGGTGTTGGCCTGTCGACCTCTGGAGCCTGGCTATGACTTACCTCCTAATGTGACACCTTGTCTGTCTAACCCACATACGACGTGGGCTACCGTCTCGACGCATCGACTTCTAGTTGTTTACGCCTCCCACTCCGGTTCTACCTTGCTCCTTCGGGATTTTCTCCTAGTTGGTTGGCTGGTCTTGCCTCGCTCCACCTAAACTCTGCCTCCCTCCTCGCTCCGTGGTTGCGGGGACAGAGGTGCAGGGAGGACCGCGGATACCAACCAACGTTGGGAATCTGCGAGAGACGGGAGAACAGGCACGAGCGTCCGCGTCTGGCCTCCTAGTAACGGCGCTCGCCCTGCCGAGCCCAACAGACGGCTCTCCAAGATAAAAGGGCACCCTCCCCGCTCTTCCCGGCCAATCTCTCGGCATGGCCGCGCGGAGCGGCAGCGGCGGTAACGCGGACCGCACGATGGTCATGTCGGGCGCAAGCGGCGGCGCGCGGCCCTCGATGGCTCCCCAGGGGTCCGGGGGCGCCGTAAAGGCCAGACAGCTGGTAGGTCGTACCGCCCTCCCTCGTCTCCTAATCCCGATCCATTAGGACTACCTCCTCTTCGCACCGACCAGCAGATAGCTAACAAAAAGGGGCCAACGGGGAGGGGGAAGCAGACACACCTGCACTCGCAGCTGGCGCAGCTCTCGGCCAACCTAGCAGACACGGAGAACCTGTTGCGCATGACGAGCGTGCAGGCTGAGGCGATGCGGGGACTAGGGAGCTGGCATGGCGGGCTGTGAGTTCGGTTCCCCTTCCCCGCCCCGAATAGATCAGGGTCACTCCGCCCTGTATAGAGAGCGAGGCGCTCTTATGCTAACGACTACGCAGGTTCATGGCGGCGAGCAAGGTCCTAGGCGAGGAGTCGGTCAGGGAACAGGCACAAGCGCAGGCACAGACGCGGCAGCGGCAGAGCGGCGGTTCGAGGTGAGGATAGCCGTGGGTAAGTCAGGCGCCAGATCTACGGCACCACGCCGGCACATCTGGCATCAGGACACACATAAAATTAGTAATACACCGCTTGCTGCTAGCATGACGCTGTTTAGACCATGGCGATGATTTCCCTCTACTTTTCACTATCGGTTGGGCCCGGCCCAATTTGTCATCCGGGATTTGATTCCCGTCAGCGATGGAGCAATAGAGATCCCGAGCCCGGGCCTCTAGGCCGCCACCTAAGCCCAATTAAGTACGGCGAAATACTATAGACAGCGCCGACTACCCCATGCCCATCTCAATTCGTAGGTCGGGCTACCCAGGTCTACCACCCGTCGGACATCGTGTGCCTCCGACGACGGGCACGTTCGCCCGAGGCACGTCGCCCCGCGGGAGCTACCTGAAGAGTAACCCGGGGGGGACGACAACACCATACCCTGAAGCTATCCCGCGATAACGACTCACCCGCTAGGAATGGGTCCTCGTCGTGCTCCTTCACGCAGCCAAAGTCCCCGTACAATTGCTAGCTCCGGTCTTCCCCATGCGCGGGGGTTAGGGATACCTACCTATATATCTATCTACCAATGTCGCTACGTGTCGAACGGTCGGGTAGTTAGTTAAGCACCGCGGACCCTACCCCCGACCCGTAGCCAGACATCTCCCCATCCCCAAGCCGCTCCGTTCTCGTTTACCGTCTACTGCGCGACCTCGAGCCCTGCTAGCCTAGTATAACCCGAGTTCGAGCCCCTTCCCCCCCCCCTCCCCCTCCCCCTTATACCTATATATCTCGGCGTCCGACTTGCCCGGTGCCGGAGCCGTCTCGGAGACCCACGTGCCGCTCCTAGCGACGACAGCGACAAAGTTAGGAGAGGACGAAGAAGAAGAAGAACTCAGGACGATGCCGGCCCCGAGGCAGCGGTCCGTCCTGATCACGGGCTGCACGGACGGCAGCGCGGGCGCCGCGCTGGCGCTAGCCTTCCACGCGGCGGGGCTGCGCGTGTACGCGACGGCGCGGGAGCCGGCGCGGGCGGCGGGGCTGGCGGCCGCGGGCGTCGAGGTGCTGACGCTGGACGTGCTGTCGGGGGCGTCGATCGCGGCGTGCGCGGCGGCGGTAGCAGCCGCGGGGGACGGCGCGCTCGACATCCTGGTCAACAACGCGGGCGAGCAGGGCGTGATGCCGGTGGCCGACGCGGACCTGGCGCGCGCGCGGCGCACCTTCGAGCTCAACGTGTGGGCGCCGGTCGCGGTCGCGCAGGCCTTCCTGCCGCTGCTGCTGCGCGCGCCCGCGCCGCTGCTCGCCAACCACACCTCGCTCGCCGCCGTCGTCGCGCTGCCCTTCCAGGGCGTCTACGCCGCGTCCAAGGCCGCGCTGGCCGCGCTCTCCGGCGCGCTGCGCCTCGAGCTGCGCGCGCTCGGCGTCCGCGTCGTCGAGCTGCGCTCCGGCGGCGTGCGCACCGGCATCCTGCGCGCCGCGCGGCTCGACGCCCCGCCGCTCCCCGCCGCGTCCGCCCTCGCCCCCGCCCGCCCCCTCGTCGACGCCGCGCTGCGCCAGGACGCCCTCGCCGCCCGCGGCATCCCCGCCGACGCCTGGGCCCGCGCCGTCGCCGCCGACCTCCTCCGCCCCGCCCCGCCCCGCGTCGTCCGCCGCGGCGAGTCCGCCTGGCTCGACCTCCTCCTCCCCTACCTCCCCGCCTGGCTCGTCGACAAGCTCGCCGCCGACGCCGTCGGCTTCGCCCCCATCGAGGCCGCGATCCGCGACGACCGGGCCAAGAAGCTCAAGGCGCACTGACGATCGCTCCGAGGCCCGCCGGCGGTGCTCCGTCGTGCTACCGAAGGTGGGGGAAGAGGAGGGGAGGGGGTTGCCCTATCCTCGCATGGTGTAGCCTTCAATATCCTGTGCCGGCAACCGAGGGGGCGAAGGGACTAGGGGGAAAACAGTTATTTGAGGCAGGCGGGCGGACAGGGAATGTATACCGAGGAGTATCGGAATCAGCGTTTGGATTGTGATAGAATATTGTTGGCAGTGTCAATTTAATGTTACAGTATAATAGTAGAATGTATTACATGGTACTCCGCGAGAGGCTTGACATACTGATCCGTCGAGTAATCAGCTAGCTACCTAATGGCTAAAACCACTTAAAAAAAGAAAGCACCAAGCCTACTCCTATATCCTATCCGATCCTTAAACCAACGCTGACGCCGTCGTGCCGATATACGCACGTCTACGACAGGGATGAGTATTTAGTTGCCGTAGACGAAATAGGCGCTTGGGTCTTGACTTCTAATCATCTAGCGACAAAAAAGGTAAGCAAAACCCCTTCCAACCCTCCTCCCCCTTCTTGTACCCCTGTGCGGAAAACCTGCCCGCCACGTTCGTGCTATTGTATCACATCGCGGGTAAACAAGTAAGCGGATAATTGAAGATGTCCTAAGATCCCTAGTTGCCAAGGGAAATGAAGTGAGAAGTAGAGAAGAACAGAAGGGGAGGGGGAGGGGGGGGGGGGGGATAGAAGAGTAAGGATGCAAATGGTCATTACAAAGAACTCCGTTCATCTGGTTGTTGTCATTCAAGTCATTCCCTCACATGATGCCGGCCGAGCAAGGAAATGGGGGAGGATGGGTGCGAAAGGGAGGTGGCAGGAGGGTAGTTCTCAAAGGGAGGGCAAGGGGGGTTTATTATCACAGAGCGTTGAGGAAAGCCTCCGGCTTCTCGCTAGCGCAGGTGAACAGGTTGATATGCTGATCTCCGCGCGCCGCGCAGCCGAGGACCATGCGGTGAGGGTGGAAAGCCGTAGTAGAGATAGGCGCGCCTCGATTCTGCTGGAGAAAGCTAGAGTACGGCTCCATCCGGGAGAGCTCGTGGCCCTCGAAGTTGAAGACCTTGACGATATGCGCAGACGTTCCGCTGGATGAAACATTAGCGGAAAGGATATAAACGGAATGCGAACTGGATTAACGCGCGGGGACTTACACAGAGAATACCGGTAGGTGTTCGTGTGTGCTCGCCGTGCGAAGGGTATCGCGTGTGGCTTGGATAACACGGAGCGGCGAGTCCATCCGAATATCCCACAACTTTACCTTTCCATTTCGGCTCGCAGAGAGTAGCTCGCGCTGGCCGCCCCGTTGCATGTGTACGTTTCTAATCCACTGACGATCGGAGTCGTCCTTCCATTTTTTCACCATGGATTCCTGAGGTCGGAGTCGCGTGTCAAACACTCGAACGGCGCCGTCACCAAATCCGGCCACGAATATGTTTCCGGTCATTTGGTCCGACGTCAGCGATGTAACGCAAGATCCAGAACGCGCCGGTATGTCCATAACGCATGTCTCGTATGCGGCAGCCCAAACTCGTATCACGCGGACGTCTCCGGCAACAAGCACATTACCAGTCACCTGCTGCCAATCGAAGACCATCCCCGAGTTAACATTGCTCGGAACCATATGGGTGAGTGCCCTCCACGCCGACGCCAACTCGGTTTTCTTGGCTTGATCGTAATTTCGATAGATCCTCAGGACGCCGTCCGATGAACCCGTCATTAAAAACGCCGTGTCGTCCTCGTTGATAAATGTCATGTCGCTTATCTTCGATCCGTCAGGGTTGCCATTAGAAAATCGATTCAACCTGGCTTGCTTCTTCCAGTCCCATATGTGGACCGTGTTGCCGTCGTCTGCCACCGCTAGATGATCCTCATATTGATGGAAATTCATTTTGGCCGGCTGAGCACCATTTTTCATGATGCAGAGTTGGTTGTTCCATTTATGGCTGCCGGCGTAGTGCTTCTGCGGCTGGGTTTCACGGAGTATGTTCTCATTTCGTGATCTCCGCCACAGACGCTCGTTGTACTCCGTGCTTCCTGGTTCTTCGGCCTCGCTAGGATGCATCTGCGGCTCACGGAAATATTCAATCGACCAGTCAAGAAACGTGCTCGGGAGCGGCAGGGAGGGCCTCTCCTCTAGATTCCGATCTTTGAACCGCCCTGAGACGGGCTCATCAGCTACGTGGTAGTGGGCCGACGCGCTAGTTGGGTCGGTTTGTTCAAGCGGAGCGCTCCAATCGCCGGCAGGCCGCAGTCTCTGAGACGAGGTCCTCGCGACTCCAGAAGACGGTGGCGGTGTAGTAGTCGCTGTTTCGCCGCTCCACATGCTCGGCAGCTGGAACAGTAAACTAGCAGTCCGCTTTAGGATGCTAGGTGAAGGCTCCGGGGGGGACATGTCAGAAGCCGATGTTCCCATTATCCCGCTCCGCGACGTCGAAGGCTGTTTCCTGTGGCCACGAGACCGCCGCGCGCGCCTTTGAATCTCATCCATCAACGTCTGGGCATGGATGCCGACGGGCGATGACAGGAGTGCATTGTGGACATGGTCGACGATGATGGTTGCATCTCGCTGGACTTCGGGGTGGGGGTCTACGTTCAGTATCAATATGTGCTTCCAACAAGCCGCATAGACGGTGTCGGAAGACAATCCCCGAGCCGAAGCCTTGATCGTCCCATCCGAATTCCGGTTCTCGGGACGGGTAAAGTGTAATCCCATCTTATGCTCCAAACCGTCGTCTTTCGGAGGGAAGAGAAGATACTCTCTTTCTTCGGCCAATTGCTCGTAGGCCGCAACGATAAATTTGTTCTCATAACGAACAACGAAGTGGGAGATGAAGACGAGCAGCTCTTTGCGGACGAGGGGACTTCCATCGTTGGCCATGTCTATCAGCATCCAGGCTATAGATTCCTCGATCCTAGCAACCTCGTCCGTGAGTTCCGGGATGCCTAGGAAAGTCGTCATGGCATGGATGACTGCGGCTCGTACTTCGCAAGCTTGATCCCTGATTAGATCGAACAGCTTCGCAGGAACGCTCTCCCTAATGCCTCTCCACTTGGCCTCGGGAAGATCCTGCCATAATTGGCTGATACATAGACACGCCCACTGGCGTAGCAGCACGTTTTCCTCGTTCTTAAGATGAACTAGGCAATAGGTCATGATGTTCGACTGATTGCACACAGACTGACCGGGCCTGTACCCTTTGCACAGCATCGACAGCACGAACGCGCACATCGCCTTGTGCTCGTCGCTATTAGCGACGGCAAGCGCCTCCGACGGGTTGAGTATGGACGCGAAATAGTTGTAGCCGCTGTCTTTAATCAGGTCGGGCTGGCAGGAAACATCTACGGCAAGGACTCGAGTCCAAATGAACACCATCACGGGCTTCAGCTCCGCTGCGGCGGATTGAAGGAGCTTCAGCACGTATGGGAAGATGCCGATGCTTAGAGCCAGGTGGACTGCCCAAGGGCCCAAGTCCAGGAATTTGCCCAATAGTATGAGGGCACGAACTCTGTGCTGCTGGCTAAGCAGCACCTGGAGTACGACGGGGAGCTGCTCGGGAGGCTTCTGTTGCATGGCGTCGCCGCGGGCAAGGTACACTTCGAAAGCGGTCAACTGTTCGGCGAAAAACGTGGAGCTTTGGTATTCGTATTCAATCCCTTCACTCTCCTTGCGTTCCATCATGGGCAGCTGTGCTAAGGCCAAGTCGACAGCCAGATCCCAGCTCTCCCATAGTGGGTGTTGGTGAGTATCTGGTAGTTCCGGGTACGACTGGGGATGGCAACCGTAGACCATCATAATCCTCTGGGCTAGGATGAAATTCCGGAACAGGGCAGCGACCATGAGATCTTGCCGGAAGAATTTTCGGAATAGCTGCCGCGGCAAGGAGGTCCACGCAATGGTGTCAGTGATCGCTGTAAAGATCCAATTTAGTTCTCCAAGTGGCGTTCTTCTTTCTTGCAATCTGCCGGGCAGTTTCTTGGCTCTTTCTGGCGTGATACTCGTCTTAAGAGGATTCTGCAAGACGAAGAACCACAATGCCATCTCTATCGGTGTCGTCAAGCAAGCTGTGAACAAGTCAGCCGGGAGGCGGGGGTTGGTCGGGAGATTCTCCTTGACCGCGCAGGCTGCAAGATGAAGGTATGAACGATATTTGGTCTTTTCATAGTTGGGATCAGCAGCAGCTGATGCTTCTTCCTCCTCCTCATGCTTCTCCACGAAACGGTGGTAGTTATTCAAGATATTACCAGCTTCGGAGCAGTCCCAAACGAAGATGGTAGGCGCCTGCAGCCAGTGCTGGAGATCATATAAGGAAATGGGTATGTATTGGGTGAAAGTTTTGTTGAACACCCATATCTCCCCCGACGCGGTCGGCTTCGGCACGCCGTGGCCATTGTAATGAAGCAGGACACGCTCATCCTTTGCGTTCCTCCGCAATGACTGGCAGAATCTCTTCGTCTCTTCCACGGAGGGATCCAGATACTGCTTATACCTTGTCCGTAGAGAGATGTTCTCGTACTGTGCTTGTAGGGATTTCCCAATTGCCTCCAGAGCCTTTGCGGCTGGGGGCACAAAAGGATCTTGCCATGCCTCCAGTTTGGCCCCCGGGTTCGTCTTGAGCTGATCAGGGGGCTCAACACCGATGTTTAAGCAGACTGCCAGAGCAGCCGACACCGTTTTTAAGCGGTCTCGCATCCGCCAGTCCTCTATCGCATAGTTGGGGGATTCTGGCTGCCCCGTAGTTTCGTGTCGCTTCTCTGTGAAGTACATGTACCAATTCTACAACCCCCCCAGTTAGTTTCAATATTTAGCATCATGATAAGTAGCTGTCTAAAAGGATGCGAGAGTGGGATTAGGCTCCTTGCGTTTATCTTTCTGCAGGTGGCAACCTATAAAAGGCAGACCGAGAATCCATTGAACGCTAGTAACACAACCGGGTGGGACGTGCGGGAGGGGAAAAGGCGACCGAGAATCCTGTTGACGATATCTGTACTCACACTAGCAAGCTGGGAAATGATATCTTCCGACTGGTAATGGTCTTCGAACCCGTGGCGTGCGCCCCATTCGGGGATCTCCTCGTCGGCTTGTTCTGAGTCTTCGCGGCGGACGGTATATTCGCTCTTCGATCTCAGGAGCTGGGGCCTCGAGGCTCTCTTGGGTGGGTCGGGGTCGGAGTCATCTTGGGAGATGATGAGGGAAATATTATGCTTATTTCCCGGTGCCGTCAATGGGCGTCGGTCGAGATCCACGGGCTCTCTCTCGTCTGTTGCTGTGTGTGGACGGCCGTTCGTAGACTCGGAAGGCCGTGCCGCATAGGTTGGGCCGCCTGAGTCCAGCCTGGAAGGCATGGTTGTGGGATTATCATTAATTATTGGCGTAGTAGTGGTGAGGTTGGAGCAGCTGCGTAAGGGATGACTCGAACAGGGAGAACTGGTTGATGAAAGATGTTGGCCGGAATGCGACAGAACCGCGCTGGACCTAGGAGGTGCAGTAGGCAGGAGGCGGCGAGACGGCTCGAGGCTGAACGGGAAACGCGCTATGAGAGGAGGCGAGAGTGGTCACAGTATGCGTGGTGCATCTTGTTACATGTCCAGTTGCCGGCCGGCACACACACGGAGACGCACCACAGCAGGTTGGAAGCTGCCGGCCTGGGTTGGCGAAGGTGAATAACGAGGTGGATGTGATGGGTACGGTGTCTTCGGGGAGGGTTTGATGCGGTGGACGATGATGTTTGCGAACGGAGCTTACAAGATCGGATGTAGGCAGGTAGTACGTAGTACTGCTAGGGCAGGGGGCAACCTTAGGTACCTACCTAGGTGACCTATCTGTGAGCGCCTTATCAAATGGCGGTTACTAATCTTAGTATAGCACCTCGAGCAGGTACCATAGATAGGTAGGTACCTCAATACCTCTAACTCCCAACCTAGAGGTTAATGGGGCAGGTATTACGGTACACCATCTCCACGAACGCGTCCCGTTTACAACCTTACTATGAGCAGGTACCTAGGTACCTAGGCAATACTACCGCAAGAGGCAGTACGCGCCTAGCTCTGATAGGTACCTCCTAAGCATTCAATACAGTAGCTTATGTAATTGCACCTCCATTGTTGCTGGTTGGCTGAGGCAGGATGGGAAGGTAGGTGTAAGCGGATAGGTGGGGCTCCACCCTACACCACCTACCCGGTGACGAAATACATAAAGTACTTGAGAGGTACTTTACGGACCTTGACGGATAGCAGAATTGATGTTGACAAAATCAGCACCTCTTGACCTCCTATAAGGTAATATCTTGGCTAAATTAATAACACATAAAAGTACCTAATACTCACCTCGTAGATACCTCTACCTACCTCTCAAAGTACCTAAGGTCGCTATCCTCCGCCGGAGCCCATAGATGGGCTAAATGACGAAGACTACCAAGTAGCGCTGTTAGGAATCGAACCTATCCTCCGTTATATAACCTACTGATCTCCCATGTGCCTTTGTCCCCCGTCAGGTATGTACATCCTAGGCGGGTTTGGCGATTCCTTTTCGCACGTGAGAGACATATCTATCGGCAACAGGCGAGCCGCGGGCATTTCGGCGATACTATGCCTGAGATATATCTATACTACAATACTAATGGCCAACGTCTTCTGGTTAATGAATGCAACCATCAAGGGGAGCGTTCACCTTGTTGGACTATTAAGTCTGGTCGAGCGTAGACTTACAGCGACTCATGTTGTTTTCTGTAGAAGCTGCAATGAACTGCCTACGACTCTGCGACGTCTGTTCGATCTGTTAAATGGCTACAATACCAATGGTTAGCAACCCGAAGAGGTCTAGGTAGCTTATAGGGCTTCGAACGAAGTATCCAAATTCGGAGCCGTATACTAGGTACCTACACCTCGTAACGTGGGCGCTTCTATCTTAGGTACCTTAGGTACTTGCCTGAGATACCTCTTGACGTAGTGGCTTTAATGCGATCGTCTCCAAATTGCCAACACGGCAATGGAAAAGACTAGCAAGCAAAGCCACATCATTCGCAATGTTTCAGGCGGCTCGTTTCGGCGTAAGATCGACGCTTCGTCGACTTCCAAATGTTCGCGTGCCCACTTGACCTCCTCTGCCATGCCGGGACTGTCCACAGATATAGCCCGGAGAGGATTTGGGTACATACCCACCTGCCAATGGGCTAGGCGGCGTCTTAGGGACCAAATCACCGGAGAGATGCCGTATTGTCAATGCTCTATAAGGTCGAAACTAACGGATATGCTTAATGCTAGTTCGTCTGATGTTTTCACATGCATCTATCTGGTGGGCTGTTAGGTTAGACTTCCACAGCGAACCGATCTATTATGGAGGTCTAAGATATGCCTACCACAGGTTGGGTATCGTCCTAGTTGGTGCCTAGCCTCGAGGGACTTTAAATGTATAATATCCATGTCTTCCACGCGCATGGAAGGAACAGTAGTCCAGCTGGAAATTGTTCGAGAAAAGGGGGTTGGGCTCGTCCCCATCGCGCATTGATGAGAATGGTAGGTGGTACGAAGTACATGATTCCCTACGCGGGCTGGGTTGTGCCGTGCGCAGCACACCACGGGTTAGGTGTGCCAGTCGCGTCGTGGACAGAAACACGATTTCTTTTTCCCACTGTACGTGCTCTGTGCCCCGTGAAGCCGACGTCGTGGGATTTCATACGTACCAGAACGGGATCATGGTGTATCCGCCTATCCTACGGAGCAATTTAGCAAGAGGTAGGTAGGTAGGTACGTGGGTAGTATGTGCTCATCGCTGATGCCTCCAACCCGAACCAACGTAGGGGATGCCGGTACCTAGGCACCTAAGGTAGAGGGCTGCATGCCGTTGCGTACATATCGGTATTAGCAGGGAGCACAATGCCCTCGTAGCCCACGGAGAATCCGCCGATCGTAAGCGCTACTTGCGGAAGAGGCTGGCGACAGTCGATATGTTGCTTCGTATGGACACACACACTATACACATGGTGGGATGAGACGGATGTGATGTGACGAGTGTGACGGATGGATGCCGGTTTCTACGTACCTATCTGGGGGTGATCAAAAGGTAGGTACACACCCAATTTTTATTCTTCATCTGGCTTCAGAAAGAAACACGCTCACCGATCGCATACGCCTTGCGAGCTTCTCTACCGCCCCCTCCCTGCCAAATCTTGAGCGCCCGTATCCACGATTCGCGTTTCCCAGGCTTTGCATCCTTGCCGTCTGTCTAACTCGGAGAGGTGATCCTGCCCCCGGTGTACAGGTAGGCAGGCAGGTAGGTAGGAGGCGGGAATCGAACCTGCAAGGTAGCAGCCGGGCCAGTAAGGCCTGGGTGATTTCAGGAGCAGATTCCCCAGCATTCAACTAATAATAACTCCATCCAGCCACTTCCATCCGCCTGCTGCCGCCTTTCCCTTCCACTACGAGGTAGGTACCTACATCAGCACGCTCGGTGCATAACAACAGACGTACCTACGCAGCAATGCGCGCGCAGAGGCTGGATAGCCCATGGGACGGACGCCAATCCTCTCCTAGCCACGTCCCCAAAATTAGTCTTGCCCAATTCCACCGCGCCGTAACTGGCCCGAAGAGGCTAGCGGCGTGCAGTAAGGTAAGGTAAGGTAAGGTGAGGCACCCAGGTAGGCAGGTACCTACGTACATAACATCAGGTACCTAAGGTAGCACACAGGTATATTATGTATGTCCATACCTAGGAGTAGGTACCTGACCTGATGTACGATGCGTCCGTGGGTCCATGGGAGTGCGCTAGGCCGGTTGTGGCCGGCAAGGGGCAAGGGCAGACCACCGGCAGGCCCCCTCTAAGAGCCGACCCTGAAGGGCTGATGCAGGTGCGTGTGTGCGCATTTCGTAGGTGGGTGGATTTGCCCTGGCCTGCTTTCTCGGGGAGGGATGGTTACTTCACTCGAGATTTTTGGGGGGGAGAGGAAATTTGGTTGCTTCTGTCCTCATCGCCAATCACCACCAGCCGGGTCCGTCTGTTTCTCTCTCGCTCACTGGCATCTTTCCCTCTCCTCCCTCTCGCCTCCTGTCTCCTGTCATCAACCTAACCAACCCGTATTCTTTTTCCTGCTGGTTCCCTCATTCCACCGTCAACCCTCCCCAGTCGTGGACGCCAATCGCGATAGCTTCGGTCCCGCAGCGTCATCCTTGCCAGCCAGCAGCACCGGCGGCACCGGCACCAGCAGCGATTACTGGCCCTTCCGTTCTGCCTCGCTTTCTTTTCTTTTTTTCTTTTTTTTTTTAATCCACGAATCCCCGTCGCTCGCACGCTGTTCGCGCCACCTGACGATCTGGAGGCGGAAAGGGTGTCCCCCCCCATCAGTGCTACCCAGTAGACGAGCCAGCGGGTAGACGAACGAACGAACGAACCGTCGCAACATCCGACCCATTAACCCTTCATTTCCTCGTGCTCCCCCTTTGGCTACCCGGGGCAACGATACAATCCTTAGCCACTACCGTCGTCGTCGTCGTTTTGTTCTTCTGTTTATTCCGCCTTCGAGCCTTTTCGAAGCTTCCTCTCTCTGCAGACGGGACTCTAGGTAGGATAGGACAGGGAAGAGGGGACTTGGGAGACGAGACGAGACGAGACTACAATAAAAAATTCAAGAGGCTGCACGGGACAGATCAGGAGTAAATCAGCACCATTTCGAATCGGGGACCCATCGAAACCTTCCAGCCTCATGCTGCCAATCCCAACCACTCTCAAGGTTGAATTGACTCCTTACATCTCCTCCGTGTCCTTGCCTGCCGTTTAGCTCCATATCGATTTCGTCCTTTTACTACTCCGTTGTGTCCACTCTACCACGAGCCCGCATCGGCAGCCGCCAGCGCAGCGATAGTATTGTCCGTGTGCTTCCTACCGAGGCCCTGCTAAGGGGGCCTGGCTTCCATCCGCCATGGCCTTCCTCTTCAAGTCGAAGAAGAATCAGGACCGGAACGTTCAGACTCGCGACGGTCCTCCTGGTCCGCCGGCCCAGATCCAAGGCGCAGCCGGGCGCATCGCCCGTGAGGAGAAAAATCACCGATCGACACCCACCGGGAGTGTGAATTCTCTGGATGAAGGCAGCCCGAGCCCGGATGCGGAGAAGTATGCCACACGCCGTGCCCAGGATCCGTCGCAGCAGTCCCAACCGCAGCAGACGAGCGACTTGCCCGTGAGTTAAATCATCCCCGTCTTGCCTCACACTATCCTCGCCTTACCTAAGCCCCCGTCGCACCCGCAACTTAGCCGGCTTATGCTGACAATGTCCCGCTCTCTTCAGTTTCGCAACGGGCCACCGCAGAATGTGAACGCTTCTCTATACCCCTGGTCGCAACGCCGCCTAACCTTCCCTTCCAACATACCGAGCCCCTTTCCTAGGTATGGTGCAGCGGTCAATTCGGTCTCGTCGAAGGAGGGCGATATATACGTCATGGGCGGTTTGATAAACAGCTCGACGGTTAAAGGCGACCTATGGATGATCGAAGCTGGAGGGAGCATGGCGTGTTACCCGCTCACAACCACATCCGAAGGCCCTGGGCCGAGAGTCGGGCATTCTTCTCTCTTGGTGGGCAACGCGTTCATCGTATACGGCGGCGACACCAAGATTGACGAGACTGACGTTTTGGATGAGACTCTGTATCTCCTAAATACCTGTAAGATACCACCCCCGGTTCCGTGTTGATGAGCGTAGACTAATCGGGACGCGCCAGCTACGAGACAGTGGTCGAGAGCTCTCCCCACCGGGCCACGGCCATCGGGTCGCTACGGACACTCCTTGAACATTGTCGGGTCTAAAATATACATCTTCGGTGGCCAAGTAGAAGGCTATTTCATGAATGACCTGGCTGCCTTCGACCTCAACCAATTACAGATGCCGAATAATCGATGGGAAATCCTCAGCGAGAACTCGGAGACGAACACGGCGCTCCAAGGCAAAGTACCCCCGGCCAGAACGAACCATTCTATGATTACCTTCAACGACAAGATGTACCTGTAAGTCTCGTACATACCGTCACTCTCCTTATCTTATGGGCTCTTAGAACTCACCACAACCCTAGATTCGGCGGCACCAACGGCTTCCAGTGGTTCAACGACGTGTGGTGTTACGATCCCACGGTCAACCAGTGGGCGCAGCTGGATTGCATCGGCTATATTCCCGTCCCCAGAGAAGGTCATGCTGCCGCATTAGTAGACGACGTCATGTACGTTTTCGGTGGGCGTACGGAAGAGGGCGCCGACCTAGGGGATTTGGCCGCCTTCAGGATTTCATCTCGACGCTGGTACACCTTCCAGAACATGGGACCCTCACCATCCCCTCGCTCTGGCCATAGCATGACGGCCGTGGGCAAATCAATCGTCGTAGTAGGAGGCGAGCCGAGTTCGACTAACAACCCGGTCAACGACCTCTCAATCGTCTATGTCCTCGACACTGGTAAGATTCGATATCCGAACGACGCGCAGATCCAGTCCAATACCCAGAAGATGCAACAGGCAAGGCGGCCGGGCGGCGATGTTCCTTTCGCTCCCAGCAGGCAAACACCCTCCCGTGAAGGCTCTATCGGGCCAGATCCGAAGCGGATAGCTAGCCCCAATAGCCCAACGAACAGCACTGGTAAGGGCGGCACGGGTATTGACATCAACGGGCCCCCTCCCATCAGTAATGGGATATCGAAGCTTCCGAGAGCTGCTGCGTCCTCACCACCTTCGGGGCCACCGCCACAGGGTCAGCCTCCTAGACCCGGTGTCGAGGCGAATTCGGCCAGCCGTCGTGCGAGGAATGCGTCTATCGAGAGAATCGAGAGAGAAGCCGGGGGTGCTGGGTCTCCCAGTCTGGGCAGTCAAAGCCAGTCGCCCGTACCGCGAGAGCCAGTCAAGGAGGAGGTTCCAGCTGCCAATGGAAGGCGAACACCGAATCAACAGACCTCCAGGAGCGGCTCCCGTGCAGAAAATACGCCAAGTGAAACGCCTAGAACGAAGCAGTCACGCCAGATTCGCGGGCAGAGCTCTATCGACAGCACCGCGGAATCAGCCTTGAAGAGCGTGGTGACCCGCCCCTCGTCTCCGCCTCCACCCACCCGGCAGACAAGCAATCCTCTGTCACGTAGAGGCTCGAATAGAAACTCGCAGACTGTAGTCCTCCTGAAAGAGCTTGACGCTGCTCGAAATAGGAATGCGTGGTATGCATCGGAGCTCGAGCTAGCCCGTAAAGCCGGATATACGGCAAATGCGACCCTTAGTCCTACATTGGAGGGTCGGTTTGCGGAAACGTTCGACGACGAAGACAAGCCCCTCATAGAAGCTCTCTTGGCGATGAGGCAAGAGCTAGCTAACGTCCAAAGCTCCGTCGATAAGCAAGCGGTTCTTGCGGCGAAGCAGATCGCCGAGGCGGAACGACAGCGCGATGCGGCAATTCGTGAGGCAGTGTATGCCAGAGCGAAGATTGCTGCGCAAACCGGAAGCGCCGCAAGCACGCCGCAACTAGACAGCGATAGGGATAGGGACAGTACCGACCGTTCTTCCGAGTTGAACAGGAAGCTTGCGTCAGCGCTCGGCCTCCAAAAAGATCTGCAGAATAATCTTTCACGATCAGTTTCCGACCTGGAAGCGGAGAAGCGTGCACGGCAACTCGCCGACGAGACCTTGAGCGCTGCCCAGAAGCGCATGGCGGATCTGGAGGCGTACAAGCAACAGGCTTCTTCGGAGCTCGAGCAGCTGAGAGCCGAATTGCACATGGCCCAACGTGAAGCGCGAGAGCAGTCGATCGTGAGTGCTGAAGCCTCCGCTACCTTACAGCTCCTACGGCTTGAAAAGGACGACTTCGAGAATAAGTACCGAGAAGCTGTCGATGGTTCAAAGGAACACAGTGAGACCCTGGAGTCTCTTCGCGAAGCGGTAGTAGCATCCGCAGATATACGTGCCCACCTCGAACGGAAATTAGAGGAGGAGCGGTCCCAGAGGGAGATTGTCGAATCTAAGCTTACTAAACTCAAGACCGAGCATGAGACCCATACCGCAGAACTAGTGGTTGTAACGCAGCGGCTGCGAGACGCCGAAGAACTGTCCGAACGACTCTCGGCAGAAGCGAACACCCACCGCCAAGCCCTACTCGCCGGTCTCGAGAAGATGACGAAGGATCCAAGCAAGGCCAACCGGGCAGACGAAGAGCGCATCATCGCCTTGCAAGAACAAATTGAGGCGGCCAATAATCTTGTCAGGAAGTACCAGCAGGAAGCCGACTCTGCTTCGGACAGACTACGCAGCGCCGAAGAGCGCATTGCCGGTCTTGAAGCATACCAGGAGCAGTCGAGCAGAGAGGGCGTCACCATCCGCCGCCAGCTGCAATCCGCGCTGAGGGAGACCCAGTCGTTGCAAGCTATGAACACGGATCTTAAGAACCAACTCTCGAACCAACAGCTCGAGACCAATGCCATGACCGTACAGCACAATACCCTAAAAGACATCTTGTCCGAAAGGGGCATAAGCCCGACAAACCTCGCCCGGGTGCGGGGCATAGGTTCCAGCGCCGACTCTCCTGATCCCTCTCGGACCGCCGAACTAGAACGACAGCTTGCTCAAGCCAATGCTGCCCACGAGGAGACAAAGCAGACTTTTGCTGCGCAAGCCCAAGAGTCTGAAGCCGCCTATCGCGAAAGAATAACCCAGCTGGAGAACGACTACCAGTCGGCCATTCATTACGTCAAGGGCACCGAGAAGATACTCAAGAAGATCAAGCAGGATCTCGCGTCGGCTAAATCTGATAACGGCCGCTTGAAGAATGAGAACATGGAACTTGAGGAGCGTATCGGATCCCTAAGCAACGCGACGGCACCCGCGGATTGGGAGGCCGAACGGTCGTTGTTCGAAGAGAAGATCGAAAGTCTACAGGATCAAGTCAAAGCAACTTCGGCACACCTGGAACAAGAGATTGCTCAGCTACGACATGAGCTGGAAGTTACCAAGGCAGAACGTGATGACGCAGCCAGGTCTAGCGCGGCCTCAGCAGACCGACTCTCTATGCGAGAGAAGGAACTAGTGCAAATGCAGCAAGAGAATGCTCTCCTTGGGAAGCGTGCCCAGGATGCCGAACAGAAAGTCAGCATACTACTTGACCAGGTAGAAACGTCTGTGGACAACTACCGGAGGCGCAGCCGTATCAGCACAGAACAAATAACCACCGCTCCCCCCAGTACGAATGGTCTGGGCCACAGCCGGCAGAGCTCGGAGGGCGAAAGTCTCTACGGCGGTGTTGGTAACCCGAGAAACAGCAAGGCATTGGATAACCTGGCTGATGAGCTAGATTTCTTGCGGTCACACTGGGAGACAACGAACAAGGCGTATGATAGAATGTCAAGTACGTTCGACTTCGATATCGGCAGCAAGAGAGATGACGATAGTGCTGGACCTGGGCTCAGTGAAAGTCTAGCCAATTGGAGAAAACGACTCGACGAACAGGAGCGGGAAAGCGGTATCGTCGGCTCCCCTCCGGAAAGCAGCCATGCTTCATAGCCACCCAACATCAGAACCGGCGCTCCCTTACGAGACGGATTTTAACTACCTAGTTGTCCGCAACTCTGAGCGACAGAATCCTTGTACATTCCTTGTGTATTTTCGCGGCAGCAATCCTGTGCAACAGTACACATTTAAACCTTGACGAACGCACCATCTTGTCTATTCTATTCTATTCTGTCCTTCTACCCAGGTTTAAAATAACGCCCTTCCGGGATGTTCGCGTACCAATTCGTAGACCCCCTTCAGCGGTTCTTTTCTTTTTTTACAATGTTTAACTTTCATGACTCCTTTTCTTTCGTTTTTGACCCCTTGCGGTTTTCCTGGATTGAAGACAGAAATGAATCAAGTCACGCACCCCCCCAAAAAGCACCCGAGTTGTGGCCGTGGAAATTTTGTCCCGAAGAAATGACCGAACGCGACGTCGTATGGAGTTGACTTGGGTTTCGGGAACACTTTTTTTTTTTACCGGCATAAGTTTGTCGAGGAGAGAGATGACGGATGCTTCCGTAAAAGAAGGGGGGTTGAGGGTTTATGGGTTTCTTTTCGCGCAGACTTGCTTAGGATGCCCACTAACAAGGTGTTAATGTAACAATACCGCCGCTGAGCGGCTCATCAAACTTTTCTTGATCGAGCCGGCGGAGAGAGGGGAGCGGGAGCGGGATGGGCCGGAGAGGCCTGGAGAAATCTAGAGGGGGGAGGGAGTGCACTTCCTCTCCCCTAAGCTTCGGAATTAGCGAACGGCTGTGATAGTGTGGGATTAGTTTCAATGTTGATGGAGCATTCGACTGGTTTAGCATCCCCTTTCGTTCTATCCCGTGTGTGTGTGTGTGTGTGTGTGTCCGTGTGCATATGGTACGGGTCGTACTCAACCTCCTAATTTGCCTTACAATATAGGTCAGTATAAATGTGCTTGCGCTACAACTGCAAGATTGAAGGTTCCTCCCTCCCATATCATTAGCGACACGGGACGCAGTTCGCTCGAGACAAAGGAAAACTCTACCAGGCCGGTGGAGGCAGGTAGGATAGGCAGGCCGTCCTTCACGTCTTCGGCTATCCGTACAACGTCTGGTCCGTCCGCCGGCTCTGCAAGCACGCGCGCGATAGTCAGAGCGGTCGGGGGGTCACGGCGAAGAAAGAGGATTGGGGGGGCGATCCGATCGACAATCCGGAGTTCTGAGGCTGCCGGCTATACTCGCGGATACGTGGGTCCTGCCTTATCCTCTCTCGGGACGATAGAGGAGAGAAACAGAGAAAGAGGGGGGAGGTGGCCGTTCTTATACTGCCACAAAATAAGAAATGGACCACACAGGGGGGTGAGGAAAGAGAAGGTGACTCGGCGACGGATGGGAGCTGGATGCCTCGATTGCGCGTGCGGCGAGACGTCTGATCGGAAACCTGCTAGATATTTTTATGTGCTTGCGTGTGTGCCTAACAATGTGCCTACGGGGGTCAAGGGGGCCATCGACATTGTTGTAATACCCACTGGCGAGGTGAGGGCGAGGTGGCCTTTGAGATGGTGATACTGACAGACTCGTGCCGGGTATATGGGAATTTCATGCGGATGAAGGCGGCCCAACAAGCCAAGTTTACCCTTCATTACTTTCCCCCTGTACACGTATATCTATCTATATGTATGTATATTTATTTCTTCATGGGCCTGCACCAATTTAGATGCGGAATATTTCTCTTATTCATATTACTCTGGTTATTTGTAGTCTATGTATCTATAACTCTATCTACGCCGGGCGAAAATGCCCGTTCATCGGATAGGAAGATGGGAGAGGTGCTGCTGGTATCGGGAGGGAAAGGAAGGGATTCGCGGATGAGGTCCATCGCCATGATAATCCATCTTTGGATAGGGGCTAGCTAGCTAGAATTAGAAGAGGGATCTCGCCCCGTCCGTTATAGATGAATGTGTTTTTATGAGGAAAGGTAGCAGAGGATGAAAAGGGAGCGATGAATGGCGTGGTTATCACATCCGCTGGCGAGCGACTCCCCTCTTGCTTAGTATACTTTGCATATTACCTTAAATGACAAGATTGGCCTAGGGAACTGGCCGCCGTCGGGCTTCACGCCTCAAGCTCCCGTCCCCTCCGGCTCTTAGTCACGACACTACACGACATGGCTGTGGCATCTCGCGGGTATAGTGATTAAAGGGAGCCGGGTAAACAGGTTAAGCGGGCCGTTTGTACGCACGGCTAGCAGGGAAAAGAAAAGAAATAAGAGGGGGCTATCGTCAGATACTCGATAAGGACCGTGGGTATACCAGCCAGCACGGCATCAGATCAAGGGGTTGAGGACTCACAGACAACTTGCAACAGCTAGGCAGTCCTTCCGGGAACCTAGAGTAGAGACCTTCCACAAGTATTATCGAGTTTGACGACGATGGTAGGGCTCCGTCCGACTAGACTATGCATGCCACGGCGGCCGTAGGGTCTCGAATACGCAAAAGAAACCATCGCAGGGAGTGAACAGGCAACCTAGACTGTCGTAGTGGTTATCGCACGGCGGTACTGGCTATAACGACGATGCGATAGTGAACGATTGCACCGGCTGGAACTCGAGGAGCTGCGGACCGCATCCCGTCCGTGTCGCCGGCGGCATTATACGACTAAAGGGACCGCCGCGCATCGCGCTCGTCGGTTCCGGCAGGCCAAGACGATCCGGCTTCATATAAGAATCCTCCTCTTCCCCGTCACGCTCGTCTCATTTCCCCCACAGTCCTCGAATTGCGTCTGACCAGTTTCCTCCAGGCGGTGGCGTTCGTCGTCGGGCTCGGCGCTCCCCCCCCCACTCCCCCTCACCAGGCTTCTCGGCGACAGAGAAGGGGGCGAGGCCATCCAGATCCAGACCGCAGACAAGGGGGGGATCCGAGGCTAGAACGGCGCCTTACGAGCAGCCATTGGCACGGGGAAACTGGGTAGCGCTGTGAGAACTCGATCCGCGTCGAGGCCCGTCGCAGGGGGGGCAGCCTGGGTTCGATGCCGACCCCGGGTCGCAGCACGGAAAGGAAAAAGTCGTCACCGCGGGCGCTTACAGAACGTATCGTGGCCGAGGATTCTCCACAAATGATCACGCCGAGCAAGTTGGCTGGCGTAAGCGTGTGCGCGCGCGATGCGTGCAGCCACGTGCATGTCGTCGTGAAGTCGCCGATGGGCCCTATCGTCCTATCGCATCTTCCTTTCGAGATTCCCGGGCTGTCCCCCTCCGCCGGTTGTCATCGTACGAAGTCGGCCGACCGGATACCCACAAGGGCGACTGCGCGAAGGAGGGATGTCGAAGGCGGAGCCTTCGTAGGTATATATATGTAGGTATATATATAGAATATAGAGTATATTTTATATTCGTGCACACGATGTATATTCGAAACCTCCGCCGAACTGCTCTGCTGTCTATGTATACTGCCTTCGCCTATCTATCTACTACGTGTGCCATGCGCGATGACGGTGATTATAGCCAAGGGGCGTCCGGCTTGGTTGAACTGAGGAGGGAGTGGTTCACCGCGCCATCATCGGGCCCACCTCGTACGTTGGTCTTACGACTGGGGGGCCCGTTAGACTCCCTCTCTTCTACCTTGTTTTTGCTCACTCTATTTTCTGCTGTGTTCTGGGAGAAAGGGCGCGATACTAACAGCGTTTCATGCAGACCTCATCAGTAGGCCTGGTTACAGCAGGCCTGGTTGAAGAATCACTTGTAGATGGTTACCCAGTTGGTTACCTAGTTGCAAGCGCACCACTGCGTCCTATGTAATAGTATAACAAAGGCCCCCCCTCGGTGGGAATGCCCTCAACTAGCCCGTTTCCTATCTTGTTTCCTCTATTATCTCACCATCCTCCTGTTTCTCCTCTTCCTCCTCTCGTCATTCTATCTCCGTTCTGTCTCCCGTCGTATCCTCTATTTATGAACAAAACACATAGAGATAGCACCGCATGTCATATGGGTAGGTATATACATAGAATATCGCCTGCCCTGACCAGTGTCTCGCCTCGGACCCCTTGATTCCGAAACTGGTTCATGTCGATGTCGACTCTGCAACAGATCCTGGGATCCTGTCGGACCCTGGTCGCATCTCCTGTCACGGCAGCACAGTATTGCTGCTGACCGAGTACTGTATCGCTACCGCCAACTGCTATGTCTGCGTAATGTGTGCGAAGCAGGTTGCGCCCACGGACGGGACCTGGACTGCGTAGCAGCAGAAGTAACCCAGATTAGGTTGAAGACCAAGATTGACCTGGCCGTCCCCCCCCTTGGTTATTTCGTTTACAGGGCGACGCTGTACAGTGGCCTCGGCAGGCTCAGCACTGTATCTGGAACGGCGCCCTGGTCTCTCCAGCGCCACCAACGCCCCCTTTTCGCACCCTTCTCGTCTCTCCGTAACGTCCAAGCAATCCAGGGTCATATGATCCATGCTACGATCCACACCGGCGCCGAGCCGCTTGCGGCCTCCACGCTGCTCGTATCGCGAGTTTCATCGCCAGATTTCCCTTCTTCTACTTCTCCTCCCCTCCCACTTCACGTCCGAGCGTGCTCATACCCTCTTTTTTTTCTTCTCCCTAGTCCACTCGCTCCCCTTTTTCGCTTCGTCGCTTCATGCGCTAGATTTTGATAATCGTTAACGCCGAATTTTATACCGCTGCGATCTGGCCATCGTCCGCTGTGTCCACTCACTTTGTTCACCTTGCTTGCTTCTTTTCTCCCGTGGAGACTCAAGAAAAGCTCGTTTCTTAATTCTTTAATCAACGTCGTATTGTAACATTGCATACGTACATACCATATACCTACGCACGCACCGCCAGATAATAAACCCGCATCTTCCCTCTCTCGCCTCCTAATTTCCCCGTCCGCCCGAATCGCGTCGCCAAGCTAGCTGGTCTGCTTCTTCCTCGCCAACAACCCTCCCCGACGCTCTCCGGAAGAAAGAAGGAAAAAAAAAAAACAGAGTCTCTCCCACGCTCTCTCCCTACCCCAACCACCAAGATGAAGACCTCCGCCTTCCTGACCGCGCTCTGCGCCGCGCTCGCCAGCGCCGGCATCGTCGTCGTCCCCATCCACTCGAACCAGATCGTGCCCAAGGTCCCCGGCGACTGCTTCTTCGGCGAGGCCACGCCCTACGGCTGCGGGTAAGCATCTCTCTCTCTCTATTTCTACCTATCTCGATTTACTGCTAGAGGCCAGCGTCCGCTAACAGACAAGCAGTCCCCTTCGCTCGGCGTGATTCGCCCTTCGCGCTAGCCCGCGAGAAGCGCGCACGCGTGTGCGCGCCGGAAGGGGAATCTCATGGGGCCCTCGCGCCTCGTCCACACATAGAGCCTCGTCGCTGCGGAGTCGAGGCGGGACATACACCGGACAGAATCAAAGCGTTGGCGTTGGCTATGGGTTATCATTTACATTTTTCTTTTTCAAGTTCGCCCCTCGACCCTTTTTTCGTCTTTTTGAGAGGGGGCGGTGACGAGGAGAAAGGCAGTTGCTGCTGAGCGCTTACGCCGGGGAAAGACGGCATGGCCGCGCCCCCAAGAGGGGGGACTCGAGCAATAAGCAGAGAAGCCTTCCCTGTGTGCGAACGGACGGAGCCGGCTGGCCTGGGAAGAACCCGCCACCGGCGTCGACGAGGGCCCGGGAGGAGAGGAAGAGCCGCAGATGGGAACGTTAACAACTAGCCGCGCGTGGTGGCAGAAGGTTATCGGTTGCTGTTTGGGTTCGATGCGGTGAGAGAGATAGGCTTTATTATCCACATAGTAGTAGTATTATGTTGTTCGAAATCGAGTTCTAGTTTCCACGGCCCAGTCCCTTCCCCTTTCTGGCAGTTTTCTTGTTGCAAATGACTATTGTCAGTAGCGACCCTGTTGCAACGCTGGGAATCGTATGCCCGGGTTTCGAGATGCTGTCTACAAATTGTGCGTCGCATGCAGATCTTATAACAGTTATCACACGTGAAATTCACCAAACAAGAGAAATGGTGGTAGTGATGGTATAGGTGATGGTAGTAGTATGTGACGTGGATATAAACATGGCCATCTATATTACCCTCAAGATACACTCCTCCCTTTCTCCTCAAGCCTCTCTCATCCACTCACTACTTCATCCACCCTAGAGACACCGGAGTGGGCAGGTCCAGAAGAAAAAACGCAACTCTGCCTCCCTTCCGAAAACGAAAATAAAAGCAGTAGTGAGACGGTCAAGAGACGTCTAGCACTTGAGGCTGTACTTGGGCTTGCGGTCGGTGGTCATGGCGCCCCAGGAGGTCTCGTCGGCGATGGAGCCGTCCTCGCCGACGGCGTGGGGCTTCCACTCCTCGTCGAAGGCCTCGAAGTAGAAGACGTTGAAGCCCCAGTCGACCATGCCGCAGACGGCGCGGTGGTAGAAGGTGTCGGCCTCGGTGACGCCGGGCTGGGCGCGCTGGTAGATGTCGCCGTCGGTGGGCCAGCCGGTCTCGCCGACCCAGAGCTCGACGCGGTCGGTGCCGCCGGCGCGCTCCTGGATGCGCCCGAAAACCTGGAAGATGTCGTCGTAGAAGCTGCCCGTCGCGTTCGCCAGCGTCTGCCCCTGCCAGTACGAGAACGCGTTGCACAGCAGGATGTCGGCCGCGCCCACGATCGCGTCCGCCGTCCCGTCCGCGTACTTGTTCCACGAGTCCGCCGTCCCCACCTTGAACCCCGAGCCCACCGCCGACTTCACGTCCCGGATCTTCGCCGCCAGCTGCTCGCCCGTGAAGTTGCCCCGGTACATCGCCTCCGACCCCACCGTGATCGCGTACACCTGGTCCTTGAACTTGGGCGCGTACTCGACCACCGCCGCCTTGTCCGACTTGAACGACTCGTCCGTATCGGGCCTGCAATTCCGTTCGTGTTAGCTACGGTTCTCGCAATTTTCTCTCTCTTCTCCGTATCCTCCTTTCCCCACTCTTCTGTAGAAACCCAGACAACAAGAGCGTATACGCGCAGAAAGAAAGAGAGAAGAGGAAAATAGAAAAATCTCTCCGTACCAGATGCCCAGGACGACCTGGAAGCCGGCCTGCTTGGCGATGGGCAGGATGAGCTTCGCGACGTCGCAGTCGGAGGCGGCGTAGATGCGGACGATGCGAGCGGTGGTCTCCTTGGCGATGGCGGCGAAATCGGCAACGTAGTCGCTGGCCTCCTTGCACGACGCGTCGGACCGCTTGTTGCCCAGCGCGAACCCCATACGGCCGCTCGCCGCCGCCGCCGAGCCCGTAGCTACGGCCGCCGTGAGGAGCGTCGAGAATCGCATCTTGCTGCTTTTATTTCTTGTTTCCTTAGGAATAGGATATAGCTAGGTTTCTTCCCCCGGTCGCAGAGTAAAGGCCTGTTTGTCCCTTTTCTCGTTCGTGGTGGTCGTCGTTGTCGAGGTGGTAGGGAGGCGGTTAGCGCGATAGGACGGGTGGTTTGGAGCTACGGGATGCTACGCTCGCCAACAAGCCGCAAAAATCAAATCTATAAAAAGAGCGAAATGCCGGAGAGGTAGGCGGGAAAAAAGAGAAGAAAAAGACTATCTCTCTCTCGGCGGTGGAAGAAGGAATGAAGAGGAGGGGGAAATGAACGACGGTATGTCTACTATTGTCGATGCTAATGAGACCGAATTGTTGATGGTGGTAGATAAGGGGTAGGAAACAAGGAGGTCACTGGGCGAGAGGGAGATTGAGGCGAGGTGAGGCGCGGTGAAGGGTCGCTTGTCCTATCCTATTCCCCTTCCGTCGTAATTACACGCTTGTTTCGAAGGTCACAGCAGGGTAGAAACAGGGCAGGGGTCCAAGGACGGACTCTCGTTGGAATTAAATAAAAAAGGGGAACATTTTGGGGTGAAGGTCCCGACAAGCAGGGGTTCTTCACGGCTTTAGGCACACTAAGTAAATAAATAATATTATTGGCGGACTCCGAAGTATGGAACGTCGGGCCAATGGGCATACACCGGGTATGTGTGCAATTGACGAGAATAGAACATAGCACCTATGAGCACACGGTATTATACTCTTGCATGTAAAGATAACCATGGATTTCGTGAAAGCAGAACCTCCAGGTGCCTAAGCATATATGTAAACATCGATGTAAACATCGCGATCTAATCAAGGCTAGGTACCTATCTCCGAGTGGGCATCTTAGGTACTTGGAAGCGCTACCGAATACACAACTACGGTATTCTTACCGTATACTGTTATAAGTCGTGCAAACTACCTACCTAGCCTCCGAACGTGTGGTATGGCATGACCCGAAAGCGGAGAATAACCCAACACCAACATCAGCCTACCCTAGCCCTCAAGATCGCTAGACAGACGGATAGGCACAGGGAGAGAGAGGATAGGAGGGGGCAGTTCGTCATCCGACCCTGATATTTTATATTCCCACGTGCGTCCCCATACTGCGGACTTTAGTAAGGGGAGCAGACCTATCCCGAAGAAGAATGCAAACTCCGCTACTGAACACACCCACCCGTCCTCTCACCCAGGCCAGGTTAGGCGAGTCAGTCTCCGTACGTATGCATGTACACTTGACCCCAGGCGGAGGCACGGCCCAAAGAAGTGAAAAAAAAAACCGACGCGTAACGCCCGAGGGATGCAACCACCCATGATCGACTCAATCGCTCGAGCCGGTGATGATAAACCATATACCTTATTTGAATGCCGCATGGGCGAATCCAAACCCCCAAAATGAGAAGACTTACGACGGCGATACACTCCTCTTGGCCTCCTCACTCCCCTTCTTACGCCGTTTCCTCGGCGCCGTCGGGCTTAGCTACCGGGCTTTGGGCGCCGTAGATCCGGAACTGGTAGAATATGATGAGGTCCTCGACGATGGTCCCGAACGAGCCGAGGAGCCACGGGATAGCCTTGATAACGTATGCCGGCTCCGAGGAGTAGCTGAAAACGCTGAGGCCGTACGTGAGGTTCCCGGTCAGGGAGAGAAGGAAGAAGAGCAGCGCAAGGCCCTCGCAGGACTTCTCTTGGTAGTTCTTCACAATCTGGGGGATTCGGGCACTGGATTCAAGTGTCAGTAATCAGCTTAGCCTCTCCCTTCTTTCCCGGCATTTATCCTTCTCCAAAAGAAAGGAAGGAAGAAAAAAAACCGTACCATAGGTAGCATAACGCGCTCGCATACCCGAGAACCTCTCCGATAACAGCTGTCGGCGATTCACCAGCCGGCGTGCTTGCACCATTGTCCCCGCCCGAGTTCTCCCACGCCCCCATCTTGTACGAGATAAACCAGCCAGTAGCGCCAACCACGTAGACGGCGGCGACGCTCACGGTGTTGTGGAACCAAGGGTTACTATCTGGGGTCTCGTCCTCGCCGGTAACAATTCGCTTGATCGGGTCGAGGCTAGACTCGGTGCGGTGCACAGAGTGGCGACGGTGGGAGCCCGGGAGGCCGACGGAGGACGGCCTGCGCGGTCGTAGGAGCGGCTCGTCCTCTAAAGTCTCGGATACGGCTGATCGGGCGCGGCGACGGATCCTCCGCGCGTTCATCGCTTTGTAGTAGAGGCTTTGAGAAATGAGGATGACGTCGGAGAGGCAGAAGTAGGCAGCCAGCGCCGCGGCGGTCGGCGCAAGCCCGGTCACGAGGGAACCTAAAAGACGGAGAGGGAGCGGGTGTTAGCATGGAACGGCATGGCCAATGCGCCGGGTCGAATCGGGGAGTCTGTGTCCGTGTCCGAGGAGAGAATTCGAGCTGTGCCCGGGTAACACTCTCTCTCGAGGCTAAGGTGGGCATGTAGAGAAACCACAGAGAGCGGACGACATACCAGACAGGTTTGCAATATCGCCGAAGAGCCACACAGCCAAGAATGCCATGGACAGGCCCTCGGCGCTTTGGGCTCTATAGTTCGTGATAAGCTGAGGGAGCTTCGAGGGGAGTTAGCAGACGAGCCTCACGTGTGTGCCCGCACGCAGGTTCCTCGGGCAGACTAGGGGGGCAGAAGACACGTACCAGCAAGCATATCCATGCAGTCAAGCTGATGCTGCCGAAGACCCCAGAGACGGCCTCATGAATGGAGAGATTCTGCAACATGGCGGCCATATCGACTCGGTTTGTCACGACGTTTGCGACCAAGAAGAAAAGGCTACTCAACGTCGTTTTCAGAAGGGATCTCGGGGGCGAGAACATAAAGATGAAAAAAAAGGGGGGGGGGGGAGAAGCGAAACTAGGCCCGGACAATGTTTTAGGGGTCGAGCCCAGACAAGAGCGATCGGTCTAGGCGAGACCAGTTCAGTCATCCGGTCATGAGAGTCAGGTGGGATGCCTCTCGATAGGTATGGAAGAAGGAGGAGGAGAGCGGAGGGAGGAGGCGTCGCGGGCGAGTCAGCTGGAAAGGGCTTGTCGGCTATCGATAAAAATCCATCCATCTACCGACTCTGTCCCGGGATCTCCAGACTGTCGCTTTCCCCTTATCAGCCTGGTGCCAGCTCGTACCGGATATCGGCCGCGTTAATTCTGTCGACGGGTGAGATGATCTTTCTTCGGTGGTGGCGACTCTAGAGATAAGGGACCGCCGACGTGCATAACTTATGCATGCGCGACGCATACGACCTCTTTACAGGTACGGAGTACGTTGGTACATCAGGGACCGCCTATATGAGGTATAAAGCCCATTACGTACCTGCCTCTTCTTCGATGTACCCACATAGATAAGGCAAAGCGTTCATACTACATTATACATATGTGCTTGGAGTACTACCTACGTAATACATACATATACATATAGTAGATATGTCGATATGTACATACCTACATATAAGTATGATGCTACCTAAGTACCTAGGTATGCATTCAGATGTATTCGGGTCGTCTACACGTATAGTAGACGGCGTAGCATCTAATGCGGCCTGGCGTAGAACGAGAACGCAGCGCGCCGCACTCGTCGTCGCAGCCGCTCACCACCTAACACCTATCAGCCAATACGATGGTTACGCATAACACCTCGACCCTCAAGGTGTATATGTCGGTACATAGAGCATGGGTTTATCTTAGGTACCTGACGGATTCCTAGTCTTGCCTCTCTTATTCCACTTGTTATTCAGCCTGTTGATTAATCGTAGTGGTATGCTATACCTACATACATACCTACTTACGTAGCCACGGTAAGCAACGATCAATCAATCATCTCTGCATAGGTAGCCAGGGAATTACAGGCTTACGGCAGGTCACCTGAACGGCGACCACCGCGAACCGGGTGGGCGAACCGGTGGGCGAACGAGTGGATATTATGCTATGGCTGGCCATCATCTGTGTCATGCGGGTTTCCTTGACAACCACTCACAAGCGCCACAACACCACACATGTCCTTACCATCACACATCATGTGCGCGCGTATATATATGCAGCGCATGTGCCGCGTCGACTCTTGAAATCGGTAATACGGCGCATTTTAGGCTGTGAATAAACAATAGACTCGTATCTCCTTCGTCGCGTGGTTTGGTCCCTCTTAACCACTTTTGTCCGAGACTCGGCGTGTGCGGCTCGAATTGCCTCGATAAGAATCTCCAATCATGAGGCTCGATCGGAACCTCGCCGTCCTAGGCACACTCTGGCTGCCAGGCGCCGCCGCGTGGGGAAGTAAGTACATGCATACTTAGTAAAAGGGCAACGCAGTATACACCTGGCCCTCCTCTCTGCCCTCCTCTTTCGCTTGTTCGATGCGGGAGCCTACCTACGGCTCTTCCCGGGTGGCTGACGAGTGCCTAACTTGCCTTTGCTTTGGCGATAATCGATTCTAACCAAAACCACTCTGTTCCGGGTGGAACTAGGCTTGGGACACATCACCGTGGCGTACATCGCGACGGATCTCGTCAACGACCGCACGTCGGCGTACTTCCAAGACCTGCTGCGCAACAGCACGGAGCACTACCTCGCCGGGGTGGCAACCTGGGCCGACAGCATCCGGTACACTAAGTGGGGGCGCTTCTCGAAGGACTTCCACTTCATCGACGCGAAGGACGACCCGCCGGCGTACTGCGGCGTCGACTTCGCGCGCGACTGCAAGGCCGAGGGGTGCATCGTCAGCGCGATCCAGAACTACACGACGCAGCTGCTGCTCGTGCCGCCGCCGGGCGCAGACGCCAACGCGGAGACGGCGGCCGAGGCCGGGAGCGTGCTGCCGGCGTGGCGGCGAGCGCAGGCGGCCAAGTTCGTCGTGCACTTCGTCGGCGACATCCACCAGCCGCTGCACGTGGAGAACGTAGCGCAGGGCGGCAACGGCATCCACGTGCGCTGGGAGTCGACCGAGCTCAACCTGCACCACGTCTGGGACTCGAGCATCGCCGAGAAGCTGCTTGGCGGTGTCGGCCGCCGCCCCTACGAGGCCGCCCGCCGCTGGGCTGACGATCTCACCGAGCAGATCCGCGAAGGTAGGTACGCCGCGCCGAGCCGCCTCTGGACCAACGGCATCAGCCTCGACGACCCCGTCGCCGCCGCCATGAGCTGGGCCAACGAGTCGAACGCGCTCGTGTGCACCCACGGTAAGACTCTCCTCCAAACCGCTTACCCCGCTACTATGGACAATCCATCCCTTCCTCCGCCCCCTTTCGCCTTAGTCTCCAGAACGATACTAGGAGAAAGGAAAGCGGACGATGGAGGGGCGAAGGGAGGGGATTAGAAGCGAGAGAGCGATCGGAGCTAACGGGTCGTGTATCGTAGTCTTCCCGGAAGGGCCGACAGCCATCGCCGGTCAGGAGCTCTCGGGCGACTACTACGAGAAGGCGGCGCCCGTAATCGAGCTGCAGGTCGCGAAGGCGGGCTACCGCCTAGCGGCGTGGCTCGATCTCATCGCGGACCGGGTGTCGTCCTCGGCGGGAGCGACGCAGGCGCCCGGTGAGCTGTGAGGTGCAGATGGCCAAGTCGATTTCTGCGAGTGGCCTTGCGAGCGCGCGCAGGCATGTTGGGCGTGCGAGAGAGGGTGTTGGACGTACAAGCGAGCGGGTGGTATTTCGCGTTGGTGCGCGAAGGATGCGATGAATCGCCCAGCATCGTGGTGCCCGGTGAAGGCTTTCGTCGCGCGGCCTCCTCCTGCTCGTCACGGGGCGGCGACGCTCGACGGAAATAGAAACGAAACGAAACAAATTAGGGGAACGATCACAGGAATTGCGACTCTTATTGCTACGTAGAGATCCAACTGCAACTCGTCCGCCGTCTGGCTCGCGAGGGAGCTTCGCCAAGCATACCTAGCTGCCGCATTCGGCCGGTCAGCATCAGCCACGCTCACGTCCTACATACCGCGTATATACATAGTAATTAGCCTGCCTGCTCTGGGCGCGAGGGATGTGCCCCGGGTACGAGGGATGGATCGATGGGGTTCATGGACGGCAGGTGAACGGTGGCAGACGGGACGCGGTCGACGGCTAGGAACGAAGAAATAAAACACGGTAGAATTTGCTCCTTCCCTTTCCCTCTAGTCGCCCAAGCCTTGGTTGGGGGTTCGCGTTCCAGGTGAAGCTCTAAGCCAGCAAGCTCGCATTATCTACTACCGAATCTCTCCGTTCGTCCCAGGACCGCATAGTAAGATGGGCTGAGAACGACGACCGCACTAGGCAGGCCACCTTGGCGACGAGCCCGAAGGCGCGCAAATTCGAGAGACCCTCGCCCGAGTAGGCAATCAATTAATTTATTTTCAACAACGGCGTCGTTCTGCGTAGCATGGGGAGGGGACGCCTTATCGCGGCCGGCCATTGTTAGGGTTAGCATGCTGCTGAGTGCGTTCGGCGGGAAGGTCTACATGTCCTATCTCGTTCGCCCTTGCTGGCCCCTCGCACTCGTCCACTATTCCCACTACCTACCACTATCCGCGCTCACCCATTGCCTACTGATAATCCGGCTTGGGGGACATATAGGTAGGCCACAGGCCGCCCACGTGACGTCTTTGCTTGATGGTGAATCAGGGGGATCTGGCCAGTTTCATCACTGCAATACAGGATCTGGCTTAACCTCGGGTTCCTGCTTATTAGTGGCCCCCTTCTTATAAGCTCCGAACGACAGGCCGGCAGCGTATTGGCACACGGGTTACACGCATTAGCCGGATACGAAGAATCTCCGATGAAGCAGGGTTAGGTACCTACTCTAGTTACTTGCCTATCTTACCCAGTGTTGTGTAAGGACGTTGTGAGATAGCCTAAGGTTAAGAGGTAGGTATGTTATGAGATGTAGGAGGAGGTTAGGGGAGGCATGATAGGGGGTTCTGTGCGTGAGTCGGTTTACGCTGAACCGGTGGTAGTACATCTACGCCCGAGACGTGCGAACCGAGACGCTCCGATTGAATTCGACGTGCACATTTCCTGCCTACCCTCGCATACCTTAGGTAGGTATTACCTACATAGACAGCATTAGCACACGGACACGTCACGCACACAGAACGGGAGATAAGATGCAAGACGGGAAGCGCCCAGCCTCGTCTATTCGGAAACAAGCATCGCAGCATCGTCACCCGGAGCGTGCTCATGCCGCGCGGGCAAGTTTGAGAGTTTGATGCTCCTTCATCGACGATCATCAATGTCGACGGGAGTAGAGAAGGGATCAGCCGCCCACGCGCACCTGCGTACGTACGTGCGCGTGCGTGCGCGCCAAGTACCGTATGTTTCCCTTCGATGCTATTCAAAGGTTCCTGCCGCTCAGTGTGCACGTTGGACTGATGTCTGATCACGGTGTGTTACAATGAAAATCCGACGAAGGAGAAAAAAGAGAGAGAGAGAGAGATCATACCCCCCTTCACCCTCCATTTCATCCCGTCTCTCTCTCTCTCTCTCGCCCGCGCACTTTCACCCCCGGTCGTTATTTGTTTCTCTCCCTTGTTTCTAAATATCTTCGCCCGACGCAAGGAGCTGCTGCGATTGTATGCTGTGCCCCTTCCCCCCACGGGCACGGAGCCTGTGTCGTGTGGATGTACGGTATTATGTCTGTATGTGTGTGTGTGGGTATGCATGTACCTGATGTCTAGTATCTAGTAGCTCGGCTCGTCCTCCAGGAAGCATGTCATGAAGGCGGGTACATCACTCATTTCGACAGCTGTAATGATTGTGCGCACACAAGGAGGGCTTGGGAGTTTGAGGGTCTTCTAGAACCTCGTGGCGCGGCGTCTGGGAGAGGCGGTGGTGGAGCAAGAGACCTTGGGACTTCACATATGTGTACTAGCGGGCAGCAAGGAGGGGGTTGGCAAGCATCCTGGGCCATGCTTAACTGTTAGGTGGCATTTTATGGCTGTCTTACTTGTTATACTCTACCCCGTCGGGTTCCCCTTTGCAGAAGCTCGCTTAGTCCGTCCAGGTTGCGTTTGTGAGATTTCATCAATTACGTATTCAACCCGCTCGTCTAATGTAGCATTCTCTTCGCATGCGGATACAGGGGTAGCTAACACCTAGCTCGGCTGGGTTGGGGGAAAGGGGAGAAAACGGGGCCACCACTAAAGCCGACACGAACAAGATTGCCGACGAAGTCGTGAGCGAGCCGCGAACCCTTTTTTCTTCTCTTTTCGGCGATAAGGGAGAATGAAGAGAGCGGGCACCTCAATATCGTCCGCTAGCAGAAACACTAGAGCTTACGCAACAACCATACCAAGGAATGAGCTGCGGCCCGCCACGAGGGTCGAGGGTCCTTCTATAGTAGGTAAGTAGACGAAGCGGCCCTAACTAATTACCTAGGTAGGTATTGACTAGGAGAGGAAAAAGAGAGTGAAGGAACGGTGTCGGTAAGAAGGCCAATTAGCACGAAGAGGTGTCATTAATAATTAGGAGCTGTGTAAGTTGGGTACCACCCAGCTGGTATATGAGTAGTCATCTGGTAAAGCAGGCAGGTAGTTTATTAAATCTGGGGTCCGTTAGGGAGTTAGGCCCACGCATGGTCTGTGGATGACTTCGTTTTCGATACCAGGGACAATAAGATGAGCCAACATGAAATGTATCGAAAAGGAGAGAGAGAGAGAGAGAGAGAGAGAGAGAGAGAAAACCTTTCATCTTGTCTAGGTTATCCTGCCCACTCATTCTAATGCCGCGTTTCTCTTTGGCCTCCACCCCCTTGGGCCGATCGAACAGATGCCAACGCTTAACAGAGTCGGGCGTGGACAAGCCACGTCGCGGAATTTGTTAAGTGGGAGGGATCATGGTGAAAGTGACTGCGCTGTTACCAGACCTACCGGACGCCCGCCCAGGTACCATAGATCTACTAGGTATAGGTTGGTCCTATGACGATCAGCATCCTCCCAGATCGGATTTCTCTCCTGCATTGACGTTTCCCTCATCACGTCTCATCCCCAACTCCAATACGGCTGGCAAGCGCCGAGGCTACAAAAGGGGTCTGCTCAACACAGGGAGGATTACACAGGTGTGTTGGTAGAGGGGTGTTAAGCACACATGCCTAAGTAAGTAGGTAGGTAGGTAGGTCTCGCGGTCCTTTTTTAAGCTTATTTTTAACAGCAGCCACTGCGGGTCCGGATGGCTCTGGAAAGGTAGATCTCACGTTTGGACAACGACAGCGATATGCAGCAGTGGCATCGATTCGTCATCATACCCGAGAGCTTGTCGAGTCATTAGCCAGCCTGGGTTTTCGCCGTCCGAACATGTGTATGTATGCATATGTGTGTGGGCCTATATGCCTCGTAGGCACGTATGTCGCGTGAGCAGAGGAGAAATCTAGATGCTCAACTACGTAGGTTGGCTGCCGAGATTACCACGCCGTAGGTTAGATATTAGAGGGGGCAAGGTGTTGTGCCATAGGTAGTGGTGTAGTAGCAATAGTGGTTCCGCCTCCCCAGCGATGGCCTGAGCCTCCCGATCACTGGACGACGGGTAGCCATGTGGAATATACTACCTCCTAGGCCTGCCGATGGGTGTGCATACCTACACGAGTTAGCTACAGGCACCTAATTATCATGTCCGCGTGCAAGCAGGAATACCGATCCGTAGATGGGCTCGTTTCGCATCTAGCATTCAAACGAAGGCGGGTTTTACGAATTCTGGGGTTCTAGCGATCGGCAATCTCGAAAGCCTCATTGCCGTACCTTGCATGCTTACTACGTTTACCACGTACCTCGCACCCAGAAGCACGACCAGTGCCTCTATGAGTAGGTAAGTGGGCAAGTATCTGCGGACCCGTCTTCTGTGGGATTCGGCGCATGGGGGAGGTTATGGACCTTGTGGAGGGATGGGCGGAATTGTCTGTCGGATGCGTCCTACGTTGGGCAAGCCTGATCTGTCATACCAAATCCACGGGTCAATGCTGCAGGTACTGGACGTGTAGAAGGACTCCGTGCCTCCTAGTAGGCAGCATCAGACAGCGCATCCGCAGCAGATCCATCCGTAGACTGTTGCCGTAGACAGCTCCTTACCTACATCCTCCTACCTTTTCCTACCGTGCGCTCATCTTACTGCCTACCTACCTACATATCTACCTATGCTTTCGAATTCACCTGACCGAGTACCTGTAGGTGCGTCGACAAGTACGAGAGGGGCGGGGGAAGAGAGGTGGGCGACAGCGCCCTATCGCCGCTGGAGGGGACGTGCCTACAGGCGGTACAGCACCTCGCCAGGCCCTACGACAGCGTGTCCAGGCCCTGCAAGGCGGTACCTGCACGCTGACGGTCGAGGGCCTGAGCCGCCTAAGGGACCGCCCATGCGCCCAGGCGAGCGCTTAGGTGGGTTTGGCCGGGACGTTTTGCTTCAGAATCCGACCCGAAACGTCGTCTGCCTGATCTACTGCAAGCCCCAGGCGTCGCAGATTCGGCCATTGTGCTGAGATGCGGCCAACCAGTGTTGGCCTTGGCTTCGCAACCCTGCTTTTAGGGCCTGTCCAGCGATTCGGCCCAGCCAAACCCCGACGGCCTAGCGCCCCCCTCCCTCCCTCTCACTCTCCCTTCTCCTCCTCCCTCGCATCCCTACAAGCTCTTCCTCTCTGCCTCACCTTCAGCCTTCCGTCTCCTAGGATCTAACCCATCCCGAATCCGCGCATCGCTTCTTCGGTGCCAGCACCCTCAGCTGCCTGCATCCAGAGCCAATGCAGGTACAGACCTACCTCCCTGTCCCCGTATTGCCGCGGACTGCCCCCAACCCTCTCGCACGTCGTCCTGCCGTCCACCTGCCGTCCACCAACGCTGTTATGGCTATACACCACCATTGCACTGCTGCACTGCTGCGTCACCACGGCTCTAGCTAGCTCTGGTGAGCTCTGGGTTGTTGTTGTTAGTTTGTAGGCAGCCTTTGACGCAGTAATGTTAGACTCAGCCTAGGTCATGGGTCCGACCCGACGCCTGCCGTCTTCCGCTCGGCTGCTGCTTGTGGTGTCCTTCTGTCCAGTCGCCTCCTCCCCCAGGGAGGCCGGGCCGGCTTCTTTACGTAGAAACTTACTGCGGGTTCTCGACGTCGATAGCCGTGGTAGGCGGATGGCTCTATCCCCAGATACCCGTCCGTGGCGGGAGCACGAACGGCGTTATGACAATCCCACGTATGCACACTCGCTCCTCGACGGACAAAAATATACATGCGGATAACACCATACCAATGCGGTCGTGCTGGGTCGCTCACCAACTCGAATCGCCAAGACCACACCCTTACCTGCGATCCCCCCATCGGCTACTTAGCCTCAACCCGACCGAGCAGGCACGCGAAGGAGGCGGACGAAATAAAGGATCTCCATGGCGGGTTACGGGATGTGTGCTGCCCCCCCTCTGCCACCATTACTACACGTACATTTTACGCCGGTGGTTGTAGGACTCGCCCCGTCTTTGTATTCTATGTACACATACGTGCACACCCGCGCATACATCTGAAGCCAGCAAGGATCGTTTAAGCTTCATCGGCCCCCATGTTCGCGCTCTCATTGGTACTACGATGAGGAGGGTGGGAGTGAGCGATAGAGATGGCGGTGGTCCAGGAGCACAAACCCCCCCTGCCCCCCCCCCCGCCGGCGCACCAAGGCCAAGGCCTCGAGCCTCGCCATGGCCATCTCGATACCCCTGCCACCACACCCTGCCAGGTCCTGTCATTACTTTCGACATCATCTCTTCCCTACATCCCCGTCCGCGTTTTGAGACTGTGGGTACCGCTCCTGTCGATGGAACCTGCATGGGAACATGATGTAGTGTTCGTTGCGGGTGCCACGGCTTCCATCCACACTCAAGCGCAACACGTCCGAGAAAAGCCTGCGACCCTGCCTGTGGAGTATATATAACAAAGGTATAGTCTTGGCCTCACCATATTATCTCCTCCGTTCCCCATCCCCGTCGCTTTTAATCTTGTATTCTGGATTCTCTATCGAGTTTCTATCGTTCCTTTCTCTTTCTATTAGAATGCGCTGGTAGTGTGTCTTCTTACATTCGTTCTCTTTTTTGACAGCAGCTTGGGTCGTTTGCCCATTCTATTTCGCTTCAAGTGTTGTCTGTGACCACTCCTTACAGCTAATTCGAAAACGGTCTGGAACCATTTTTGGATCTTGCCCTCTTCTTGCCCCGTCCCGAAAGACGGATTGAAAAGAAAGTCGTCACCTCGCTCGATCTCTCAGGGTTAATCTCGCGTTGCATTCACCATGCTCACCAAGACCTTCCTACTCGGCCTTTTAGGCGCCGCCGCCGTGGCGGACGCCACCGCCATCCATCGCCCATATGACCAGATCATGAACCGAAGAGCAGCCAAGGGCGTTAATGGGCGACAGTTCGGCGGTTTCCCAGGTGCTTTCCCCGGTGGTGGCAACCGTGGCGGCTTCGGTCAGGGTCAGGGCGGCAACCGTGGCGGCAACAACAACAACAACAACAACAATAACGGAAACAACAATAACAACGGCGGGAATAATAACAACAACGGCGGGAATAACAACGGGGGTAACAATGCCAACGCCGGTTCCTTAACGTTGGCCCAAAACGCTATTCAGACCGGCTCCCAATCCGACGGCAACCCGGACCAAGCTGCGGGCGAATCGGCGTCCAAGACGTAAGCAAGCGAAGCGTATTGCGGGGAGCGGCAGATACTGACGAGCACCAGCGACAACGCCAACTTCATCAACTTCTGCAGCGGCCAGACTCTAACCAACGGTTTGCAAGTCCAGGGGGGGTCTTGCAACGGCATCCGTAAGCAAATCTTAATTCGGGTCAGGTCTTTGAGATGAAGCTGACAGCTCTCAGCCATGGGCAAGATTCCTTCGACCAACCGAATGGTCTCTAGCATCTTGATCAACCCCAAGCACAATGACAACATCGCTGCGAACCAGGACTTCAACATCCAAGTTCAGGTTCAGAATTTCGCACCTGGCACCTTCACCAACGCGCAGACTACCTACTACACTGCGCCTCAGGATCTAAACGGCCAGGGTAACATCATTGGCCACACTCACGTCACTGTGCAGGATCTGGGCAACAACCTGAACCCGACTCAGCCCCTCGACGCGAAGCGATTCGTGTTTTTCAAGGGCATCAATGATGCCGGCAACAACCAGGGTCTTCTGTCTGCCACCGTCCCCGGCGGTCTGCCTGCTGGAAACTACCGTGTGTGCACCATGTTCGCTGCTGCCAACCACCAGCCTGTTATCATGCCTGTCGCTCAGCGCGGTGCCCAGGATGACTGCAACAAGTTCACTGGTATGTCTAGTTTCGCAACATGCTGTCGGTATGCACGATAACTAACTATGCTTCAGTCGGCGCTGCCAACAACAACGGCGGCAACAACAATAACAACAACAACAACAACAATCAAGGCAACAACAATAACAACCAGGGCAACAACAACAATAACAACAATGGTGGCAGAGGTGGTGGCAGGGGCAACCAAGGCCAAGGCCAAAGTAATGACTCGTCGCAAAACAATGGTGCTGGCGGCAATGCTAACAACGGTCAACAACAGACTAATCTTGGTGGCGCCGCTCCGAGTGTGACAAACACCGGAGATGCCAGGAGGCCGTTTGCGGTCAACGGGTCAGTATTAGCCCAATCCACCGGCCTTTAATTCTCTAGTTTACGGATAGCTGACTTGTATTCTGCTTGTAGGAACACGTTTGCTGATGAGGCGTCGGCTAAGCAGAGGGCCTGCGATGTAAGTCTTGTTCCTTCTAGCTACCGCACGAGAGAGGCTCCTCCTGACATTTTCCCCTCTAGATACAAAACAACAACTGTAGCAACGCAGCGAACTCTGGCGCGGGCCACACGCTCGCAGACTGCCAAGCGCAACTGACGGCCTGCACGGCGTCGGCCCGCAGATAGCCTGCCGAGGTTGGGGAGGGATCTAGGGGGCGCGTGTGAACTTACCATTCCACCGCATGTTACATATTTCTTTTTTCCCGGGTTGGGAGATGGCAGACGGCCTTGTCTCTTCTCCGCTTGTTTTTTCTTCGGCATATACATTTGTATATGTGTATCCACGTATATCGGTGGTATATGCCGGTTGGATGTTGGACGTGTAAAAAACCCCTACCATACTTGTCACGCTGCGTGTGGCAAGTTTCTATAGAGAGAGACGGGGGGGGATGGGAAACACAGAGAGGCCCCGGGGGGTTGGGCGAAATGACAATACCTTTTTATTTTAATGATGAAGAACATTACCAGCAAAACACATCCTACGAGCTCCTCGCAGAGATCTATGTATATTACTATTTTCTTGTGACCTCAATGTCGCTTGTATCTCCTAGTATTTTTTTATTAATCCCGAGTGGTGCCGTCTATATCTGGCTATTGTCCCCTCGTCTGGCGTGCCTCGCTCCCCTATCCCTCCGCTCTACTCGAGGTCTATCTAACTAGCGTGCGTGAGCCGGCGTAGACGAAGGGAGGCGAATTTATCGCGAGGTTACACAGACCGCAACCTATTACTACTACTACTACTACTACTACTACTACTACTACTACTACTACTACTACTACTACTCTTCCTCCCCCTCGGTAGAGGGACGGACCGAGAAGAACGTAGCATGGACTCGGTTCTAACAAGCCGACTACAGCGTAGAGGCTGCGGAGGCCGGTATAGGTGTGACCATCTATCTCCTACCACCCCCCGGGCCCCCTCCCGGCCCCGGCACTTCGCACGCGCCAGCGTCGTCGCTGGCTCCCCTGCGGGTCCTCCTAGCTCGCCAACCTCGTCTATTCTAACCCGGTTTCTCTCTATCTATCTGTCTGCACACGTCCGTAATACAGTCGCGCACATGTGTGCGTGATGCCTACAAGAGGCAGGTAAATAGGCAGGTTTAGCAGACGGGCCAAGCCAGTTTCGGTGCGCGTCTCGTTTGGTTTCGTCTGTCTGTCCGTCGGAGCGGCTACTCAAGACGGCCGTCTTTCTCTACGAGAGGGGGGGGGAGAAAAGGAAGAATTTCCCTTCTCACCAGCGTCTCGGACCCCTGCTTACTGGGGGGGGGGGGGCTCGGGTCCGGCCTGGGGAAAGGGGGGGTTCCGCATCGTGCGCGGATGGGGCTGCATATCATGCGCGCCATGCGTAGGTAGGTAAGGGTAGGTACTTGTGTACCTGCTCTAGCCCCGGGTATCACTCTATTTGGCCCGGGCCGTCTATATTGCCTGCATTTCCGCATACGCGCATATCCGCGTGCCTTTACTATATAACGTGTAAATCAGGTGTGCACGTATTGCATGTACACCTACTTGTCATATGTGTAGGTTATAGGTATGTATTTATGTATGAATTTGCACGTATGCAGGGCGCCTGCAAGGAACGGCCTCCCGCCCATGCACGCTTCTGCAACTGTTGCTCTCGGCTTGGCTTGGCTTGGCTCGGTCTTGTTTAGGAAAGTCGAGGAAGAGAGGGAAAAAGGTTGTGGAGGGAAAGGCGTATAGGCTACCACACACACACACACATACCCATACCTATACACAATGCCTACCTGTGTCCATCGAGTGCCTAGAGAATAGGAGGAGACGCTGGCCGGAGCCACCTATAGCCAGCCGGTCGGAATAGGTAGGTATGCAAGTCATAATCGCCTCATCTGACCTTGTCGTCGGCTAGCTGGTAGCCAACCAGCCGATAACTGGACGGTCGCCGCGGCTAGAATTGCCAGAATCTGGGTGGGGCTGGCTGAGTTGAAACTGGGACGGACAAGGAGTCGTTATAGAGAGTGTATGGGCATCCGGTATACCTACACCATATACCTACGTAGGTGCAGCAGCAGGGGAGGTGCTGTGGGGAGTGGTGCGATGTTTCGAAGAGGAGCCCAGAAAGAATATGAGAGAGGTCTCGAGGTCTCGAGGTGGCGGGTATTATTGTGATCTTGATCATTCTTCCCCCCTACCACGACTGGATGTACCTACATATAGGTATATATCTCAACGCCAGGGCTGACGATCACGAATACTATCACGTAGTCATATGTCGCCGCAATCCCACGTGGGATATTCGGCCCTACCCGTCGCTTGCGATATATTAGCTTCACCTATCGGCCGGGGCCATTCCGGGACTGATAATATTGCCAACGATACTAGTGAGGGGGTTACCATGTTCTCCCCGGACCTGTTCCGGAAAACATTCGCCCCGCGGAGTCCCGGCTATCTACGTGACGTATCGTTTCGAGGGTCACACCTGCTTTCTTGTACCTTCATCTCGGCTCGGAGACGGAAGATCTTATAGAATAGGGGTGGGAGGGCCGGGGAGTGATCCGAGTAGAGATAAGGGAAAGGAGGGCGAACGACAACCCGGACCCTCGCCTACGTACGTGTACTAATATCCCTCAAGCTTGCCTACGTTCGCCCGTATCATTCAGGGTCGGAAGCATCATCTAGACCTTGGTGCCTGGCGATCATGCAGGGAGGAAATATCTGCGGCCGCGGAACGCCTTCGCCGCCCAAGACTAACCCACATCGCCATTGATCATGCGAATATACCTCTCACCAGCTTGCCCGCGGATAACAGGGCCCACAGCGACCATCCGACTAGAACATATTCCTATTGCTGTTTTTACGGCCAGCAGCCGCCCGTTCCCTTAAGAAGTGTCTCACGTTAAGTAGCTATAGGTTTATCTCGAGCTCGGTTCCGAGCTACAGTCCAAGGGTCTCTCGTCTGGCTAGTAGCTGTGTTGTTGGCAGATGCTACGGCGCTAGATGGCCCGCCGCCCCCGCTCGAAAGTGAATACCGTACAGCCTATCTAGCCACCGGAGACCGGGAGAACTTAACATACCAGAAATCGACGTAGGCATCAGCCTTGGACCCTAGTGCTTTACGCATAGATTTCGCGCTGTAGGAGGGCTTGTGTACGAAGAGTATGGCCGTTCTTGGGGGAGGTCGATCCTTCTGAGATTTGACTGTTAATACGATTCTGCTGTAGGAGGATGGTGTCCTACTCTTCCTTGGAATAGGCTTTGTCCGTACTCGAGTGTGTTAACTGATATTCCTCGAAGAAAGACACTTGCTGAGGGTTGGGTAGATATGCATATACGCTACAATAGCATCCAAACGCTTGTGTTCTAGCATCTACTCGGCCCCGCTTCCCTACTCCCGCTAAAAAGGGGTTAAGGTGAAGAACAAGATTATACCCAGGGATCTCCCTCACCTGCTCTATTTCACGATATCTACCTACGACAAACCCACCACCTCTCCCATCTCGGCTTGTCCAAGTCCTATCCGAGGTCTATTTTCTATTCTCGATTCTCTACTTACCAACCCGGAACCCTCTCTACACCGCTGAGACGCCGTGGCCTCGTTCGCGGAGATGTGCGAGATGATGAGTATTTACCCCTTGGAATCTTGCAGGACCGTTTCTACTGTTTTGGTTCTATACGGTATATAACAACACTACATCTTCAGGGCCGCAGAAGAAAGCAATCCCCGCCCTAGCCTCGCTCCCACCCCCCCTGTCCTTACTATCTCCCGAGCGTGTGCTGAGAACGTGGTGAATAGGTGTACATCTGCCTTAGGTATATACTTGACCTCCAACCACAAACGCTCCGTGCGGTGAACTGCCCGACGAGTTACCACCTGCCACGTGAAAGTGCAGACGCATACTTGCCCTCATTTCGATATGCAGGCTTTGGTATACAGGCAGTATGTTTCTACGTAACCTTTCTCAATATCTTGAGCTTACCCCCTCAGCACAGAAGCCGTGGCCGAACATACTTGCACAGAACACTGGAGGTGCAACGGCGTAATAGCCCACGCGCCATAGAGAAGACTGCGAGTGAGGCGTGCCGTGACCGCGCGCTCCGTGGTTTAGGTGGCCTTGGTTTCGTTTGTTTGCCGTAAGACGCGGCATATTGGCGTTTCTTTCCATAGTAACTAGCTAACCCGAGCGAAGGAGAGAGAGAGCCCGACTATATTGCCTACCGCCCTATGCAACTTATCAGCACCAGCCCCCTGCCCTGGACTGAAAGAGGCCTGAATAGCATTGCCATCCCCTCCCGATTTCAGTATCGTTACGGCAGGGCGAGGACGGGCGACCCGCTTGCAGCACTCGCCTAGAAGCAGGCCGCCGTCCGCCCGCAGGAACACTCGACCGCCGCGGCGCGTATCCAGGTTCCAGAGCAGCCTCTCCCGCAAGGCATCCAACGGTATAGGTAGGTAGTAGTGATGCCCTGAGGCTCCGACCAGCATGTTGCGATGCCTACCCGAGAAGGCACCTCTTCGCTCCACGCCAGGCCGGCCAGCGAGCGGCCGATGCTCGCCGGCCGAGTTCCTCTTCCTCGGAGCGCCTCTGGAGAGGGGATCTCCGGGGTAGAGAGGACGCGTGTAGGCAAAGCCGCGAAGCGCTCGTGTCGCTTTGTCCATTTCCCACGCCTCTATACCCCCCCTGGGGGATACTACGCTAGGCGACCTTCGGCTTCTTTCCCGTTACTGACCGCCGCCCCCGTTCTTCTCTCCGTAGGCTTAGCACCACCTCCCCTAGTCGGGCAGGCAGTCAAGCAACGAAGGAAGGGAGAAGGAGTACCCAGACCGCGCGCTGCGCGCCGAAGCCACGCGAGGAGTGCTGGCGGGGTGAGGACGGCAGTGCGGAAAGGCACGGCCGGGGGAATGGCCGAAATAGGGATGAGGGGGTAGGGGGAGGGGGGCCGGAGAGAACGGATCCGTCTGACTTGCTGGCGGAACCCCCCCCTCTCCTCTGAGCTATCACATACGAGATATGTCGCAGTGACCCTGTTCCAGATGTACGCCCTGTCGTACTATGTGACTCAGCCCCGGCGGTCCGTCGGTTACGCACAGGCAAGACAGGGAGGTTAGGTACGTAAGCCTCTTTTCCTTCTCACGTCCTCTTATGCATCGCTTTTCTCACACACGTTTACGTGGATGCGTGCGTACTCACGCCCGCTCCCTCTGCACCGATATCAGCCGCTCAAGCACGGTCGCGATACGTCTTGCCACGACTGCCACCGCACGTTTGCTCGATGAACAAATATACCTCTCTTTTCTCGTTGCCTCCAAACCCCTCCGTCTCCTCCCGCTTTATGTATATCTATCATCTACTCTACCGTCCCCCTCTACCCTCTACCGGTTCTGTGGGTACATACGTGCTGTAGCATCTCGTACCGTGGCATTTCCCCGCCTGGCTACCTACCTGACCCAGCTTACCTGTTACCCAGTTGCTAGGTTACCTACGACCTGTCTAATGAACAGCGAACGACAATAAACTGAAGCGACGACGCACTTCTCGATTGACGCGAGCGCGCCCCAGCGACGATAATAACGATGACGATGACGATGATGACGAGGACCCGATCGATCGATCAACCGCTCACTCAACCAGCCGTGAGCCACCAACGCCTCGAAGTAATGGCCGTAACCCAGAAACAAGCAAATAAGTAAAATGCCTTGTGTGATGCACCGCCGCACTCTCTCCCCTAGGTATCAACAGGAAGACTAAACGAAATGAGCACGTGAGCGCAACTATCGCACCGAATTGATGTCGTGTAAAAAAACCCCCCAAAATAGAAAAAGACTTTCCAGCTCGGCGGATGCGTACGTGTAATCGTGAATGCCAATGGATCGTGAGATGATAAAAAAAAAGCACAAAAGGGAGAAACTAATGCCGACACCCTTCTGGCGACTGCTACTCTAGAGAAAAAATGCGAGCCCCTAATGAATGCATCGTACTAGAATCAGAAAAGGAAAAAAAAAAAAGGACGCCGAAGTCCTCCAATCCCCGAAAGCCTGAAAACTATCAAGTCCATCGTCGAAGCTCTCGGTCCGAAGGTTCATCAATAAGCTACTTCACACGACCTGGCGGATAACATGAACCACGAGAGAGCACGCCAGCTCCCCCTCCCCCACCCGCACGAGCCCCTTTCACTTTATCCTCCTAGCGTCGAACAGCGTTAAACTGAGGCTGGTGTCGTTCTCGCCGACGTTCGGTGTAGGTTCGTTGAGAATCTCCCACCTCCTAAATACGAACGGCGTCAGTTTCTCGGGAAGCATACCCATCCCTATGCCCAACCCCATCGCTCTCCTCTCCTGGAACCCGACCGGCGGCTTCTCGCGGTGGGCTAGCATAAAGTCTTCCTCCGGATTGGGCGCAAAACTAAATAGGTATCTAATCCGGGAGTCTGATGTGACGTCCTTGACTCCGCGCACGCACTGGAGACGCGCGTCTTCGGGCAGACCGTCGACGAGCGCCAGTGCGATGTCGAGCGCCTTTTCTCCCAGGCCGGAGAACGGGTAGTTGTCGAGCTCCTGGACGAGGCCGGCGAGGATGATCAAGGCGCGCCCGCGAATCTCGCCCCCGTGCGGCCGTGACACGTCTATCGCCCCGGTCGACGGCGAAGTAAAGAGCGTCAGGTAAGAGAAAACGAGAGGCAGCCAGTGCGAGAGCACTGCCCTCTTTAACGACGCGTGCTCGCTATTGCCCGAGGTTAGTATGTCCCAGAGGTCGGCGAGTTTCTCGACTAGAGCGTTGGAAAGCGGAGAAGCCTTGGGCCCCGTTGCTCCTCGGAAGATGGCGTCGATGACCGTCAGCAGATTCTCGGCCATGTAGATGTCCCCATCTGGAAAAGCGTCCGCCGGAGGGTTCTTCAGAGAGGGGATGATTTCTAGAAAGCGCGACTCTGCTCGGTTTCTCATGTGTTGTGTGATGTTGGGGCTCAACGAAGGAAGCATGCCCGTCCACATGATATTGTTCGCGTCGATGGCGTTGTCGATGGCTTTCGACAGCAGTTCAAACTGCGACTGGAGCCTCTCCGATCCCTCGGGGCCGGCCGAGTCGTCAGTGGCCAGATTCAGCGAGAGCTTCACCTGGCAAAACGGTAGCGTGAACTCGTTAGCGAGTTCGAGAACTTGCTCGAAGGACTTCTGCCCACCTCCGCCGTGGGGAACTAGGAGCTTGGTGGTCCACGTCTCGATAAGGGCAGCCAGCTTGGGGTCGGGGCTTTTGAGCGACAGTGTCTGGCTGGCAGCGTTTGGATCGACGAGCACCAGGCCTCGGAGGAGTTCGAGCAGCTGAGCCTTGGTTTGGTCGTCGTCGAGAGGTTGTCGGACCGAAGCCCGCTGGTTCTGAGAGGCCGAATACTCTGCCAGGGCCCCGCGGATCAGGGGCATGATCTCCTTAGCGTACTCGCGCTTGGCGTGGTCTTGGATAATGCGAAAGCGGTAACAATCCTCCGAAGTCATGGCCGGGCTCGGGCTGAACGGGATCATCAACATTTGCAGTATTTCTTGCATGTAGACGGAGGCAGACCCGACGGCGCTAGGCTGGAATTGAGTGGCCTGTAGCTGGCTCCTCGGGGCGGTCGCGAATAGGATCGCCAGCGATAAGCAGCCTGAACTGATGAGGGGCGGAAACAACCGGTCGATAGGCGGTCGGTTCGTCAGCTTCCGGATGTGCTGAGCCCAGCCTTTCATGAGCGTGTTGAAGTGCTGTATATCGAACACGCGCAGCCTCGTGAGCAGAATGCAACAGAGCCGTTGTCGCTCATCCGTCTTGCCCCAGTAATTTTGCAGCTTCACGATGATGGCGTGGAACAAGCGCTCCATAGTCGACCGATCGGCGCTCGTATAGCTGGCAAGCTTCTCTATCTGCTCGCTTAGTTCCGTCTCGGCATCCTGGAGCTGCGTGGCCATGTTGTCGGATAACGGCGATGAGGCATCCGCGGCACTGCTACGATCGGTGCGGATCAGGTCTTTCTGCAGCTGCGCTGCCACTTCCTCCAACCCGGTTAGACGGGGGGCAAGGTTGGTGAGAGAAGCGAGGAGAGGACGCGCGCCGACACCTTGTTCCTCTGCGATGGGCTTCAACCTCTCGTACAGGCTCTGGAAGAGCGGCTTCGCTGCTCCCGTAGCAGCAAAGACGGGTAGATGAAGGTTGATGGTATCAGCGCAACAGGCGAGTAGTTCTGGGTTGGAAGATGGCACGAGAAGCTTCAGACCGGTTTCGAGCATCGTGAAATCCTGAGTGGCCTCGAGCAGTGCCCGGACCGTCTCGAATTTGGGTTTCGGGAGCTCAATATCGCCCTTGCCCGATTGCAGGTTTTGGGCGACCCCGCCGATGAAGTCGTTGCTGAGCCACGAAGAAACAGTCGTCTTGAGAGTGCGGCTGCTCAACTCGATTCGCCGTAGTAATTTCTTGAGCCCAATGGGTTTCTTGCACAACACAGAATCGACCGGATTCAACGGGATCGAGAGCGTACTCTTGACATAGCTTATCGCCGTCGTGATATCGCTCGCCTCGTCCTCGACTGAGAAACACGCCTTCCGGAGTAGAGTGGCCCGCAAATTCTTCATCGACTCGCTAAGGGAGCATAGGGGAATTTCGACGAGGAGCCTCGTAGCGCACGGCCCGTCCCGGTCCGTTTCGAGAGAATTTCCGATGCCGCCCCGGGAGATGAGCCACTGGGTATAATGGGCCACGACAAAGTCGCCGGACCGGGCGAGCTCCGACACGAGGTGGTACACGAGTTGCTTGCGACCCAATTCTACGAGCGGGTCGGCATCCAGGAAGTCCAGGATGGCTCGGGTGATATCGGCGTCGAAGGCCGCCGATGAGCGCAAGAGCATCGTGGCAACGTACACTTTCGCGATCCCGGGCCGGTAGAGCGAGGTGCACCATTCCAAAATCGTCCTCACTATAAATGCTTTGTTTTCGCTTGCCTTCCATAGCTGTTTCGGGATCGCCTCGTCGAGAGGAGTTCGATGAATGCTATCGAGTAGTTGCACCACTATACTTCGGAGGGCAGGCTGCGACTTGGCGTTCGAGCTCGTCAAGTAATCGTTGCGCGAGTCGACCAACTTAAATATCCTTGATCTAAGCTCGTTGTTATAGGAAGGGGAGGGGTCGACGAGAGATTCTCGGTACTTGAACCATATGGCGGGATTGACGAGATTCTCCGGAGTAGCTAGTAGCAGAGATTCGATAAGGGACTGTAGTCGCGTGGAAAGAGGAAGCAAAATATCGCGATCAGGATGGCGGTATATCTACATATTGCGTTAGATAGCGAACACCATAGGAGTTAATTCCTTGCGAGGGAGGGGCTGTATACGGAGGAGTGATGGTTGAGGATGGCGCTGGCTAATCGTCGCCCGTGTCTCCTCAGTCTGAGTAAATCTTTCCAATATATCTGGATGATGAGAAGCCACATGGGGAGCCTGGCCTGGTTGCTGGATTCCAGGCCAGAGACGAGCCAATCCATGTAATGATCCCGGTCCAGGAGGTGTTCGGCGTAAAGATGGGTTGCAAGGCGGATGCTGCCACTGATGGTCAGTAGAAGGGTCGGGAGGCTCGGCGGCGCAGACTACCACTTACGCATATGTGACCTTGGACTTCCAATCGACGTCGTTAAAGGCGCTAACGACGGTGTCGACGAATTGCTCGACATAGACGGTCCAGTCCCGGATCCATTTCGCTTCCCCGCCCATGACGAAGGTGCCGTTCACCCCTTTCCTCTTGAAGGCCCTAATCTCGTTTGCGCCGACGCATTTCGCTAACCAGACGGCCCGATCCGTAGGCACGTTCTTGTTCAGGCACTGGTCGAGCAACACCTTCCCACGGATACCGTGGGGTATGGTCCGACTGAGACGCCGGAGAGAAATGGCCGGGTTCGCGAGGTCTTTGAGCCAGATCTCCCTCTTCGTATCGGTGAGCGTGACCCGAGGCGGGGGCTTAAAGGTCGAAGCTGAGGTTATCTGGCCGCCGTGTCTCCTCTGATTTAGGATGCTGGTAAATATCGTGGACAGCATATGAAGGCCGGTCTTGTGTTTGAAAGCGGGAAACAACGGGCCTTTTGCCGACGCGAGCTCCTGCGTCGATTGCGCCGGCGTCTTGTCGAAGAACCCGTGTCGGATAATGTTATCCGAGAACTGGTCCTCGGAATGTCCTCCACTCCAAGGGTAGAAATCGGCATATCCTAAGCAGTCGTTAGCGTACACGGGGCCGCCGATGTCCTTGGTGGCGCGTTTACCAATGGGCTCCGCCTTGCCCATATTCGGGTAGCGGGGAGCGGCCGAGGGCGTGTCAAGGACGAACGGCTTCGGGCGGGCGTCCTTCTTCAAGGGCGTGCTCGGCGTCGAGGGTTCGGGGCGCTTAACGGGCACGACGAACCGGGTTCGGCGAGGAGGCATGGGCAGGGGAGTCGAGTCGTCGTCGGCCGTCTGGCACCTCGACGTACGCGGAGTCATATCGCCAGCGTCGGAGACATCATTGACGGACATGACCCGCGACGGGGTGAAGGCCTTGTTGGCGGAGAGGGCATCGAGATTCTGCGGGGACTCGCTGAAGCCGGCATGCTCGATGCCGTCGTTGGCCAGCTCGAGCTTCAGCTTGGAGCCCCCCCGCCTCGGGAGGGCGTTGAATCGGCCCTGGACAACATCGCCGGAGTCGCTCGTCTGGTCGCTGAAGCTGTCCGACTTGCGTACGGGGGACGGGGGCAGGTATTGCTGGGACAATGTTCGGTGGTGTGCAGGGGACTGCGACAGCCCCGAGCCGCTCAGAGTTCTCTGAGGCTGTCGCGGAGGCACGGCCATAGGGGGCCTGGAGGTCATCGCGGGCGGAGGAGGTGTCGATGCGCCATGTCTTCAGGTAGTCAGAGTGAGTGTTGGTCGGGTTGGATACGGGGATATGTGGTGTGGTACGGGACGAGAAGGAGTAAGTCAGTCGGAGTTGGAGGCCAGGGATGATGCGGTACGGCGAGGCTCGTGTGTGGATAGAGGGCGAGACTTGGGGGGAGGGGGCTAATGCCAAGAATAAGACAGACTATCGAGCAGCAGAGGAGAGGCAGGCGAAAGCGAGCTATGCGAAAACGGGGAGAAGGGGAGGGAAGGAGGGAAAAAAGCAACTAACAGGAGGGATGGAGGGATTCTGGACAGGCGAAGTTCCGGCGAGTGTCGATGTCCGTATTGGTGGTAAATAAGACGGAGGCAGGCCGGTTCGGTGACTAAAGGCAGAGTGAGAGATCCGATCTGGACAGGTTCAGAGGGAGGGTGCGTCGATGCAGTGTTGAGGCATGTACCACAGAGGCGCGCGCACACGAGAGAGGGAGTGTGTGTGACATACAGTGTGCGACAAATCCGGGCAGGCTGGGGTCTGGCCGCGTTCCCTACACGCACTCGATCGCTGGCCGTCTCTGTCGCTGGCGATAACAGGACAGGCTCTGGGCAGGCCAGTCAGATTATGACTCGGGGGGGCTCTGTAGGGTACAGGCGCGGTAAAGCGGGAGGAGAGCAGCCATGGACGGCTGGGGCCAGCGACCAGCTTCTCGCACCCGGGCTGGCGTGGAGCATGTGGGCGGTCGCAGTCGGGTTCGCCCCCAACCGAGTTCTTGTGGGAGCGGGTTTGGGAGTAGTGGACTAGGGGATGCTGGTGGTTGCTGCGTAGTAACTGGGAGCCGGGGTTCTCGTCGCCGAAGGGGGTGTTGCCAATGGGGATGTGCGTGGCACGGCATGGGTCGGGATCAGAGAGGCGGGAAAACCAGCACCAAGGCGAATATGAGTCGTTGACTACGAGTGCTGCTCGGCTGAGGACCTGGGTACGCGCCTCCGTAAAGGGTTAGGCGCGTCTAGGTTATGGACGTTCTTATAGGATGCTCGATTGGCTGAGCAGGTGGGTACCTCTTACAATGTACCGAGCCACACATCGCCATACCTCTCCGGTACATACCTAGGTGCCTACCTGAGGTACCTACCAGGCAGATGTACCTGTCTCATGTCAGGTGGGCGTCTCCCGCTACGCTGTGCTCGTACATCACCCTGCTCCGCACGCTTTACCTTTATAGGCCGGGCAGGTACCTGCGGCGAGGTCAGGCAGGGTCACGTGCTTAGTCAGCCATCTACCGCCACCCGACATAGGTACCTAGGTAGGTAGGTACCTTAGTAAGGTGAGGTTAGGAGGCGTCGGAAATACGCGTACCTGTGTAAATGTCAGCGCACCCACATGCCCGTCCCATCGTCGAAACGCTGTACACGTATTGCGGGTACTTCAAGTTTGAAACAAAACTTGCTCGTGTATAGACGGAAGGTTTACGTAGCTTACTTGGTTGGCCTAAGGCGACGCCGATACATCTGAAGGTCATATCTACAGGTATCTAGGTAGGTACCTACCTTAGGTACCTATACACCCCTAAATTCCTAGGCCGCGCTAGCCAGGTAGGTATCTACCTCCTTCCTACCGTGGGTACCTAAGGTTAGCTGCCTCCTCTGGCAAGAAGTATACACCTACATACCTACCTACCTACCTACCTCTAAAATGCCTACCTACCTTTACAGTGGGACCCCGCCTCACACCCGATAGCTGTCTGTCTGCGTACATATATATATACGTGCCTCGTAGCGGCCTCGGAGAACCCAAAGGGAAGCGTAGCCGGAGCTGACAAGAGGGTCGCGATATTGATTGCTGACTACTTGGCGCGCCCGTTGGCTGCCATGCAATCGGGCATATCCTACGTGCCTCGACGGGTTCCTCGGATACGTTGGCGTTGATATGTGGTGTGGGTATCGTCCCGGTTGCTGTATGGGCCTCGCTAACTCTCTACCCAGATGTGCCGCATTTATACGTCCTACGCAGCATGCGCGTAGGCATGTACGTCGGTAGGCAGGGCCACCTGAACCAGGCAAGATTGTCCTCCTGTGTGGATGTGCGCTTCAGCGTTCGGGCTCACACATACGTGATTTTCCGAAGGCACACTGCGAATTATCTGCCTATATTATTACTACGTAGTAGATACGTGCTACGGGATAGGTAGCGTAGGCATACCGCCCTGGATAGATTACAGGTTGCGTGTACGGGCGGGGGCGGTATGTAACCCCCTCGTAAGCGACGATTCCGGGGCTGACTGGCTGACTGGCTGACTGATGCTGCGGCTATCGCGAATACGTGAGGCGTGTGTTTTAGGGATACGGAGATTCCGTAACACATCATCATCACAACCGGCCTGTGTCGTCTTTTCTGCCTCTTCCTTTTCCTCTAGCTCCTACGAAGTTCCGCTCCACACCCGGTCGGGGCCTCGGTTGGCCGTAATGGCTAGGTAAGATCGGGCCAACTCATTACATATCCGCATTACCAACCCGGGCACGTACCAAGGGGGGGATCTAGAAGTCCCGACTGCTAGGCACCTCATACCACAGCGCGCCCTCTGCCTACCTACACACCAACCCGGGTGCTATATATCCCTATATAGATGGGCTCTGTACACACCACATACATACGCGCACATACATCATTAATCGCGCTCTCCTCTTCCCCTATTTAGTAGGGCCGGCGCCAGGCTCCCCCCCCTCCGTGTTTGGTAATGGCATTGCGCGGTATCGAACAAGCCGCGGGGTCAAGAGACGCCCGCCAAGGGGCGAGAACATCGTAGAGCAAAGACGGAAAGAGAAGCACGGAGGCGAGGAACTGTAGGTACCTAAGGTAGGAGGCGTGTATGTATGTGTGCGCATGCATTACATCGACGGGCAGAAAGGGGAATGGTCCCGCTCCGGAGAGCAGGGAGGCAGCAAATTCGAGCCGAAGCCCTGGGCGGTGGGCACAAACCTAATCTGCTAGTCCACCGGGATGGCCGGGTCAGACTTCGTGATCCCTTCTCTTGGTAATCGCCTGCATTACATCCCGTACGTGTACCTGCCCTCCGTTCCCTCTCGCATTCCCCTACATGTCCGCTGCGAGGCAGGTTAATATGTGAGATAGGAGGAGGTATGTTCCGAATGCGGTACGTCCCCGTTATGTGCTGACCCTAAACTGTCGCCCTTCAAGTAATATGAGGTTACGAGGTGTGTACGCCCCCCGCGTATAGGAAGTTAGGTATCTAAGGCAGCGGATGTAGCAAATGTTCTCTCTGCTAGGCACTGCATGGAAGTCCACCCGACCCGGAGTTGTCGAGCCACGCGACGGTTCGCTTCTGTGGTACCGTATGCGCTACCGAATGCAGTGGCCACGGCCTAACCATATCTATATCCGTTAACCGCCATCTTCGTCACTGACCAATATCGTATCGTGAGATGATGGCGCGTTCTCTCTACCCACGCTCCCCCGACAGCATGTACGTCGTGTCGTGTCGTGTCGTCCTGGTGCCCAAGTCGGGTCTGAGTAGGACCAAGAGACCGAGCCGCAAAGGACTGCCTTTTTTTTCCCCTTCCCTCGATACATGGAATCACTATTTCACCGGTACGTATCAACCACGCAGCGCAGTACCGTGCTACGTGCCGACGTATGTGCGTACACACGCCGCGGCAGCACAGGCAATGATCATTGTCAAATCGCGGAGGAAGGTAGGCAGGTGGTAGTGTTGGATCTTCGTGTCATCAGAAAATCACACCGCGCTATCTCGGACGTCCTATCGGGCTTACCAGGGACCCGTGATAGCCAATGTCGACCTTATCCGTTAATGAAAAGGGCCTCGCTTTGTGACACCTGTGATTCGATGGGCATCCTCTTCCCCGTGGCTGTCACTCCGTCGCCGCCCCGAAGCAAGTCGGCCTGCCCCAGACGTGACACAGGCCATTAATAGACAGCCCGTGTCGGCCTAGCATGACATGTCGGTGGCCCATCGTCTGGGCAGATCGAGGGCTGGATCCCCTCCGCGTATCGCCGGACAGGCGAGGCGACTGGCCGATGGACCCAGACAATCACACCCTCCCCCAGGAGACCCATTGCCGCGTGAGTGGTGTGGATATATGCCATGTTGCTCGATGCTTCACATTTCATGCAGGCCCGATTCGGGACCCGTCTGTGTGACCGCTTCGAACAGCCTCTTGTGGAGAGGGGAGAAGGGGTTGGTTCTGGTCCGCTTTATCCCTCTACCGACAGGCGAGACGGGATTCCCAGCGACGACAACGCCGAGGTCATGCGGCCAGACTGCTCGCCGATTTTCCGTTGCCATTATTAAAGCCGGGATTCCCGACGGCAACGATGTGCGCTTTCCTTCCCTATCTAGAAGCTGTTGGGGAAAGGTTACTCGCGGGATTTGTCCTGGCCAAATTTGCTCGACCGCAGCCCTGCAAGCGCAACGAGGGTCCGTCCCATTGTGGCGGTGATAGTCGCCTTTGCTAAATATTACATTTGTGATTGCAACAGGATGCTATGTCAACCTGGGGTGAGCGCCTCTGGACGTTTTTATATGTATATAATGTTCAGGGGTCCCGAGATTCGTCGGTCCGTTTTATTGAAAAGAGGGATGGACCACCCAGGCTGAGACTCTGGCTCGAAGGGATGTTGGCAACCCCCGTTGTCGAGACATTTGATTGCTGTTCCTGTTCTCGTCATTTCTCCCTCCATATTAGGGTATTTCCTCACGATCGAGGCTGGGTGGTATGATCGGTTCTAGATGGTGTCTCTGAGAACGATTTCCCTTGCCGTCGAGGTAGGATGGGTGACACGAAGGGAAAGGCATCCCTCCTCCTCCTCCTCCTCCTGCTGTTCTCCGTTACCCCAAGACGGGGAGCAGAAGTTGATAGTTCACAAGGAGCCTCCAACTCGACCCGACTCGACCTGACTCGGACTGAGCCAAGAAACAAGAAGTGCGGAGTTGTGAGTATTTCGTTGCTTTGATAGGTCGATGGTGCCATATAGAGATCGATCCGGCTAGACTCCAATACGGTGTAGCAGCCGACCTATTGTTAATTACTCACATCCATGGGCCTTCCTATACTGCGACCTACTGAATGCGCAGAGGCACCCCCCCTACCTTAGGTCTAACCCACCTACCTAGGTAGGTACCTTTAAAAGGAATACAACCTCAAGAATCTTCTATAGACCCCAAACGGTGGCTTTCCTGCCTTCCACTTTTCCGTCTTCACTTAGACCCGACGGCGTTGTACGCTAGGAGGTACTTACCTCTCTGCCACTATCCTAGGTACAAGAGGCAGGTTAGGTTAGGTACCTGCCTACCTGTATCTATCTACCAACCTGCCCTAACTTCTGCCTACCTACACCTAACACAAGTACATCCGTTAGATACCTGTACTTGCCTAAGGTGGTTCCCTAGGAGGTGCCTACCACAGGTATCTGTCTAGGTAGGAGGAGGTAGCTCGTGATACCCGTAGGCAGGCAGTTTAGGGGGCACCTCTTGAGAGGTGGGTAGCACCAACTCGTTTAGGTACCAAGGCTATTATTACCTATAATCCGGACTGCCTACCTGGAGCATCCGGCGCAGGAACCTTAGGTACGTAGGTACCTGAAGAGATATATTAGGTGTAGGTATACAGGTACCTCCAGGATCGACCCAATCCCGTTTACGTAAGCGGCGCTGTGGCTCATGTTAGGTAACCCTTCCCTCGCCCGAAAGAGCCTAGCGCAGCTGGCCTGCATCTCAACGACGTCCCATCCTGACATCCGTCGCTCCGTCGATCGCCGCGCGCGTTGAGAAGCTCTCCATCTTCCATATATACGAATTCCGGCTTGCTGGTACCACCAACAACACCGAGCTATCTGGAAGAAGCGCCCGCCGAGACAAATCGCAAGATGGCATCGAAGAAGGACATGCGCCGGCCAGACCTGGGTACTTCCCCTTTCTCTTTCTCTCTCTCTCTCTCAACCACCTGCCGCCGTCCCTTTTCGTGCACTGCATCGCATCGTAGCGCCTCGCCTCGCATCGCGCGTGTCGCAATGCATTTCGCCCTCGTTCCTTTCTCTCGCCTCGCCTCCTCCCCTCCTCGTCCCCTTCCCTTCCGTCCGCGCGTAGCCCGCTTCTCGGACCGCCAAACCCAACTCCCCCCATACCCCCCAAAATCCCCTCTACCTTCCCGCCTCTGTCCGCTTAGCTCAGCCTAACTAACGTTGAATCTCCCCCCATCTGCAGTGGTGCCCTACCAGGAGCCCGGCTCCAAGGGCGGCGACAGCGCCGAGTTCTCGTCGACTCTTTCCTCTACGCTGCCTATGGCCGCCATCTTCACGCGCAATCGGTACATCGGCTGGGCCTCCGTCGTCATCAGCGTGCAGAACTGGCTCGGCGAGGGCGAGGACGCCGCCCGCAACAGCAGCACCGGCACCCCGGGCTACTTTACCGTCGGCATGTCGCGTACGTCCCCCCCCCCTTTCCTCCCCTCTCCTCCCCTCTCTCGCTTCCTGGCCCTCGCCCTGTGCGCGCCGTTGTGGCGCAATCCACTTCCCGCCTCCGCCCCCTCTGTCCAGCATACACGTGTCCTCAGCGTAGCGGGGCCGCGGAACGACCGCCGACTAATAAATCGGCAAAAACAGTAATGGCTCTCGCCGTAACCTACCTCCCCATGTTCCTCCCTCCCCCGCCGAACTCGCGCGGTGCCACCGGCACCCAGCCTCCAGCTCCCGTAGCTCCCGCTGCCGCATAGGTAGGCGGCGGAATCCCGGTTCGCCGCGCGCCCGCAGGTTGTAGTTTGCGGCGATGACGACAACGACGATAATAAGCCGCGAGGCTAACCAATCCCTGTACCACGAACAGAAGGGGGAGTGCGGGGCGAGGGCGAGGGCGATACTGCATCTCCTTGTGTTACGTCTGTATCTATATACCTGTACCCGTAGTGTGCTAGTAATCATCAGGGGGGGTCCGAACGACGTTACGACTATGAATTCCAGGATAGGTTTAGTCGGGGTGGGTGGGCATGTGTGGACGAGAAGAAGAAGGGGGGCGCAAAAAGGAGGAAAAGAAGCAAACGCGGCAACTTCATTCATAGCATACGTATAATACAAGGCCGCCGCCTCCTTAGACCAGCCGATGCGGATACAGCCAGAGAGGCCTCGATCGCCTAGATGACGAGAGGGGCGACGGAGGCGCACTAGAGCCGAGGGCGAGGGCGAGCCAAAGCCGCGAGCGATACAGCTCCCTCTCCGCGACGCCGAAGCCGCTCTCGAGCCCGCCCGTATTCGTCGGCATATCACGCCCGCCGTGCCGTATCGTCGTCTCCTCCCTCCCCCCCTCTCAGAATGGGAGCGAGCGGCGAGCAGGAAGCAGAAGCAGAAGCAGAAGGAGCCGCGCTGCGTAGTACAGACAGGAGGAGGCAATCGGCCCGCCTTCCCCGCCACCCTCCACCCCCGCCATCGTCGGCCGTATAAAAAGCGCCTCGCAGCGGGGGAAAAGCGCCGAGGCGGCGTGGGGCGGGGGGGGGGGGAGGTACTCCAACAAGCGCTTTAAGAGCTGGCGCGGTGCTATACGTGCCTGTGCTGGAGAGACCGCAGAGAGGAGGTGGGCACGCGAACGGGCGGCCGGGTGGGGGCCTGTGTGCATAGGTGTCTCCAAGGCGGTAGATAAGAAGGTGGGGAGGGGGGGATCGGGCAATAATGGCGAGGGCACTGCCGCTATGGGCCGGCGCGGCCCGAAAGATGCCGACCCCGTGCTACCAGCGGCGCGGACGATGCCGCGGTCGGACGCCGACGCCGGAGGGCCCAGTCCGACGCGGAGTGCAGCCACGACGACGGCGGGGACGGGGCCGAGGGAGGGGCGGGAGAGACGGGGCCGAGGAGGCGGAGTCGGGATGGATGGAGGTGAGGAGGTACGGAAGGGGGGGGGGGGAGGGGGGAAGGGAATCGGGAGACATCCGGTGGACGCGGAGGCGAAGACACGGCGACCTTCACCGTGGGACTACTACATACCTGTTTTGCCTTGCTTGTATCTTTCGTATCTCTTCCCCCCCGTCCCTCATCTCACGACACTAGCTGAGAATCCCCACGTGAACAGAAGGAATTAATCTTTAACAATAACGATTAACGTACGGGAAGTAGCATGTCATGTCCGTGTCCATGCCACACCACGCCATCCCAGTCGGAGCCACATCCTATGAAAAAAAAAAAAAAAACCCTCGCAAAAACGACCGATCAGAATCCCTCCCTTTTCCTTCGTACCGTGGCGGCGGCGCTTGTGTTCTACATCAAGCAAGCAGATTTCCTCCCTCCCCGCCTCACATGACATACGAACATCCCACCTTCTCTTCTCCCTCTTGTCTCCTTCTCTTCCCAATCCCCGCTTTTATTTCTCCTGCTATTTCTCTCTGTGCTTCCTCCCCTGCCGTCTTCCCTGGATCCTAGAAAAATCCTGATTATTTCCTAGCCGCTGGTCTCCAGTTCTCGGTTCCCTTCCTGAGCTGTGTCCCCCCGTCGCTCCCGCTAATCCTCGTCGAAGATCTGGTACGTATTCTGCAGTATCGTGTCGACGACGCGCACCTGCCACCCGGCGTCCTGAATGTTACTTCCCGGGCCCGTCCCCATCAACGTGGGCCCGAATACGATGGCTAGGTTCTGCGAGTTCATCCGGTTGACCGCCGAATGCTCGATCACGCGATGCAGGTGCAGCGTCAGCGCCCGCAGCGTCGCGTAGTTCGGGTCCGGCAGCGCGTTGATGATTGCGTGCAGGCTGTCCCGCCGCACCACTTCGTCGTCGTGCTTCGCTGCCTCGATGAACCCTGCATAGTGCTCTGACGTTAGCAGCGGATCTGGCAGGTCTCGCAGGAACTGCTTTAGCAGACCCGCCACGCTGTTCACGTCGTGGAAGAAGTTCTCCGGGTTGCGGAAGTCCAGGATCGGCGCATCTTCGTCTGCGTAAGGTTTCGTCAGCAAAGTTGATCGACCTCCAAAAGTGGATATTGCGGGGGGAGGAAAGGTATGGAGTGCGACGGGAAGGGGAGGGGAGGGGGGGAGAAAACGTACTGGTATCGAACAGATGCTTCAGCTTGTTGACGTGCGCCGTCGAACCAGATAGCCGATAAATCCCCTCTACGGTAAGACCGTACAGGTCGACAGCCTGTATGCACTGGTACACGACCATGGGTACGGGGCCTTTGCTATTCTCGTAGAGGCGATCGAGTGACACGCCAAAGACCGGTCCTCTCGAGCTCGCCAGTTCCGACTTCGGGCCACTAGCCGCGCCGGGGGACGCTGGGCGCACCGGAGAGTCCTCGTGAGCTGTGGATTGGAAGTTGAGGGGCCCAGGTTGCCGCTGGGGGGATTGTCCACGCGTCTGGAACGGCAATGCGCCAAGCTGCGGTGGACCGCTGGCAGAACCTACGCTGCTATTTACGCCACTATTGAATCGCGATTGCGCGACGGGAGCCTGTATCGAGTTCCGCGCATTGTATTGCGGCTGAGGTTGTATGTTAGACTGGTTTAGCATCGCGCCGTGGCTAAAGCTTCTCTCATGTCCCGGTCCCGGCGACGGACGTGATGACAGTTGTATTCCGGGTGGGGGTGTGAAATCCTGGTTCGGCCCCTGCAGACCCGACTGCGGAGACGATCCGGAGTCGGGAGCACCGGTGCGAGGGCCCACGGACCCCGGGGGGTGTATCTGTGTCTGTGGAGAGGAGCTCAGTTGCCCTTGCTGCTGCGAGGACGGTCTCCCTTGTTGCTGGTGTATTTGCGTCATCTGATTCGAGGAAGTGTTATGTTGAGGGTTGAGGATCTGGCCTGAAGTTAGCGGTTGCGTCGCCGAGAGTCAGCTAGTTAAGACATACAGGGTTTCTTTCGTATTTTGGCTCCGACGACTTGGGGGGGACCTTGCTATGGAAGCTGGTGAGGTAGTTTTCGAGGTCCTTCGTATTGTCGATCGAGTGGACGACCTCCTTCAGACTCCGCGAGTGCGGGCCCGGTGGGACGGTGCCCTTGAGGGGGCTTATTACCAGACCGTTGCTTAGCAATAGCTTTTCGTTGAATGAAGCTGGCATATATGGTCAGCGCGAGCGTCACATGCGAAAAAAAGAATCACCCGAATCGGCATCGCTCACCGAATTTCTGCATCTGTAAGGTAGTGCCCGAGTCGCACTCGTTGATTAGGTTCCATAGCGCCTTGACGGCTTCCGGGCGCGTCGTCGAAACTATGGATGCCTTCTCTGACTGGTACGCCTGGACCTTTCCCATGTAGTCGGTGTCGGCTCCTTGGACCTTGCGCAGGAGATCCTCCTCATGCTGTGCCGCCGACTTGGGGCCCTTGATACCAAAGACCCTAGGTCCCTGCTTCGCCTCGCCCGTCCTCACGCGCTCGTACTCTTCGGCCAGCGAATCGTACTTGACCTTGGACTTGCGCATCGCCGTCTCCACGTCGGCTAGGCGCTGTTCGGCCGCCAGGCCGTTCTGTTTCCATCCCTTGCGGTGCTTATCGGCTAGGGCGGCTACCTCGAGCAGGTCTTCGTGCATCTGGTGTAGAGACATGGCAAACTGTATCCCGTTCTCGGCCATCCGGTCGTGTATCACGAGCATCTCCTCATACGACTGCGAGAAGCTTCCCTGTCGGTGGTCGGCGTGGCGGATGCTGTCCTGCGTCGACTTGCACAGCTTCTTGAGGCCTTTCGCGTGGTCGTCCTCGAGGGCGGATCGCTTCTTGAGAAACAGGGAGAATTCCTAAGGAGGCCTAGCGATTAGCGACTCGGTACGGAGGCGGCGAGCGAACGCTGGGAACTACTAACCCTGGCGGCTGTGATGCTCTGCTTGAGCCTGTTCAGCATGGTGGAAACACCAATCTGCACCAGTCCTGTCAGCCACGACCATGACGCTCCGGCGGTATCAGGCTATAGATGGGGTCCGTACGTCTGACTCGAGCACTTCCTGCACCTGCTTGGGCATGTCCGTCCCGGCGGACGAGGGTCTCGTCGCTGCAGGTTCCGCGCCCGCTCCGGCGCCACTGTTCGGCGACGAGGGTCCGCCATCCTCGGGCGCGGGGCTCGAGGCGTTCCCGAAAGAGATGCCGGGGAGATGCTCGTAATCCAGCAGCTGGGGGGAACCGAGGTCATTGGACGGGCGGCGATGTTCTGCCATGTTGGAGTCGGGGAGGAAATTGGGACAAGTGTAGCTGAGTATGTTTGGAGGAGGGGGGCGACCTCTATTACTTCTTGCCGTCCTTCCTGTCTCCCTTCCTTTCCTCTCTGGGTCGATATCCGGCTCGCGTGGGATCGATCAAGTCCAGCCTCTCTCGCGCGCGCCAGTTCTAAACACGGATCCGGGGTAGAGTTCTCATGGGCAGGGACCTGGGGAAGACGGGATCTGGGAGGGGGGGAGGACAGAAGAGGGTGGTGAAACGAGGGATGGGCTGCGATATTCATGCGAAGCGTAGCGGGCTTGCTGCACTTTCGGGCTGCCCAGACTCGCGAGAGAGGGATCTCGAGCTGTGTCGCAAAAGGTGGCCCTATAAATCGAGCTGGGAGAGCGAGCCAAGGGGAGCGGATGTCCGCCCAAGCCGCCCGGTGCAGGAATCCGGGATTAATTATGTAGGAGCGTGCAGAGGTCGGCACAGCACAATGAGCAGTTGACAACGATGAATCTGGCCGTGGGAAATTCCGATACGGGGAGCACAAGCACAAGATTTTGTGGCTTAGCAGGGGGGAGGCGATGGAGGCGAGAGCTACGTAATTTTTGATGGTTATAGTACGGCCCACGTCCCAACTTTAGGTAGCTCGCCTAGGTTAGGTACCTAAGGTTTGCTGCATGGACACCTGTGCACATATGTAGGCACTACCTGCCGGCCTGTACAGGTACCTAAGGCAGGCATGTACCCGTATGTACATACATTCGGTACCTTAGATGGCCCACCTGTGGTTCCAAGGGTTCCAGTGACAGTTCCTTTAAGGGGGGGGAGGGCATTAGGTATACACACACATCCCGTAGGTACATGTCTAACCTACGAAATGCTGCAGTAACTATTAGGTACTTCTATACCTTAGGTTAGGAGGCAAGTCGACAAGCACAGAGGGGGTACTGCTGCATATGAGCCCCTTAGGCTTGAGGCGTGTGTGTCTCTACTATATGTAGGCATTGCCTGCCTCCCAGGCAGGTTGCCTACGGCACCTTATATGCCCAGCCACACCACCTGCTGCAGCAGCTAGCGTCTGGGTGATTCGCCGCCTGGCAGCAGCCCGGCCGGCACCCTCCGCCCTTCAAGCGTGCCACTAGCCCCAGGTCAGTTCAGTGCGAAGGGGGGGCTTCTCTGCCAGCCAAATCCACCGTGCCGGGTCTCGTTATTGACACACATGGGTTTCGTCGAAGGTATCCTCCCTGAAGTTTTAAAGCGGTCGGTACCTGTCAGCCAAGTCGTGGTCTGCACACGCCCACCCCCTGCGCACAGATTTATAGGGTTATAACTGCCTGCCCCCTCGGGTATCTTACCTGCGGAATAATCCCAAAAATATGCTTCCTATACATTGTCTGCGTTACCCCCCCCCTCCAAACCTACACGTAGGTACTTAGATAATATTAGAGGAGGAAACCTACATACGATGCAATGCATTCCTATCAACCAGAGGTAGAGAATAGCTTCGTCCGCAACAGCTCATTCGGCAATCCCGCCTGACCAGATCGGCAGCGAGGCTGGCCCTCGTATGCTGCTATTCAGGTACGATTGCATATGACTGGTGTCGCAGAGTCTTCTGACGCGGGTGCAGGTGCCGCAGCGTCACGTCCATTCTTTCATACACGTTCGGGTGTCACCCCCCTTTGTCCGCCGTCCTCAATAATGCCCGTAACTCCACGGCTGCGCCGATCTCCTCAGAGTTCGGCTGCTGCACGCCTCCGCCTAGTAAGAGGGCCCGCAATGCTACCAACGACGGCTGGGCGCATCCCTCTCAATAACCTATCTGTTAGCTGTTGGTATGTCCCAGGTATTCACATGTATATCTCAGATGCATGTCGCGGCAGCTGGTTCGGCATGGCTCCGTGATCCGGCGCATTTACCCCCCTCCCCCGCACATCGGACGAGGTGAGACGAAGGACGACTTTACCCGCCAGCGACAACCTCCTACGCTTCATCTGCGTCGCCGCCAATCCTCCCTCCTCATCGCCATAAGCATAGCACAGCATGGGAAATGCTGCTCATCATAGGCATCATGGAATCCATCTCCTCGCTCTTGTGGGGAGCGTACCTGTGCCACATCTACGCACCCCTTCTCAACGACTTGGACAGCCTGTCCGATCGCTATCGTGCTTTTGCTCCCCGCCTCGTCTCATCCCGGGTTCTTGAGGCGCGAGAGGAAAGACCCGAGTTCAATAGGCCCGTGACAGACATTGGCAGTGGGCTGAAAGGTAAATTGGCCAAGTTGGTTGATTGTGTGTAGGTATGGCACTGCTAAATGTCAGATATATGACCCTGATTGGGAGTAACGGCTGGTGCCGGCGGCGTCTACGGATACGTACAGGCAGGGTTTGCTACCGTCTACAATACAATATAGTTCTCTTCCCTTGGGCCTCGTCTTCTGTTCCGCCAGGGCCATAGCAGCGTGTCCGAAAAGAGGCTCTGCTAGACGCTCCCCTCCTACAGCTGTTAGGCATCTAGTCACACGTAGTCAAATTATTGCTACGGCGTGTAGTTGGGAATCTAGCCGCGATAGCGTTTACTCGGCGGCGCGCTTGTCTGAGCGGTAGTACAAAGAGAGAGCTGAACGAAACTGCAAGTTAGCCACGGAGCACTTCCCAACCCCGTAAAGACGGGGCAATTCAGAGCCATTTTGTACTTATGTGTCTTCCTTGCTGCTAGCATATATGTACAAGGTTCTGATCAATTCGCCAATGCATCACGATTGTGCCGTGTTCTGACTAGAAGGGGAGAAAGGGAATAGCAACCTGATTCCGTATGGGGGGTATAGATAGAATGTCTAATATCTGTGGTATCGCTCCTGGGGCAGCTCCTTGCGACCTTGGTCGTTGCCATTGCCCACCGTTGTCATCCTGAATAGAAAATAGACACTTAACGTTGAGATACCTTCTGGTACTCTTTCAAAATATTTTTTTAACGTCTTGCGTTGACGAACACCATCTTCATCCACACAGTGATGCTCCCATGAGTCCGGCCAGGGGAGAGAACGCCTCAGATGTGGGGTATCACAAATGTAAGTGGAAACTTCCATGAAATCTTTTCGTCATACAAAAAAAAAAAGAATGAAGGACCTAGAGAGTGTTCCGAGCTATGTTAACATGTAGTTCAGCCCCAAATCGGGGCGTTCCGATATGCTGGCGAGTTGTAGCTGTGCAGAATACGATAGCGTACGTGATTTCCGTGTTGATCTAGGCTTTGGTGTCGATGGTGAGTTCGAGGAACATACGGTGGGGGATATTGAAGGGACGGATCCCACGGCTGTGGCATAGGCCGACCGCTCCAAGGATCCGTGACGTAGACGTGCCCGTTGCGAGACATGGAAGGGTAAGGGCCGTTGTCCCGGATGTAACTATCATGTGATAGAAGGTCGTAGCCATCGAAACTTGCCCGGCGTGACACGGATGAGTGAGTGCCATACGAGCGTTGCTGCCGGGGCAAGTTTAGCCCAGTCGTGACCGAACTCCGCTGGCTGGTTTGGCTGGCCAGCGAACTTCGACGACTATAATTGGATGACAGTCGCCGACAAAGCGAAGTGTCGTGATCCGTTTGGACATCCCAGTTAGGCGCCCGGCTCTCTCTAAAATCCGCCCCGAGGCTCCTACGCTGAGGTTTATTCTGTGGAAGCGCATAAGAAGGCGCATCTACGTAATGAGCGCGATCAGGCGCGTAGTCGTGGTAACTTTCCCGGCTAGACCTTCTAGATATGGTAGGATGGGCCATAGAAGGTCTGTCACCGTCTTCGACGCCGACTAGACCACCCTCCCGGCTTTCTCTGCGAGAAACTGAAGGCCAGTCCAACCGTAAAGTTTCTGGTGGAGTTGAGTGTGCCCTTAGAGGAGAAGGAACTCGCAGAGGGCCGATGTTGCGAGTCTTCATGCTCACCGGCGGAGGACTTCGAGGTAGCCTCATATCGAAGGCGCTTGATGGAAGTTCGAGCGGCGCCATAGACTGAGATTTGGTTGGGAGCCATTCGGAGGTATGTCCGGTAAAAGGATATGTTGATTCGACGCCACGTTCCGTATACGCAGGCGCATAGGCTGGTCCGGTCAACCGAGCAGGCACTGAATATCTGGTTCTCCCTTCTGAACCAACGGGGTTGTTAGGAGCGTTGCCAGCGTAGCTTGCGTTTTGGGGGGACGGCCCTCTCATGGTGAAGCTCTCGCTGGGGTTTTGCTCAAGAGGTTTTGGTTGCTCGGCGGATTCTCCTTCTACACTGGGAGCTCTGCTGCGGGCAGGTACAGGTTTCCGGGTGATCGTCTTCATGAAGGAGCCAGAACCCCCCTGCGCAATTGCGGATTCCACAGATGGGATCAGACCCGCCTGGCTTCGATCTGCGACTACCAGCTGGTCTACTACACCTTTCGGAGCCCCTAGCATATCTTCATCCTGGAGCATTTCTGCGCTCCCAACACTTAGAATAGTTCCAAGCGTTTCCTTACTCGCAGCAGACTTCAGAGCCAATCTTCTATACGAGATTGACAACCTCTCCGCATGCCCTTTAACAACCTTCACTTGCATGTTTTGGGAGAGCGTAGTAACATCTCCGTCCTTAGTAAATTCCGGTTTCGGGACAACTATCGATAACGGGGCGCCGCCCAGTAGCCTCTGAAACCTCCGGGGCTTGCGATAGCCGCTTCCAACAGCCGAGAGACTATGTGAAGGATGCAGGTTACGTGGTGATGCTTGGCGGGGCTCAACATCGCCATTAACTTGCCCGCGCGTGCTGACTGCCGATAGAGTTCTTTCGGGTGCCTGATGGTAGCTCGAAACTTCCGGTTTGCACGCTCTATAATCCTGTCGAAGGGAGGGAGTTTCGTGGGTGGCCGTCGAAGGAGCAAGAGCCGTAAGATGAGGGTCTTTCTTCGGCACAGGCGGAGGAGACGTCCGATCGAACGGTCTTGGAACTGCGGCGTTCGGCGCCGTTACAGCGGGGCTCTCGGGATTTAGATCCCGAATACCAACGTTCTGCTTGATAGCCTCAATTGCGACCACCTCTTCCGAAAAGCTCGGATGGTCTTTCTCGGGGACTGGAGGCCGTAAAGAGAATGAGCGTAGTGACACACTAGAGCTATAGCCCGAATCTGCCTTCGACAAAGGGACCTGTGAGAGTTCGGATGTTGAACTTGCGACGCCACTGTCGGACCTAGTGATTTCTGTCGGCCCTCCCCCTTCTGACACTGGCTTTCGGCGCGGAGGCTGGGATTTCGCATTGTGGTCGATTCGAACGTCCAAGACTTCGACGGACGAATATTCATCCTGCTCGATATCAAACAAGTTGTCGTCCACAGCTGTGCGCTTACTAGCTACCTGCACTTGGGCAGGTTCTGGTCTCCAGTCGTTATGAAGAGCACCGGTAGGGTGATGTTCAGGTAAGCGGGGAGAGGGTGCCCCAGACAAGACAGAAGAGCTAGCAGCAATCACATCTGTAAACTGGCCCCGATACCCTTGTCTAGGGAGGGGCAAGGCATCGGAACTTTGACAGTGGCCGGAATTTTGGACCTCGACTTTCTCCACGGTGGTACCAGAAGGTTTGATTTCGCTACGACTTCGTGCGGCTAAATGCTTGACTCCAGAGTAACTGTCCGACGCCTTGCCTGGGGTCAAGTCCTCGAGCCTCGTCCGCCTATCGTCGTTGTCAGAACCACGTGCGGGGCTTCGTGTTGGGCTGCCGTTCGTGATACGAAGGGTACCGTGCTTGAAGGCCCCCGTTTGCCTGTATTCTGCCTCGCACGGCGTAAGAGCGCGGGGTACTGGGTCTGAGTGCATCATGGGAAGAAAACTTGGCATTCCCTTGCTTGCCGCGTCCGTGGAATCTCGCCGGGCGGGAGTTGAAGAAACGCTATACCTGATCTCCGGCATTTGAGGGCTAGGATCTGGCCGAGTATCGCGAGTAGCAATACCAGGGGTCAACAAGGACCGCCTCCGCATCGGGGTATATAGAGATGTCTCGGAATTAGCTCGACTTATAGGCGGAGCGGCCTCGCCGATCGACAGGTGTCGGCTTCTGAAGTCGGAGTACGTGGTTTCAGGGACTTGCCACTGGCCCTCGGAAACCATCAGACTGTTTCTGCGGGACGGCGCTTCCACGGAGTTCAACAATCGCCGAGCTTCGTACGATGATAAGTCATAATTCACCGAGGTTCGCGATGCATTCGCCGACGAGCTCCTAACATTACATTATCAGTACGAAGCCCCAGGGTAATAGTTATACAACCGAGCTCACCCTTGTGTGTGGGCTTGGCCGTAATTGTAAGTCACCTCAGGCCCATCTCTTAACGAACTCGCCCTACTTGACCAACGCCCATGCTGAGGTTCCGACACCACAGTGTTATCACATCTCTGTTGGCGGCCGCGAGCCTCTTTAGATGTGTTAGACCGGAATATCCGCCTCAGCGAACGAGCCCTGGACTGTGGCCTGGACTGTGGCTCTTTCTTGCTATCCAACGGGTTCGCCCCTATCGCGGGATCCGTTTCGAGAAACTTTGGTGAGGAGGTTGCCGGCGAAGGCGCTGGGAGACCGGAAATGCGCCTCGCCGAAGCAGCGAGGCCACTAGAGCTCAACAGGCCAGCTGCCGTCGGGTTGCCCGTCCGAGGTTTAGACAACTTCTGAGTTGTCCGTCGACCCCTCCTCGAAGCCTCAGCGGAAGGCGAGTTTCCCATGATGCTGGGAGGCGGCAAAGCCGCAGGGACGGCACAAAACTACTCCTATATGAGCATTGGAACTTCTATGCCGAGTGCTTCGACGGAGCATTAGCGACCGGCCAGTCACGCTAGGATTGACATAGGTGAGATAGCAGAGAGCTCAGTTCAGGGCGGGAAGGGTTTCGAAGACAAAAGATGATAGGTGGGCGAAATTGGTAGTTAAGAAGCGTAGAGTTGGGTCCGGGGTCCTGGTCTACAATATGTATATATTGGGCTTGGCGGCTTGGGAAGAGGGCCTTGCCGTGAAGCGGAAGTTGGAAGGGTGTGCGCGGGAGGAATGGACGAATGAGGACGGAGGGCCAGACCCCAGGCTGGCCAGGTATCTGCGTGGTGCAAGTGGTAATGAAGCAGGTAATCTGCCTTGGAAATGACGAGGGTGTTAAGTTGGAACTGACCGGATATGTACCATGCCCAGCTACCTCGACGAAACCAGCCTGCCTATTGCGAGAGATCGACGCCCATAGCCGCACGGATAGACGATGGGCCGCAGCGTCGTATAGGTAGGGTCGAACAAACGGAGCAAAGCTGGACAAGAAGCGAGAAAGGAAGAAAAGAGGCGGAAACGAAGGCGCGAGAAGAAGGGGGGGAGAAAGAGAGCAGGCAAGCCACGAGTTATGAGGGCAGGGTACGGACAGGCACAGGATGGCCAAGGTATATATACGTATACGGGTATGTAGGCAGGAGGTATAGGTATGTATTCCACCTCTGGACGGCTCAAGTAGGTCAAGTAGGTTAGTGGAGTCGAGAAGAAGAGGTGTATGATGCGGGTCTGAGAAGGTCTTGACGCATGGGATGCAGATACAAAGTAGGAGGCATGGGAGATGCCGGGGGGGGTGTGGACATCGACGGGAATCCTGGGTTTGGCACTCGGCATTAGGTGACAGGCTGGATGGACATCGAGATCTGGGCGGGCTCCCGTTCTGGCGACAGAGGGGGGAAAAGGAAAAAAAAAAGGGAGGTGGGAGGAATGGGAAACGAAGAGAGAGAGGAAAAGAAAAGCGAAACGAGATTTCCTCTGCCCATACCGACAATGGCTGGCGATTGCCTCCAGCCGACGACATCATACCCGACATCGACTTACCCGTGTCCACCTCCTCGCCTTCTGCGACTCCTGAGACTTCTGCGACCTCCCAGCGCGGCAGCTGAGACGCGCAGTCTCGCGGTGCCAGGAGTTATCATGGAGGTTTAGGAACGACGGACAGTGGATTGATTAAGCGACCTCTCCGCGGAGCGGGCAACGTCAATGGCTGCTCATCTGGCCCTGGCTTGTCCCGACTGCCTAAGGTACCTACTGGGTACGACTACGCGCTACTACCTTACCCGCCTACTCATACATACCGCACCTACTTTCATCGCATTAGGTGCATCAAACTCCAACATTTCGCAGCCATGGACATGAGAGGTAGGTATACTAGGAGGCACCCGTCCGCCAACTTGCGGCCGCCGCCCAGCATAACAGAACACGTCCGTCCACCCGTCGATCCGCCTGGCGAGGTGGCTCTCGGCAGCCCAAGCTGTGCCAGCGGGCCCTCCAAATCTGCCCCGGCTGTTGCAGACAGCTAGCGGGGACCCTGGCTTCCTGGAGCGGATAGGCACCTGAGGGCACCCGAGGCTGGTAGGTACCTACCTATGTATACTCATAACACGCACGTCCAGGTACTCCCTAGGTACCTCGGTATGTAGCGATGTGTGTTGCATGTATACGCGCACATGCGGCAATGCGTTGCGCGTATGCACCTAGTGTAGGTATACCTACGTACGGAGACCACGACATCCTAGGTACCTCGCATCAGCTGTTCTTCTCTTGCGCCAGTCTGATCTCCGCACCCCTGCAATCTCCATCCGTTCGCTCTCCTCTCCCTCCCCACCAGACAACACGGGCACACACCCTCCACTCGACGCACATACCTACCTACCTACTACCTACCTACCTAGGTAGCACGCAGCTCGATGAGGTGCTTGTCCACTTAAACGACGCCGTGCGCTTGTTGACACCTAGTCTGCCTCCCAGCGCATCACCAGCCAGGCGCTATCGCAGTAGTCGCCGAGCTGAGCGGATAGCATAAGGGTCGAGGAGAGGCTGAGATGGCAAGCTGAGACTGCAAGCTGAGACTACTTATACAAGTCGAGACCACGGGCTGAGGCTAACCCCCATCGCGCTCTCTCGTGAGGCTGTCAGCCTAACCGAACAGAATCGGAATTCTCACGACCGGAGATGGCGGCCTTCTGCATCCATGCCCTCGATAACCTCCGCACGCAGCGCATCGATACCAAGATCGATCCTAAAGCCCATCCCTGCCGATAGGTAATGCGCAGGAAGGGAAGACGGCCGCGGCGTGTGAAGGAAGAGGAATGCATGCACACACCTATGCACTCATATATACATCATATAGATGCGCAACATTTCACCTTATTCGTATTTGGAGCTAGATTCGGAAAGCCGGCTAGCGATGTCAGGATGAGGAGAGGAGAGGGGCTTGCAGGGTTCACGGCAGGGATTGCCGCTCGCTCCAGTCCAATTTCTCCAGCCATATCTTTTTCCCCTTCCCGTCAAGCTAACTATCGCAGTCTTCAAGGCCTCATCCAATCGGTCTCTTCAGTCGGGGGCAATTCCCTCCGGCGTGGGGTCCGTACACGATTTGACGTCGATGGTGTCTTCTAGGCCAATGATGACATTAGGTGTGTCGCTGGCCACATAAGGAGAAACAACATATTCCCAGATGATGGGCTCCGCGCGTCTGAAGTTGAAGAGATACATACATCTCAAACACCCAGCTTGCGCCCCCAATCCCAAGAAAAATGCCCTTTCTCCGAGTCATGAGCACAGCAGCTTCAGATCGTACGGCCAATGAGGAAGAAGAAAGAGGAAAGGGAGGGTGGTAAGAGACGCGGAGACACACCACGCGCAACCCACACGCAGAGACAGAGAGAGACAAGAGAGAGACAAACAGAGAGCTCTCCGCAACGTTGTAGTGTAAAGTGTAATGGATCGTATTCCCCCCCTCTCGACCCCCGCTTGGCACCCTCTAGATAGGTAAAGTGACATACCAAGAAAGATCACGATATAGCGTTGGTCCTCCCGAAAGCACCCTCTTCCGCCGAATCCTACATGCGCAGGGCCTATGGGCTGATGGCAAACGCCTGTCACCGCCTTCTGGCCCACTCTCATCTCTTTGATCGGCACACACATGGGATGTGTGTTGTATGTATGTATATGTAAACACACACACACTTTATTGTCTGCGGGAACACGACTCAGAAAACGCACATGCTCTTCTCAGTCTGCGGGTGCTCGTGCCCAATACATAGATACAGCACCTACCTGCATACGGTACCTAAGGTATTTATCGCGAAGGCGGTCAAGGCGGCCGAACCACTGCGGAGGCCGAGGTGAAGCCCCTCCCGTCTAGGTCTGGACAAGCCGAATCGCAAAACTGGCTTTCGAAGACGCCTTTACGCCTTTCTCGATACTATTGGCACTTATGCCGAGTTGCACGATTAGACTCCAGAATCCTGGGCGCAGATCGCTGATGACCCCGCCACTAAGAGACCACGTTCTGCCAGTCGCTCGCCATCGTTCATTGTTGTTGTCGCGCTACGATGCAACACTTACGCAAGCCCACGGGACAGCTATGCGGCTGACCGGAGAGGTGGCTTAATTTGAGTTGAGCAGACGGCTGAACCGCGGCGACCTATGTGGGGAAACACCGGAAAAGTCCACGCGGGCACGAGATGCTGCTTTTTCTCTCGTCGCGTCCGGTTTCGTTGAGTCGATAGCCTCTGTTGTGGGTTGTAAACGAGCGCGGTGGGAGGACCCGGGACTGGCCTGCCATGCCATGCAGCCAGATGCCGTCCAACCTCCCCCTCCTCGCCTTACCCTTCGTCTGACCGAGTTCTGACGGTACGGCAACGCGTCTAATGCGAGGCGACAACCTTGATTTTGGGACCTTCGAACCATCGGGACGCCACGAAACCCCACACGATTGGCAAAGCCGGCATTCGCCACGCGTATTGACAGCACGTAATGAGCGCGTCAAGGTCTGGCGCCCTAGCGACCGAGAAGGAGGGGTGGCCTCCTCGGCCATATTTACGACGGAAAAAATGCATCCAGGCTGCCTCTCTACGCCACCGCGAAACTCGCGAATCTACCCGAGGACTCGCCAGTTTCTGGTGTCCCGACGCAAGCCTCGAGCTGATCGAGGTGACACGACTCCTTGCACCAAGCAAATAGGCGCGATCCTCTCCACACCACTTTAGATAAAGAGAGCTTCATCGAGTGGTTGGCCCATGATGGGGAGTGTGGCTGCCCCCCCCCCCCCCCCCCCCCTGGCTCCCCTCCCTCCAGGTATCCCGCATCGTCGGTCGTCGTCGTCTCGCTACAAACGTCGAGTTCCAACGACCGAAATTACCTAGCAATGACGCGCCGGGTATCAACCCATTGCGCGTCCAGCCACGCACTTTTTCTCGTCGGGCCCGAGGGCTCAGCGCTCTAAGCGGGGGTGAATTCATAGTTGCAGTAGTCGCGCGCTGTCGGGACGTGTTCTAGTATCCGATGGCGCTCGTCCAGACGTACTATCGTCCATGTCTCAAGTCTATCCCGAGAGCTTATAAATCATATCACGCTCTTCTCGAACCCTTACTGGGGCAGGAAGTCGGACTACCGGTGGAACATCAGGCTACGAAACATACATACCCTCGACTTGATTCTTGTTCTCGTCCCCATCCTCTCCCACCACCCACCCCCTCTTTCTGTTCAATAATTCGGTGATTTATACCCCGTTCATGTCAGGAGGGCTCCAGAATTCTCGCAACCTGGGTTGGGATTTGGAGAAGGGGCATCTCGGCTTGGTAACCAGTCTTCGGCCAACCATGGGCATCGTAACAAGAAACAAATGCATACAGGTCGGGCTGCCAATCTATCCGCCACGGCCGTATTTAGGCAATAGTCCGACTTAAGACAGAGTTCCCGATTAACCAGCGACTTGAGACAGTTCATGCCTACCTTATAACGACCCCCCCATTCTATCTTGCCTGAACTCGTCTCGTCCCTTTTCCTCCCATCTACGCCCATCTCGTCGTCCTTAAAAGGCTTACTTGTATCTGACCCCACGAGCCCGGATAACAGCCGTGCCGAAACAACGGTGGGTGCTATTGGTCGGATCCCGAACCTTACACCGCAGTCTCTTACAGCTTCTTGCACACCGCTTCCGGGGTTGCCGTAACCCGCGTTCTCTCGTGCCCCGGTTTTCAGGCGGGGAGGGAGGGTTACTTGTTGTGCCGTTTGATTATGAAATCTCAGTCATCCATCCAACCCCAATCGTCGGAGGCGTCCGGTACGTGGACGGCGACGCAGGACGCGTACGCGGACAATATATCCGATACCGATCTCGAAGGTAGGCCTGGCCCCATGACCAGTCGACGACGATCCCTAAAGATCTGTGTGCGGGCGTCGGGCATGTGTCGTCGCCCTAGGTAGGTATAGCAGTACGTAGTTGGTGCGCGGGCGGGCGCGGGGTTGTCGCGTGGACGGACTGGCCCAGGCCGCTGCAGCAGCGTGCTGGAAGGGGAGGGAGGAGGGTGCATATCACATGGTATGGACATGTGGCACGAAACTTAAGCCGGCACGTTCTCCGTCCCGCTGGCTAGTTGCTCCGATGACGGGCCCCCCCCGGCGAACTCCAGTGAAACCCCGGGAGAGCTCCCAAGGAGGCGCCGTAGGGTACGGAGGAACGAGGGTGTGCGCCCGCGCAAACTGCGGCTTACCAAGTCCGGCCCGCAAAGGAGAGGCGCTAGATAGATAGATGCCTGATAGGAGACTAGAGTTGGACTGTTAGTACCTACTATACTACCTCTCAGCACGTAACCGGCCGAGGCTAATACAACGCCTATTCTTACCCACCACGCTCGCCGGTCCCAGACTAGGCCCGGCCCGAGATAGGCACTACTTGGCGGACTCCAGGCGTTGCCTGATATGACTGCCGCCGCTCCCGCCGGGCGCCGGAGCCGTAGGCTAGCCGGGTTTGGATGGGGCAGAAGGGGGGGGGACACACACGGAGAGATGAACAGACGAGGCTGCAATCCTAGATTAGACAGGCACGGCAAGCCGATGTCTATCCTCACGTCGTAGCATTACGAGTAAACGCCACAACTCACGGACCTGCCCGCCCGCGCATCTGCCTATCTGCCATCGTGAGTTAGAAGCTTGCGCCCCGGCCGCCGTGCACGCCCGGGAGAAGCCGCTACTCCACGGTGCTGCGGTGATTACACCGGGCCGGCGAGCTAGCTTGTCCTATACCCCGTCCCTCCCCCCCTTCCTTATATGTAAGTTTGCTAGATGAATCAGGACGCTTCCCCGTCTCGACTCGCCGCGAGTACACGCTACTTCGCGCCGACGGCTTCCCGTCGGGAGTCTTGTGGTGAGGTTAGGGAGGGATGTGGCGAAGGTAGGTACCCCGAGTAGTAGCAGCAGCAACAACAGCAGCAGGGGTGGTAGTAGTAGTAGTTCCAGTTGGTGTAGTAGTTGTAGTAGTTGTAGTAGTTGTAGTAGTTGTAGTAGTTGTAGTAGTTGTAGTAGTTGTAGTAGTTGTAGTAGTTGTAGTAGTTGTTGTTCTCAACACCGTGGGGACGGGTATAAGCTATCGGAGAACCCCCCGTAGGGTATCGTAGCGTGTTAGGCTGGAGCACAGTGATTACGGAACAGATATTCCAACCTATCTAACACCTCGTAACACCGGATCATCACTGGAAGTTCGCAGTACCGTACGCCATTCCTGCGTCTCCCCTTCAACCCGACGCCGTATGTTTGTCCAGTTAAGACACTTGTTTGCCACATATTCTTAGCTCCTCCCTTTCCTCCCTCGGTATCCACCTATACGCACGCCCGCCTTCGCCGCCCCCTCCCCCTTCTTCCGGAACGGGGCGCCGCCCTACTCCGGTGGGCGCGGCGCCGACCGTGGCTCCCCAAGCTCCGCGGCCACCAGCGACCGCTTGCAGATCAGGGGAGTCTCCCCCCCTCTCTCTCGCTCTGGGGCGGAGCTTGCCCGCCCCCGCAGAGACATCCACGTGTGCTATTAGTGCATACGCGAGCCGCTGCACCGTGCGGGGGGGCCGAGGGCCTCCGCCGCGCGTTGCCGGGCGCGGACCCGGTGGTCGGGCTAGTGGGTGACGTCGCGTTTAGCTGTTTGGTCCGAGGCCACAGGTCGGTTATGGTAGGAGAAAGAGGGTCTATCTCATGCCATGAGGAACCGCTGCTCTCGCTTGGCACACATGCACAATGGGACACCGTATGACTGTAGATGGACGAATATAGCTACATGTGTGTATGAGTAGGTAGGTAGCGTGCTCGTCAAGAATCTCCGCCTAAACTATCTAACGAGGAGTCAGCCTTCACTGGAGCCCAGGAACGAGATATAAATATAGCACCCGGGATTGGCTATGCGTAAATTACATTGACCATAGCTAACTTACCGACCTCTCTCACCACCTCCTGTGCTGACCTCACCACCTCTCCATCGGCCCATTCTCTACCCCCACCATACCGTCGTATCTCCCTTCCCATCGCGCCGCATCCTACAATACCCGAAAATACTTACGAACGAACCTCCGTCGAGGACACCTACGCAAAACAGACGGGGCGGGCACATTGGGGCTAACTGGGCCGCGCATGCCGTCACTCGCCGATGACGTACGTGCAGCCCTCGGGGCCGATCCAGACCTCGTGGACGCGGCCGGCGTCGACGTCGATGCGGTCCCCGACCCCGTGCGTCGTCCGCTCGGGGCGTGGGTCCCGCGGGTAGGTAATGGTGAGCTGGCCGCGCACGATGAGGTGCGTCGTCAGGCCGGCGTGGGAGTGTGGCGGGTAATGGGCGTCGCTGCGGACCTCCCCGGAACTCTGCGTCAGCGCCCGATGTGCTGCAGCGCCTCGGATGGGTAGTATCGACAGCGCGTATGCATGCATGCATGCATGCATACACACGCCTGCGAACAAGGGAGTGACTAATACAGATAGGCGTCTCCCCGTGGCCGGCGGCGCGCCTCGTCGGGGGATCGGGGAAGTGGAGAGGAGGAGAGGAGGAGAGGGGAATGGTGTAGTCCTGCTTTCTTTCCCCCCTCTCGCCACTGGCCCCGCGTGCACTACCCTCTTTCAAGTCGACATGCACGTACGTTCATATCGGGACATCCGGCGAGGGGAGAAAAGAAGTCGACGGAGAGAGAAGAGACGACAGCACAACAAGGCGGGGCGGGATGGCATGGGATGGGCAGACGTACGGTGCATCAGTCCAGGTAAAGACGTGCGGGAAGCCCCAGGACCGGACCCTGTCTTCGTAGTCGTCGTGGGTCTGGCGCGACATGGCGGCGGCAGGGTCTTTTGCGATGGCGAGGCGTTTGAAATCCGATTCGATGTGTGTGGTGCTGGTGGAGTAATTCTACTTCGGATACTCACGGCCTCAGGCGTCCTCTCAGACCAGACGGATGCCTTGCGGCCTGTGTCAGGCGAAGAGGACAATAGCGACGATGAGGCGCGCGACTCGGTCAGCACAGCTTGTGAAGCGAAGGGAGAGAAGACGAGGCTGCTTGGTGGGATACGAGTTGGCGCTCGAGGGTGTGGCTATGCACTGACTGCATGTACGTGCATACGTGTAGAATTGGTGTATGAGTATAGTAGGTTGCGGTCTGTGGACGAGGGTGGGGATGGAATGGTGGGAGTCTCAGTAGATGCCTCAGGTACCCACGGCGCAGGATGTAGTGAGATAATCGTACATTGGTATGCTGGGGAGTTGGGATTGATAAAACGCTGTCGTCTTCTGCTTCCAGTCGGCGATGTCGATTGGGGTTAAGCTGGGAAGATGCAATCTCGATCCATGTTGACCCATCCGTCCATGTTGACCCGTCCATGTTGACCCATCCCGTATCATGACATCTGTATGGGGGGTACGCTCTGTATGAGGTTAGGTACCTTAGGTACCTCCTCGGCCTTCGGTATTCCTCGTCTCCAGGAATCTGGCCTACTTAACCTTAGGTATTTCTGCCTCATGTCCTTGGGCGGGCGGTAGAAAACTAACAGTGACTGGGACTTCAACTTGAAGGCAAGTCATAGGTATCTTGACGTGGGTTACATTAGGAGGTCGTGCTGGAGAAATAGGGGTGGGATGTGCTAATACTATGCGTACCTACAGCACCAGCTAACTCTCCTCCCGGTGGACGCTGGGGCGATCATTGGTCGGCGAGCAGGGCGCAGCTGGCCGACGGGTAACCCTGTGGCATTTCCCAGCATTCAAGTCATCCCATTCCGTCATCTCATCGCGTCCAATGCGAGCCCATATCAGCCAATTTTTCCCAATTGACAAGGGAGCCTTAACTAAACCAGTCGTTTTCAGCTCCCTTCCTCCCTTCTCCTCTCGAGACGCCGCACGCGGGTCCATTCTTCCACCTTCTCGGCGGCGCGCTGTGTTTTCCCTCCTGGCCCATCTGCAATTGCCTCTCTGGAGATGCCGAAATCCCAAGGTCGCACCATGAGAATCGCGAGCGGCGGTGGATCAACCCAAACCGACAATATAAGGACATGAGGAGTGGAGAGGGATGGCCGAGGTTGACATGCATGCTTGGTCGTCGACTCAGCCTTCGCCATTAGCCCCTTGCCGCCTCTAGCTGGGCCCTTGTCCATCCGACCCTGCCTGTCCTTCTTCTCCCGGACGCCTGTCGGCCATGAATTGGACCTGAGTCCAATCGACGGGGCGGGCGTCGAGTCCCGCCCCCAAACGGGCACGCCTCGGCTTACTTATGTCTCGATATCTGTACGTGCCCACCTATCTGTCTACCTCTGCATAGGCACCTACGGTATATGACTGCATATGCCTGGCATGAACTGACTGGTAGGACTTGCGGTCTGAGAGCACCTGTCCACCTGTCTAAGCCCCTCCGGGTTGTGTTTTTATTCTCTCCCTATCCTGTCCTATGTATTTGTGTGTGGTGCTTGTGTTTCTCTCTCCCCTCTCTCTCTTACCCACCCCCAGGTAAATGCTCAGTCAATTCCGATCCTCAGGGACGGATCCGTCTATATATCCTGTGTAAGCTGCATCTGTCATCGCGGAGCGGGCCTTTTCTTCTTCTTCTTCTTCTTCCTCTTCCTCTCCCCATCCCGCTTTGTACCTCCACTCGCATTACCCACCTTTGCGGTACCTCTGCTCCAGACAGGTGGTGGGCAACCAAGACACACAGGGGCCCGGGTGGACGGTACCAGCCCTACGAATGGTAGCTAGAGGCTGTCTAGCAGCAAGAACATATTTCTGCAGCACCGGGGATCGGCTCGCCTGAAACGGTCGCGATTGGCTCTGGTCTGCTACTCTGGTCGGGACCCCTGGTTGGCTCTGGTCTCGCCCTGGGTGCTCTGGGCTCTGCGTGGCTTTGCCCGGCTCTGAGTGGCCAGCAACCCTGGCCGGCGTGCTGTTCTGGGCCATCGAGTTTCTCTTCTTCTGCCTTGGCAGAGGTGTCGACAGGGGCTCTGCTCTCCCCCCCGGCTCCTATTATTGCCCTGGGGTGAGGCTGCATGCTGACCATAGCTGAACTCGAACTCGAGCCTGCACTTTGCATTCTCTCTCTTCATCTCGTATCTCAAAACAGCTCCCTGTTGGACTCGACCTTGTTTTCTTTACCACGCGTACATACGTCTCCCGGTGCCCGTGTTCTCCCTAAATCTCCTCTGGCAGTAAACCTACCAACCTCTTCTTTCCGATGCCAACGACCACACACGTCGGAAACACGCTGGTCCTCATTGCGACTGTTGTATTCCTGCCCGTCTCACTCGCCCTCTGTCACCCACTCAGAAGCCGAGATCGCAACGATGATCAAAGCTTTCTGAGTGGAACCGAGAACTGATTCCTTCGGGATCCTGTTCCTCTCCTCCAAGCTTGCAAACAGCTCGCTATCGCGATCGCCGCCGTCCCGCTCTAGCACCTGGCCAATTTGCCACTGCCAATTCAATGTGCCTCAGTGTAAGATGGCTAGCGGGGCTCCGCCCTTCGGCAGCGCGTCTGCCATCGAAACCCCGTGGCCACACTCGCTAACCGTTGCACACTAGATGCGGAGACGACCAGCCGAAGCGCAGATCCGTTCGGCAGCCGTGCGGCGCCGTCGCACGCTGACTTCCGAGCTGGGGACAAACTCGATGAAAGCGCTGAAGCGGGCAATTGCTCTAGCTTCATTCGTCGCCCCCACCGCGATATACTTCCCAGGCGACGAGACCACGGGCGGTAAAAGGGAGATCTACCTAAACGCCGCCATCCAACGGCATCTACGGAAACTATACGAGTCGCTATGCCGAGGCAAAAACACGCTCCCCCGAGAGTGTTTTGCTACCTTTCTCGAGACGTTCCAAGGCGAGAGTGCCCCGGGCCAGATACAGAGTGCCTTGGACGAACATGAATACAAATTCGAGAAATTCCTCGAGGTGTGGTGGCTCCGCTTCGGCCTCGACGCCCAGCGGCTGGCACCCGTCGAACAGAAAGACCTTTCCAAACCCATCAGCAACTATTTCATCAGCAGTAGCCACAACACCTACTTATCAGGCAATCAATTGTCCGGGAGGAGCACGGCGGATGCCTACCGGCGTGTTCTCAAGAGAGGATGCAGGTGCGTGGAAATCGACGTGTGGGACGGGAATTCGCGAAGCTCGACCCCGGAAGATCCGCAAGAATCGTCGGGGAAGCCGAGATCGAAGCCGGAACACGTCCGCCACCTCTCCGGGGGAAGTCTTCACACCGCCGCCGTTCACTTTAAAGAGATCGTGGAGGAGAAGTTTGAGCAGACTAGGCAGATGCTACGTGTCGATAAGACTCCCGCCTCCAGCCCGGCCTCGAAGTGGACCGGGGCAGCGCTTACGCCGCCGCCATTTGGACGAGAGATCGGCGACCCCCTGAGCTCGCCCGCCTTCGCTTCTCTGCTCGACCCAGAACGTTCGTCCATACGATCTAGGCCGTCGTTGCCTCCGGACGAACCAATCGTGATGCACGGATACACATTAACGGCTCCCGTCGGGTTTCGCGAGGTCTGCCAAGCCATCCGCGAAGTCGCTTTCGAGACGACGAGTCTGCCGATTATCATCAGCTTGGAGGTCCATGCCGACCGAGAGCAGCAAGAAGTCATGGTCCAGATTATGAAGCAGGAGTGGGCCGGCTTGTTGGTGGAGAAGCCTCACGATACCTGCCCCAATGATCGGATGCCAAGACTGGAGGAGCTGCTCAATAAGATACTTGTCAAGGTCAAGAAGGCCTCTTCGAGCTTGGACAATTCAACGACCATCTCGACGCTGTCTCCGAACCTAACCATCGACGATGATGCGTCTGGGTCAGAAGACGACAGGCCAGGCCAGCCGAACGGCGCCAAGAAACCGAAAGTGCCTATTTGTGAGAATCTGAGCTCTCTCGCCATCTATACGCATAGCGAACATTTCACAAACTTCGAATCGCCAGCTGCGCGAATCCCTTCGCATATTTTCTCCATAAGCGAATCCAAGATACTAGAGCTCGCCTCTTCTAAACATCACGAGCTGTTCTCCCACAACCGTCACTTTTTTATGCGAGCCTATCCCAAGGGTCTCCGGGTCGACTCGTCCAACTTCGACCCGTCTCGGCTCTGGCGTAAAGGCGTGCAGATGGTAGCTTTGAACTGGCAATCCTGGGACGAGGGCATGATGCTTAATGAAGCCATGTTCTCCGGCGAGCACGGCTGGGTCCTGAAGCCTCCGGGTTATCGTAGCGAGGGCCTGGCAGATGCCGACGCGGAGATCATTCCGCACCGCTCGCTCGACCTAATTATCACGGTACTCGCAGGGCAGAACCTTCCGCTCCCCGAGGGTACTCACAGCAGCAACGCCAAGTCTCTGCGGCCTATAGTAAAGTGTGAATTGCACGTCGAGAAGGCAGAAGAGCGAAGTGCGGCCTCCTTGATCGAGGGAGTTAGCAAAGCACGCGAGGCCGAGTACAAGCAGAGGACGGGTGCGGGGAAGTCGGATCACCCCGACTTCAGCGTTGTCAAGAACAACGAGCTCCACTTCCTGAACATCCAAAGGGTCGTGGAGCAGCTCAGTTTTGTCAGGTAAGCGCTTCCATCATCGTCGCCTTCGGTCGCGCCCGATCACCCTCCCTCTTCCGTCGGCCCTCTCTCTGGTTTCCCAGAAGGATGCCTGCATGGACGGATCCAGGCCGCTGGGTGACGGTGACGAGAAAAGGCCAATGGGCTGCGCGTTGCGAGCCGGCAAGGGGCCGGCGGTTGAGCTGGCATGCGCAATCATCCGTCAAGCGACGGAATTCCTGTCGATATATGACAGCTCACGGTTCGCAGCGGGAGCGGGGAAGAGACCTAGGGCCTCAAATTTCTAGCACCGGCTTCGCTTCCTAGCCGCTTAGCCATGCCGACTATGACTCGGGGCGCCCCGTGCAACCAACGAGTCGTGTTTGTTGTTCTCCCCTTTCCCCAGTCGGGTGATGTGACGAGCTTCGTCGACGGTCCCGATTCGACCGCGAATTCCCTAGCTTACCAACGTGCCTTTCGTATAGATTCAAGGTCGAGGACGACGCACCGCGGCTCGTGCCGCTGAAGGGCGATCCTTTCGCCGGTTGGGCATGCATCCGCCTTGACCGCCTGGCAACGGGTTACCGCTTCGTCCACCTCCTGGACGCCAACGGCAACAAGACCCAAGGTGTCCTCCTCGTCCGAGTTGCCAAAAGTTTTCGCTGACGCGGTTTCATGTGAACGAACGACGCTAGATGTATCAGGAGGGGACGAGCAAAAAAAAAAAAGAGAGAAGAGACAAAAGCTGTCGTACTCAGTACCAGCTGCATTGTTATGCGGGCTTAGGAACGCCCGGCCGCACACCGTGTGGTACTATACACATGCGTCGAATACGAACACGGCATATGACTTTCGCGCTTTTTCCCCCTTCCATCCTTATCTGGCCCGTATTCCTCGTGCATACGCTTTCTCGAGGACGCCGAAAACTACTCGTCATTTCGCCGCGTTAGCCACGCAATGCGTGCCCTGTCGTACGTGGAATCATGGGAGCAGAATAGCTGGCAACCGGTCAGCCTCTACTGTATATCACATCGGTGGGAAACACGTGTTGGATATCACCTAAATCCCTTCTGTCGGCCGAGTCATTTTTTTCTTTCTCTTTTCTTCTGTTCGTCTTGATATCGGTGTAATCAAGACGGTGGATGGTACATTTTAGGCAGGGTCGCATAGGTCAGCGTCTACGGTCTGGACGTCTCTGGAAACGGATCTGACATCTCCATTGTCAGACGGGATTTTTGGAACATACGAGCACGAGGGTCAGGCGGGCTTTTCTTTTCTTCTTCTTTTCTCTCCTATTGGGAAGTCGCATCACCGGCAGCGTTGGTCTCTTTTCTACTTTTTACACTGCGGATTATTGTTGCATTATCATACTAGGGATACCCAGAACGATGCTCACTACGCTGTCCACCACCGCGGGCGCCGCCGCCATCACTTGTCGTATTTTGGTCGCCCATCGTCGCTGTCGAGTCTGTCGTCATCATTGGCCGAGCGCGCTCGCTCAGCACCGGACGCGCGGACATCGGCGAATGCACCTATGCGACGCACGTACGTGCCCGGGCGGTCTCTCCCTTGTCTCTCCTCCTTCCCTTTCTCTGCGTGTCTCTCTCCCTCGCGCGATCTGAGACTCGCGGTGTGAGCTTGCCCGGGAGGCGGAACAGGTACGTAGAGAAGTGAGAAATGACAGGACAGGGGGTGGGAATTTAGGGAGGTGGGAAAGCGGGGAGGGGAGAGAGAGAGAGAGAGAGAGAGAGAGAGAGCAAGGGGAGAAGAGGAAAGAGGGGGGGGAAGGGATCGCGCCGGCGTCGGTATGACACGGTCGAGTCAGACTCGGGACTCGGCGGGTTGGCACGCACTGGTAGATAGACACACGCACACAGAGCACAGGCGGATGGACGGACAGATAAGAGAGAGACATAGGCAGTCGGACCATACGGGACATGGCACACACAGAACAGACCTGGCTGCCTTAACTGCCTGCCCTAGGTGACTAGCTAACCTGCGCGCTCTGCATGTCTACGTCGATATGCGCGCGCGGGCAGACGAGCCGCGTGCAGGCGTATGTACGCACGCACGCACGCACGCCCGCACGCCCGCACATATGTACATGCGTATGTATGTATGTGTGTGTACGTATGTGTGTGTGTATGTATGTATGGCATGCCGCCAACCCAGCCGCTCGCATCCTCTCGCCGCCACGAGAGAAAGGGGGGGGGGGGGTAGACGCCCTTCCTTCCGCTCCCTCTCTCGCTCTCTGCCCTCCCGTCTGGCTCCCACCACGCCGTGTCTGTGTGTGCGCTCTGTAAGGCACCCATGCGTGCCCAGGACCCGGCGCGGTCGCGCGCACCTCGGATACGTGCAGGGGGGGCACGTATATTGGTTTACGGATTGTCGGGTCGAGACCAGGGGTGGTGGGCGAGGGGAAGGGGGCGCATCCTGCCCACACCTTCGTTCGACGGCAGAAGGGCGGGCTGGGGACGGCACGGCGAGCAGGTAGGTAGGTAGGTAGGTAGGTGGACAGGTAGGTAGGCTGGGGAGCTAGCGAGGCAGGGGGGAGGCCAGGTGCCGCGCGTTGGGCGTTGCGCCCGCCAGGACCTCACCGACTTCGCGGAGATCTGGGCGAGACGCGCGGGTCTGACCCAGGGGAGGTAGGGAGAGAGAGGGGGGGGGCCGCTGCAGCTGCATCTACAACTCTATCTCCAGCTCTATCTCCAGCTTGGCTCCCCTCCCCCCTCTCTCTCCCCCTCTGCGGGTGGTGTGTGTATGCGTGTGCCGTATACAAGGGAAGGGAAACCCGGCGGCAGGGAAGGGAGGGGTTGCCCGCGGGGAGTTACGTGAGGGGAGGAGAGGGAGGGCCAGGGGCGCTACCAAGTTCGCGATGTGGAAGGTATACGAGACGGGAGCGGGAGCGGGATGGGACGGGACGGGGGGGGGGGGGGAGGCGGGTGGGCTAGGCCGATGGCATGGAGGGCGGTGCGTCGCGCGGCCTAATCCACGGCGGCACTTGGTTTCAGCGATGCCGTCTCATCTACGAGTACTCCGCTCGCCTCCTTCCCTTCCCCGTCCACCGCCCCCCTTTTTCCCTTGCTAGCTTTGCGAGCTTTCGATCCAGTCTTCCTCTCCTACGCGTCCCTCCTCGCGCCGGGGACGACGTATCATGCGAGGAGGAGGCTACACCGCAAATGCATGCGGGATGTATACGTGTGTGAGACTCTATATACTATAGCTCCGTCGGGACTAGAGAGTTAGTTGCGTACGTAGTTTGTGTCCGCAATATATGGGTATTGGGCGGCCTTCTGGGATATTTCTGCAGGAGGAGGCGAGTTATTTTCTCGCCCCTTCTCCTTTTCGCTGTCTTGATATGTCGCCGCAGTATTCTCTGCCTCCCCGGTCCTGACCTCGCCTCGTCCCAAAACCCCTATGCCTTCCGGGTCTCTTTCTTCCCGTGCTTTTTCCATCCGACAAATACTGTGGCGCAGCAAACTGGACGAAGACGCGGGAATTAAGGAGCGCTCGGGCTTTGGAATCTTGATTTTTTGCCTGGTGATAGATCGTTAAACGGGTATCTAGCCAGGGGAGGGCGGCGGCGCGGTGTTGTATGTATGTAGGTGAGACTACGCAAGTAAGTCGACGTGCTCGTCTAGCTGCTTTCTGTAGGTCTCTGCTAAATTATATGCATGTCAGTTGTACATGCCCATGTGTGTCCATGATGCGTATGTGACACGCGCATCTGTATGCATGTGCGTCTACGTTCTAGTTGGCCGTCCACCTACCTGAATGTAGGCTGTATGTAGGCCGCCGGCCTCCCACTCAGCGTTGGCTCGGAGGCGGTCAGCTCCCGGCTCTCTCGCCCCGACCCTAAGCGGCCTACCTACGTCGCCTCCAGCCAGCCAAGTATTTCGCTATCCCCCGTCTTTGCTGGCCAGGGGGGAAGAAACTTCGGGCGGCCTGGGGTCTGACCATATGATGATGATATCAGTGACTATGCGCGCCATATTCCACATGAGCACGTAGTATCCAGGCCCTACTTACATGCATATGCATCTGTGTGAATGAGCGAGTGAGTGAGTGAGTGTGTAGGTATCATGCGTACAATGTTGTTAGTCTTACCCTTCTGCCGTATCTATCCACGGGCGCGCACGGCTACATATCGTATGTTTACCTGGCAAGCGAGCAAATCCCGAACCCGTTCCATCCGGACCAAACTTCGGGAGGAGGGGGCCGTGGCCTGCTCGTCCCATCCCTACCCAAGTCTCAATAACCCCCCCTCTTCTTCCCCCCCCCATTTTTGGCCAAGTTGCGTAGGTGCTTACCGCCTCGCCGGGTAGCCAGGGGCGGCTGGATACGCCTCGTAGCCACGATTTAGGTTCCGAACGCCAGTCATCCAGCGATCCGGGTTCATACCCGTCGCGGTGGGATAGTTAGAGCCGCATGCATAGCCCTAGTGGGGGTTGGGCTCTTGGTTTCTGAGACCGTTCGTTTGCACTCTTTCACCTTGGGTAGTTTGACTGGCTAGGTAGTGACCCCTTGGTAGGAGCTTGGGTGGTGACCAGTCTCAGGGAGCGAACGTCTACACCCGTTAGACCTGCCGACTGTGAGAGACTGGATAAGGACGAAGGTGGCGAGGATTGGGGGAGGGAGGCGGACACACTTGCGTGTATCCGACACAAGCACATGGTGCGCCTGTATCAGAGGATGAATTATCTTCTCTTCCCTCTCCTCCTCCCCTTCTCGTTTCCGCCCGGCGCACTTAAGGTTCTCCTTGCCTTCGCCCACTCCTCCGACGAGTGTTGGTAACCCGAGAATCCTAAACACAGGAGAGAGAGAGAGAGAGAGAGTTAGAGACGGAGAGAGAAAGTGAAGTTGGGCACACAAGAGTCATCGCCGACTTCCTAGCCGAGAGACCCAGCTAGTGAGGATAAGTAAGTGGAAGTGAGACATGGCGTCGATGGTTGTGCCCATAACCGTCGAGTATTGACCTACGGTCCACTATCCTGGTCGGTCTCGAGAGGTCGCGCGAGTCCGCGGCCGTGGTGACTCGCAGCCCGTTTCTTCGTTCCTTGCCTAGGGTTTAGACGGAGGCGACGGTAACCAGCTCGGTACGTGTAACGATGGATAGATGACGAACTTCCTGGGTTGTGAGCGTGTCCTCATATCCTTGTGTGTGACTACAGGGACAGTCCCTTCCACGTGTCGGCCCGCCCCTTTTGATGGGAATGGGAGGCGTTTGGCGGTGGGCTTTCCCGCCACGGCATCCATCAACCTATGCACACTAAATCCCGACAAATTTCGTCTATTCCCAATTTCCTTTCTTTTTCTCACCCCTTTTCCTTTTCCCTCAATCTTTAGTCGTTCTTTTAGCGGCTGTGTCAGGTATTCTCGCTCCTCTTGTGAACCCTCCCCCCCCAACCCTTCTCTCTGCCAAATCTGGCTCTGGTGGAGCTCAGCATGTAGATTGGCAATGTCTCTGGTAGTCAGGCTTGGCTAACGGTTAGTTCGATACTTGCCTCCCCCTGTTGTGTTTTGTCGGCTGTCTAGGAATACGGAGCTACCCTGGATGACGAAGTGAAGACCCCTATATTCGCTACATGCATATGCGGATATGCAGGGTTCTGGGTATCACCTCGAGGTCCCTCCCTTCTCCCTCGGAGCGACCCCCTCTCCTTTAGTCCTCCAGGGGCTGCAAGGGTTTGGATACTTAAGTGATGCGTCTTCTTCCTACGTGGGCATGACCATGCGATTGGTCAGGCAGGATCCAAGCCCGCCCCCTAAGCGCGCTGGACGTGGATTATCGATGTCCTGGCTAGACAGCGATTTCAACTGTGCGCTAGTCGACGCAGCAACGTTACGATTCGAGATCTGAGAGGACCTAGGCAGTAGGAGAGACGTCAGTCGACCCGCGGACCAGCCAGTCAGCTTTGACTGGGCGGACGTAACCAATAAAGGCCTCTGGTACGGTAGACCAGCGCTTTCTAGAAGCCAGGGGAATCGCATAGATGGATTCCCAAGATCAGCTGCCACCGCACCCAGAGAGCCGAGCATGAAAGTGGGATGACAGCCCTAAGGTGAACCGGCACTGTATTGGTTGCCGCCTGGGAACCCTTCCATCATACCCTCCCACCGCTGCCACACGTGTGGTATAGCGAACAGCTACCCTACTCTTTTTTTTTTTTTTTGACGCCTACTTCGGCAATAGTGAGGAGCTGCTCGTCTTCGGTGTAGTATTCGTTCCTATCGCGGGGACGATCGGCCGTCGGGAGAGGGGGGGACGTAGCCTTTTCAACTTGTCACTACCACACTGGCCGGTGTCTCATGCCACAGCGACCTAGTATTTTTTTGGTAAACATAGAAGGTCTTGGCATATATTAGCTGAGAGACATCGTGGACGATACCCATCTAGCATACCTGCCACAAATGCCACGGTCGTTTTTAGGCTGCTCGTTAGAGACAAGTGGGCGGGGAGGGGAGGGTCGCTGGAAACAAATGGGGCAGATACGACTCGGTCGACCACCGCAGACTGGAGTGTTGAGATAGCATGCCCATGTACGTACATGCTAACCCAACCCGTGCTCGTCGGCAGTTACTGCGGGACGCTGGTTCATAATACGCTGCCAATATTCATGGGGTGACAAAATCTCTATGCAACACCTCCCAGACCGACATTGACGTGGTATACTGATGCCAACAACGACTGACCGAAAAGTCGTGCCACATTTTGGCATCGTCGCTCTTTTTGGCGCTCCTCTCTGCCGTGTCACTAGGGTTATGCCGTTGCTGCTCAACCAGACAACCAGACGGATGTGCGGATGTACGATATCGTCCTGAACGCATACTGTAATCGGCGGCATTATCTCGTAGCTGTTGCATCAATGCTTCTGGCGCAAGCCGGAGAGAAACAACTTTTGTATAAGTTGCATTCGACGGCCTCGCTACCCTTCGTAAATTAGGCTTCTACCCGTAGGGTTTGGCCAGTCGACGAGCCCGAGGCGCCCGAGGGCGAGTGAGTGGCAGCACCATTAACCTGCAGTGTCTATAAAATGATATCATTTTGGATCCAGTGCCGGAGAGCTGAGGACCCAGGAGGCTCCTGAGAGGCCGGACGGACGCTCCCCCTTGGGACTGATGCCACATGCTTCGGAGACCATCAGGCTCCATGCAGCTCGTGCCTTACCATGCAAAATAAGTAGTGATACTCGGGAGGTTGACCAGTATTGATGACACCAGCTGGGGGGACGCGATTTCAGGTGATCAGGGATGATCCACGAGAGTCGAGACGGGCTCCTTGGAAAGGAGGGAGAGACCAGGAGGAGGGGCCGCAGCCTGGGACACAGTATTTGGCATCTCGTCGACCTCATTAGTGGGGCACGACGCCTCTAAACTAGAGATATCGCTCCTCTCCTCATTCGTCCCGGCGTAATGGTACCGTACGCTGTAGCGCTGCGGGTTGTCGCCGAACCTTCGTAATGGAAACAGGGATGAGGCCTAAACAGGGACGACAGGCAGGTCAAGTGGCGTCGTCAGGGATGTATCACGCCGGTGTCATTTGCGCCATTGAATCATCCAGTCGAGCTGGTGGCCCTGGCCGATCG